TTTTCTTTTTTTTCACTTTGAACACATGTTTTGGTCCGAAAGGTTCTAAAAAAAAAATCACAAAAGTGCCAAAAATCGATAACTGGAAATTGGTTGAAAAATGTCATAAGCCCCACCCCCAAATACATTCAAAAATAAAAGCCCACCTCTTTTTTTCCCCTACATGCATGAATTTAATATATGTTACTTACTTCATTCTGGACGTGTTATTTGCATTACCTGCACTATGTCAATTACCTGTTACATGCCTTAAACAATTAGTACAAAAAATGTTAGGTTTTTTATTATCCAACAATAGATAACATTTAAGTTTCAAGCAAAAGTGCAGTTTGTTGATACACACTCTCGTCGAAGGATTATTTAAATTGCGAGAATCCTTCATATTTGCGTCCTTCTGTTCGATGATTGTCCATAATGCATGTGTGTATCCTCTGAGCTGCTAGAACAACCACCGTATTATGACCATTTCATCCGTTACAATCTAGTTATCTGTACTATTTGATTTATTCCCTCCCTCCCTGCAGGAGTATGTGTTTCGGGTGGACCCTCTCACCAGTCTGGGTCTCAGCTCGGACAGCATCGTCTGCTACAGGATGGGCGATGTGATTCGCTCTCACACCTCCAAAGTGCCTGAGCTGCTGCCCTGCGGCTACCTGGTGGGCGACAGCAACATCATCAAGGTCAACGTCAAGGGTACGGAGTTTCTATTTCAGGAATATAGCTGATGTAGAAACCAGCGTACGAATAGAGAGAACAATATTAACTATAACTGCATTTACAAGGCTTAAATAGGACATATTCTGCTGATGTTCAGGTGTATATCAGTATGTAGTGTCTCTACTTTAAAGAGTTCTCTCCTGCTGATGTTCAGGTGTATATCAGTATGTAGTGTCTCTACTTTAAAGAGTCCTCTCCTGCTGATGTTTAGGTGTATATCAGAATGTAGTGTCTCTACTTTAAAGAGTTCTCTCCTGCTGATGTTCAGGTGTATATCAGTATGTAGTGTCTCTACTTTAAAGAGTCCTCTCCTGCTGATGTTTAGGTGTATATCAGAATGTAGTGTCTCTACTTTAAAGAGTCCTCTCCTGCTGATGTTCAGGTGTATATCAGTATGTAGTGTCTCTACTTTAAAGAGTCCTCTCCTGCTGATGTTTAGGTGTATATCAGAATGTAGTGGCTCTACTTTAAAGAGTTCTCTCCTGCTGATGTTCAGGTGTATATCAGTATGTAGTGTCTCTACTTTAAAGAGTCCTCTCCTGCTGATGTTTAGGTGTATATCAGAATGTAGTGTCTCTACTTTAAAGAGTCCTCTCCTGCTGATGTTCAGGTGTATATCAGTATGTAGTGTCTCTACTTTAAAGAGTCCTCTCCTGCTGATGTTTAGGTGTATATCAGAATGTAGTGTCTCTACTTTAAAGAGTTCTCTCCTGCTGATGTTCAGGTGTATATCAGTATGTAGTGTCTCTACTTTAAAGAGTCCTCTCCTGCTGATGTTTAGGTGTATATCAGAATGTAGTGTCTCTACTTTAAAGAGTCCTCTCCTGCTGATGTTCAGGTGTATATCAGTATGTAGTGTCTCTACTTTAAAGAGTCCTCTCCTGCTGATGTTCAGGTGTATATCAGTATGTAGTGTCTCTACTTTAAAGAGTCCTCTCCTGCTGATGTTCAGGTGTATATCAGTATGTAGTGTCTCTACTTTAAAGAGTCCTCTCCTGCTGATGTTCAGGTGTATATCAGTATGTAGTGTCTCTACTTTAAAGAGTCCTCTCCTGCTGATGTTCAGGTGTATATCAGTATGAAGTGTCTCTACTTTAAAGAGTCCTCTCCTGCTGATGTTCAGGTGTATATCAGTATGTTGTGTCTCTACTTTAAAGAGTCCTCTCCTGCTGATGTTCAGGTGTATATCAGTATGTATTGTCTCTACTTTAAAGAGTCCTCTCCTGCTGATGTTCAGGTGTATATCAGTATGTAGTGTCTCTACTTTAAAGAGTCCTCTCCTGCTGATGTTCAGGATGATTTGGTGACAAGCGATGTCACTATGTTCTGGAACTTTGGGATTGTTGCTTTTGCAGACTATTTACATTAACCTATATATCACTCAAAAAAACAACCCAAAAGCATATTAGGGCCTCTTTAAATAGCTTTAATTGTCCTTCTCTTTCCTCCTTCCTCCTTTCTTCTTCCCTCCAGGAGTGAAGGAGAACAGCATCGACAGCCTGGTGTTTGACACTCTGATCCCTAAGCCCATCATCCAGCGGTACCTGAACCTGCTGATGGAGCACCGGCGGATCATCCTCTCCGGACCCAGCGGCACCGGGAAGTCCTTCCTCGCCGCCAAACTGGCCGAGTTCATCATCTCCCAGCTGGGCCAGCAGGTGACCGAGCACAACGTGGCCAGCTTCAACGTGGACCAGAACTCCAGCAAGGTAGGGTTACACTTTGGATGCATGAAGCAATGATATTTATTTATGTTTTTGTAATATGCTTTCGTCTGCCAATATAGAACAGAATAGAATATATCTGTATTGTCATCATACGAAGTACAACGACATTTCTTTGGCAACTCTCACCGCAGTAAAAAATAGACACAATAAATAAATAAATAAGAGTGGTAAAAGCAGAGGTAATAGCGATGACAGTACAACGAGATAAAATTCAATGTCAATGTGCAAATTTACTCTTACAGTCTAAATATATATATTAGTAAAATAGCCATAAGTATTTCTAAAATAGTAGTGTGTGTGTGTGTGTGTGTGTGTGTGTGTGTGTGTGTGTGTGTGTGTGTGTGTGTGTGTGTGTGTGTGTGTGTGTGTGTGTGTGTGTGTGTGTGGTGGTGCGTGCGTGCGTGCGTGCGTGCGTGCGTGCGTGCGTGCGTGCGTGCGTGCGTGCGTGCGTGCGTGCATTATTATTATTAATATTAATATTATTAGTATCTTAGGTAATTCCTACATCTCCCAGAATGCACTTTACCCAGTGGTGGAATGTTACAAAGATTTTGAATGCACAATTTGTACAGTTTAGTATTACTACTTTAACTTAGCGATGAAATCTGAGTACTTATTCCCCCACTGCTTACCAACAAAGAGCACATTCTCAGAGTGATCTGGTGTCTCTACATGTGTGTCCATAAGGGACTGAGATGATATTGCTTTCTCTAAACCCAAGTGATAACCTTTCTCTCCAGGACCTGCGTCAGTACCTGTCCAACCTGGCGGAGCAGTGTAACTCAGAGGATTCGGACACGGAGCTTCCCACGGTGGTGATCCTCGACAACCTGCACCACATCGGATCCCTGAGCGACATTTTCAACGGCTTCCTCAACTGCAAGTACCACAAATGGTGAGGCAGAGATGCAATATAGGAAGAGCCAAAAGAACTGAAATGTGTCGTTATATATATCAAATATCAATATTGGAAGCAAACATAATTGCAAAAAGAGCAGGAATTACATCATGTTCCCCGGGCTTTAGTGCTGTACTCTGGGATTTGTTTGTAAGATACTCTTTTTTTAATATAATGTGCTTTGAAATTCCTCCTAAAACTGTAATCTTATGTCAAAATAACACGTCTTTATTTGTCCATCTCTCTTTCCAGCCCTTACGTTATCGGGACCATGAACCAGGGAGTGTCCTCTTCCCCTAACCTGGAGTTACACCACAACTTCAGGTTTGTGACACACACACACACACACACACACACACACACACACACACACACACACACAGACAGACAGACAGACAGACACACAGACACACACACACACACACACACACACACAGACAGACACACACACCACAACCTTCCCCTAGGGAGTTTTACTTCAAGATATTATCGCATTATCTATAAAAAGGTTGAAGTTATACTCAATAATCAGTCAAATTAATCTCTATTTATTGTGTGTTTTGTCTCTTGTTTTGCTAATGGAGTAGTGAACAGACACACAGATGAACTCACATAAAACCACAGTACCTGAAATCTGATGTGTGTTATTGTTCAATTGTGAAACCGTCTATCAAAATATATAAGTTACTCATGATATTGTGATATTATATAGTTCGAAACTTATTAAATCCACAGAGAAATCCCTTGTAGCTTTATTAGCTTAGCGTTACATTGCACGTTTGATTGTGCTCCTCTGTTTGCATGTTATTTCTCACAGATAGATAGATAGATATTTTATTGATCCCAATTTGGGAAATTATTTTGTTACAGAAGCATCAGTGTGTTCAGACCAGAGGTTACGATCCTGCCCGTCATTTTGACGGAAAAGTTACGATCCTGCCCGTCAAAATGAGCTCGTGAACTGTTAGTGCCGATGTTATGCCGTGTGTTATGCATGCCCACTGCACCTCGCGGGAGCGCGCCACAGCGTAAAGCATAAACTCCCAGACATTTCAATGATTTGTACGGCAAAGTTAGGTCTGGAAACTATATCATTTCCTTTTTGGCGGGCATCCATAACAAGGCATAACACCGGAGCGCTGCTGTGGGGAAACTTTGGCGCTGTTCTGAGTTTGTTCTAATCCGTCAAAATGACGGACTGCTTTCAGATTTTTCCGACATTGTTAAAAAAAAATCCGTTTTAGAGAGGTTAAAACTACTACAACCAAAAATGTAAAGGAAAAATAAAATGAAAAAGTCACAAATACTGCAGTTAGTAGCAGGAATATATGCTTACACTACAAGAGCATAGACATACTGGTATATACGTAGGATCGTATAAAATGTACAGATTTACAGAAAACCAGATGGATAATTAATCTTGTTAAACAAAAGTAATGAGACCATAATGCATGTTCTGATTAAGGATCCTCTTGGCATGTTTGACTAGCAGATCATTCGGCAAACATAACGTCATTAGGAAAGGCTTATCACGTGAATATATTTCAGTCAACCCAATTCTCTTCGACTGCTTCGTTTATTTCCTCCTCTGCTTCAGTTTTGTAATGATCTCCGTGTGTTCTGTCTCAGGTGGGTGTTGTGCACCAACCACACCGAGCCGGTGAAAGGGTTTCTGGGACGTTTCCTGCGGAGGAAGCTGATCGAGACGGAGATCAATAAGAGCTCGAGGAGCAACGATCTGATCAAGATCATCGACTGGATCCCCAAAACCTGGCAGCACCTCAACGGATTCCTGGAGGCTCACAGCTCCTCCGACGTCACCATAGGTACGATTTACCAGAGAGGGCAAAAGTATCTCACTGCAGTGTTACTTCTGAAGTTATGATGTCTTATATCAGGTGTAAAGACATATTCTGACTAGATGTTAGACAAATAAACAAGTTTGAGTTTTTGTAGAGTAACGAAAAAGGCACTAAGATTATATTATATGAAATGTCTTCTTTGTCCCTCAGGCCCTCGTCTCTTCCTGTCCTGTCCGATGGATGTAGAAGGATCCAGAGTTTGGTTCACAGATCTGTGGAACTACTCCCTGGTTCCCTATCTGCTGGAGGCCGTCAGGGAGGGGCTTCAGGTACAATAGCTCAACACATGAACTCTCTAAGAGACTTTCAAGAGTCCTCTCTCCTGCTGATGTTCAGGTGTATGTTTCTCATCAATATATCACAGCTCTCAGATATATCCAGAGCCTGTCTCTGATTGGCTGAAACACCAAACAGATCATTGCAGCATCCCATAATCCCCTCTGTTTCAGCCCTGTTTCAAAAGTGCTGATTCTCTGTCTGTTACTTCAGATGAAAATAAGGAGCCCCTCCCCACGCCCCTCTGAGAGAGATTTGGTTAAAAAGAACTCAATGGTGCTCTAGGAGGAGATTCAGGTGATAAGGTGGGGGGGGGGTTACACAAACCAAAAAAACGTTATGACATCATAAAGGGGCCAAAATCTGATCAGCTCATTTTCAGACAGGTTTTTATATAAATGGATCAGGACAAAAAGAGAGAGAATCTTTGTTTGTCTCTTTCCACAGAGGGGACACATGTTGATGTAGAAGAGACATGAAGAAGAGGGGACACATGTTGATGTAGAAGAGACATGAAGAAGAGGGGACACATGTTGATGTAGAAGAGACATGAAGAAGTGGATTTTGCATAATAGGTGACCTTTAATATTCTACAACACATCTGTTTTCTGATTCCTCCTGCAGTTATACGGGAAGAGAGCAGCGTGGGAGGACCCCTCTAAGTGGGTGAACGACACGTACCCGTGGAGCGGCGCCTCGCAGCAGCCGGACGCTCAGACTCTGCTGCAGCTGAGGCCGGAGGATGTGGGCTACGACAGCTACAGCTCCTCCAAGGAGGGAGCCTCCTCCAAACAGGTGTCCCAGAGCGACACCGATGGAGACCCCCTGGTGAGGAACACACGCCATGAACACCTGGAGTGAAGGAGAAGTCTTTGTAAAGCTTTTTAGAGAGGAGTGTGGTGCAGTGGGTTGTGCGTTGGTGTTCGGATCAGGGGGTCACAGGTTCAAACCCCACTGCAGTCAGCATGTCGTTGTGTCCCTGAGACACTTCACCCCAAATTGCTCCTGTGGGGATTGCCCACAGTATTGAGTATGTAAGTCGCTTTGGATAAAAGCGTCTAACAAGTAACATGTAATTAAATTACATTTGTATACAACAGTAGTAGTAACAAGTACCAGTATACGTGTAGGAGAATATGGAAGGACTGGCAGTAAGGGGAGGAATCTGAGCTAAGTGATGTTAGCTTAGAAGATAAAACCCTACTGTGACCTAAACCAGAGGATTCAATTCTACAAATCGAATAAATAAATATCGTATCGATAGTACATAGTACATAGTATCCATCCATCCATCCATCCATCTTCTCCCACTTATCCGTGGTCGGGTCGCGGAGGTAGCAGTTCCAGCAGAGAGCCCCAAACTTTCCTTTCCCTGGCCACATCAACCAGCTCTGACTGGGGGATCCCAAGGCGCTCCCAGGCCAGCAAAGAGATATAATCCCTCCACCTGGTCCTAGGTCTAACCCTCGGTGTCCTCCCAGCTGGACGTGCCTGGAACACCTCCCTAGGGAGGCGCCCAGGTGGCATCCTTACTAGGTGCCCGAACCACCTCAAATGGCTCCTTTTGACGCGAAGGAGTATAGTATATAGTCGACATTATATATGGGCAGAGGACACCTTTTTTTACCTAAATATCTATATTTCTTATTTTCTAAGGCCACACTGTTCTGTTGTCTTACATAATACACTTCAGTCAAATGTTTTTATTTATTTGCATTGCATTTAATATTCAAGGCTTTATTGTCATATGCACTGTAGCAAACTTAACTCCCAGGATGCACCAACAATTCAACATTAATAGGACATAAAAACAATAAAACTAATTTGAAAAACAATTTAAAAAATATCTGTGTGATCCATAAGTAACGGCAAGTAATCAGGTGACATTACTTATATATTTTGATACTCAGATTACATCTCGTAACAGATAACATTGTGTTTACCCTAACCCTCCTTGTCTGTGTTTTTCAGATGAACATGTTGCTACGGTTACAGGAAGCGGCCAATTACTCGAGCACGCAGAGCTACGACAGCGACAGCACCAGTCACCATGACGACCAGCTGGACTCCTCGCTGGAGTCGGCGCTATGAGACCCTCCGTGGTGCCCAGACATATATCATAATATAATATAATATATACATGAAAAGTTTTATCATCCAAAATGGTACAGCGGGCCACCATTCACATTACAAACGGTGCAATACTGAGTCTAAATATTGCCAATTTGGTGGACAAAGTGTCAAACAATCATTTTATTTTAAACACAGATCATGTTTTATTGGATATATAACATTTTAGAATACAACTTTTCATATATGTGTCGGCAGGAAGGAGTCAGCTGTGATGAGACACAGAAAGAAAAAAAGACAAAGCCAAGAATTTGAAACTGGATTTTTCTTTTTTTTCAAATCCCAGATATGTATCTTCAGATGTTTACAATGGGAGGGTGGGGTGTTCTGTTGTTTATGTCTCTCCTTGTTTACAGAGGTGCTTCACACACACACACACACACACACACACACACACACACACACACACACACACACACACACACACACACACACAAACACGCACACTTATACACTCATGCACTTACACACGGGCAGCAGGAGGACACTGACTTTTAATCACAGGCTGTAAACGGTTCAACCAAAAAATCCAGACGACGCCTTTTCTAACAAAGACCACATTGTACACCCTTATCTCTGAGCCCACCTGTAAATTAGAGTAGATTAACCCTCCTCTCGTGGTAATTTCTCCCCCAGTGACATTTTTTATTTTTAACCAGATGTGGAAGAAGTATTCAGATGCTTCACTTGACTAAAAGTACCAACACATTATTGTCAAAATACTTCGTCCTGCATTTAAAATCTTACTTAACAAAATATTATCTAAAAAAGGTTCCTACAGAATAACATTCAAAGTAATCATTGTACAGAAAAATTGCCTTTATTTGTGTATATGATTATTTTTATATATGTTACATCTCTAGATAATCGAGTAGCATTTTACTGTTATAGACAAACAAAGTTCTGATTGACTTTTGGTAAAATATTTAAATAATGTGAGTCTTTTTCTAACAAAATACATCTCTGAAAATGTAACTAGTGGACTAAGTTAGTCCACTTTTAAATGTAGTGGAGTAGAAGTATGAAGTAGCATCAAATGGAAATACTCAAAATTGTACTTGGTACTCAGTAAATCTACTTCGTTACTTCCCACCTCTGGTTTTAACTGCTCTTACATTAACACAAAAACATTAATCATCACCACATTATATTTAATTCCCTTTAAGCTGTAAAACGTCTCAAACTACTGGTTCACATCAGTCACCGCGGGAAATATACAAAGAGAGGAGGCACCAAAAAGGTATTCCTAAATGAACTTATTTATGGGTGTGTATTATCTGATAGGGTTACCCATTCATTTCCTATGGCGACATTTTTTACTAGGAACATCATAGGTGTACCAAAGTTCAATGAAAGTGGGGATAAATGCCTACTGTGGAGGATATCATAAGGACTTGAAGCAATCAAATATAAAACACAATATTTATGATTGAAGAAAATTGTAAATTGGTCAGATTTTACCCGAACACGACAGGAGGGTTAAAGTGAATCCGGGTGATGTACCGCCCTCTGGTGGCCACAATGGAGGCAAGTATGAGGCATTTGAAAAGCCTCTGCAGACAAACTAGCTCCACAATAATTACATTTTTTACACACTCACTCACTCTCACACACACACTCACACCCGAGGTCAGTTGAGCTTCATGGTGCTCAGTCCTCAGCTCCTCAAGCACGACTAAAGTGCTTAATTGTCCGTGTGTCATTCAGTCACATTTCTACTGTGAAGAACAAAATGGAAAAAAGTGCCAATGTTTTTGATTTGACTGCCAAATGTGCACACACAAACACAGAGACTTAACATCACGGGGTTGTAAACTTAGATTAAGTTGTTCTTGGCCTTGCACGCTCTGCAGTCCGTCGTCAATGTAGCTTAGCATCTCACAGAACTGTCTTCATTGACTGCTTGCTAATCCCCTCTTTTCAACTGAGTTTCACCAATCATTTGCAAACTTTCTCGAGTTCAAGACATACTCAGTATTTAAGCAGTTTGGAGGGTTAGTTGCAAAGGATATATGATTGTCTTACTAGTCTAACTTGCTCTTTATTGAACTTGGAGAAAGCAACTCCAGCAGATATTGCTCTGAGATAGCGTTAGCATAGCATTAGTCCTCATCGAAAAAACCTTTAATTTAATGGTAAAAAGGGAACTACACGGGGCAATTATATCATATATACTTTATTTCTTTATCTGGATAATGTTATATGTCACAATACAGCATGGTATCTATGAGAAATGTTATCTTAAGAAGATAAAATATATTGATTTATCGCCCAGCCCTACTGAATATATAATGAGAAAAAGGTATGCAAGCTAATCAGCAAAACAGATGTATGATAGAGGTTTGATTTTACTCTGCTTTACACTGCAGAACTGATGTGTATGTCGATATCTAAATGAAGCTGGCAAGAATGCTAACCGTTAGCTAGGCACATGCTGCTTCAGCGTCAGTCCTCTTTTCGGATATCAATAAAACGAGTCATTAAAAAGTCTGACGTTAGCTTAATTAGCTAGCCACATCTGTTATTGTTAGCTGCATTGGTGCGAGAACCCAAAGCCCGACAGAACGGAGAGAAACTGGGCTTAGCAAACAGTCAATTTCCCATCGCTGATTCATTTTGACATTAATGTTAGCTGCATGAAAATCACACGGGTGGGTTTACTGCAAGAAAAGCAGAACACTGATATATGTCAACGCCTCGGCTTCAACAGATATGAGTCAACGCTGATCAGTAAAAGTGAATTAATGCAAGCTTACTGTCCAGCTTGCTAAGCGTCTGCACCTATGTGGAATCCTTGAGGTACCAAAAAGAGTCCAAAGTGTTTTGACAAATGCAAGATGAGGGAACAACGATACTGGTGCTTTCTCACTGCCTAAAATGTGCAAAAGAGCGGGAGGAATCCTCGACTCCCATTGGCTAAAGTGAGAAAAAGACTGTCAGACGAAGCTGTCAGAAAAACAGCCTCTTTTTGTTTATTTCTCGCTCCCTCTTCCTCCAAACCGCCCTTTTTATTTGTGTTTCTGACAGTTAAAGTATAAAAGAGTTGAAGCTGTCTTTGACTTTAAAAACTGACCAATATTGTAAAAACATTTAAAAAGGGGTGGGGTATTTTTTAAGTTGTCGTTTTCCGGCACAGTTGAGCTGGGCTCACTTGAACTGACAGGAGCACAACCAAACTGTTTTGGGTTTTCTAGCCTGACGAGCATGTTTTAAAAGCTTTTTAACGAAGAGACCTTTTTTTTCCGTTATGTATGCGTGTATTGGACGGAAGCCATTTTGAATTTTGATTGTCCTCTCTTTGTTTTTATCGAGTGGGTTGGTTTTGCACACTTTGAGGTTTGGGGTGGGTTGTAAATACTTAAGTCTTGCACAGTGAATCAAAGATGCCCTGTTGGTGTTACAGTATGCTTAAGCCGCTGAGTAAATTATTGTACCTTTTGAAAACAGAGAGTAAAAAAAAAAAATGCAAAAACTCAACACGCTGTCAGAAAACAGGTGTGTGTCTTGTGGATGTTTTGCCTATGCAAGAGGCATACGGTGTACAGTAAGAAAACGTTTTTAAATTCACTAAAATCACCTAAAATAGGAACTTTCTCAGTATTCCCCCCCTTCAAGTCTAGTTGCCAACTCCTGTTGTGAACCTGGAAATGTTGAGTACCCCAAAATGTATGATAGAAATGTATAGTACGGGTCCCTAGCTTATAGAAACTGCCAGATGCTAACTTGCATAATGGGGAATTTGCGCTATTAGCATAAGTGGCGTTAATAAGCATATGCAGACAATAGTTAAGAAATGGCTTGGCCAATTTCGGAGAGGTTTTGCAGGTTATTGAAGATGCTGAATCCATTTCTGATATTTTCAGGATCCTAAATGGCAGATTTAACCAGGAAGTGGCCATATTTGTAAACCCAGTGGGCTGATTTTGATGAATTCTGTGTCTATTTTAAGCTTTAGAGGACTCAAAACTGCTACTTATGATCCTAAAAATGTCGGAAATTGATTCAACATCCTCAGAACCCCTAGCAATTGTTACGCTATTGTCAACATATGCTTATTAATGTTAATGCAACTTATGCTAATTGTACAAACATCTGCAAGTTAGCATCCGGCAGTTTCTATATGCTAGGGACCCATACTATACATTTCTAACATAAAACTTTGGGGTACTTTCCAGGTTCTCACTGATGGCAACTAGACTATCCTGCAATAATAATATCTGGATCCTCTCCGTCTTTAGGGAATGCCTAAGATGTTATTTCCTCAGATGAACTTCCTCTCTGGACATTTTCACCCGAGTTTACCTTATAGGCCTGCCAGCTGTCCGAAGGCACCGTACTGTAATCATTTACCAACAACCGGTGCTACTTAAGTCGAAAACTATCGGAGATTAAGGAGTCATGTTGTCACAACCTCAGGACAATCCTACCTGTGTTCAACCTCACATCTGCTGCTTAGCCTCCGATGGGTCGCACATAAATCTACCGGCCTTGTAAGTTGCATGATAAGGGGTTAGTAAACAACTCCTTACCTACAGTTACACCAATGTTTAAAGGTCCCCTATTATACTGTTTTTCATCAATATGTTATAGGTCTCAGATATATACAGAACCTGTCTCTGATTGGCTGAAACACCAAACAGATCATTGCTTACACATAATGGTTACACAAGCCAAAACATCGTTATGACATCATAAAGTGGCCAAAATCTGATCAGCTCATTTTCAGACAGGTTTTTATATAAATGGATCAGGACAAAAAGAGAGAGAATCTTTTTTCCTGAAACTTTCAGAGTCTCTTTACACAGAGGGGACACATTATTTTGCATAATAGGGGACCTTTAAGATCTGATCCACACTTCTGTAGGCCGAGAGTTCCCGATCTAGCAGAACTTTAACAGTGTTTTACACCATAGTGTTGACGATCCGCTGGTCAGTTTTCCCACTGTACACTTATTGCAGTTACATCTCAGTTATAGCATTTACTCTGGTTTGAGAGAAGGTTTTCTTGTTTTTGGGTGAAACATTTGTCCTTAAATGTTTTATATTTTGTACATTTGTATGTAACATATCATGTAAATATACAGAGACAGTGTTTTAACTCATCTGGAGGATTTTGTAGTCTTTGTAAAGCCCTAATAAATGGTATTTGGTGTCACACAAGCAAACAACATGCTGACCTTCTTTATTTGTCTAATGGAAATGTCCTTTTTTCTGGTCTGTTTTGGCAAGTTTATGGGGTAAAGACATCAGAAATGGGTAATGTGAAGTGAATACTTGAATGCTAAAATTATAACAAGTACTAATTCAAAGTATGGTACATTTACAACACAGTACAAGTATTTTTCAGTTGGCTATGAATTTCTCAGACCAGAGGAACTCAACTTCAATACAATCCTTTATTTATGCTATTTTGATGCACAACATTGTCAATTCAGGTTCAATGGTTTTTATTGAAATACTTGAACAATACAGGTTTTATTTCTAGAATCAGAATCGTAACAAATAAAAAATAAAGACAATATTTACACAAATTATAATTATGTGAGGAACTGAATACAGTTAAATATAATACATATATATATTTAACTTTGTAGCATCTATTTTCTTCTCTTTTATTTAATAATTTAAATAATTTGTCTTTCACTCTGACACACTCCTGTACACTAGGTGGCGGTAATGCACCTTCTAACGTTGGTTTGCAGCCCGCCATTAAAACAGCAGAAGAAGAAGAACGGAACAAACGACGAAGAAGAAAAAGTAAGAAAGATGGAAGCAGTGATGAAGTCAGAAAAAGACCTAAACATGTTTAAATCTAAAGAAACCTCCATATATTTACACAAACACTCCTACTGGTTTGACTTCTGGTTGTTCGTGGTCTTCGACATCGTGTTTTTCCTCGTCATGTACTTTATAATCCCGTAAAAAAGGTGAGTTGGAGATAAGAAGTTTCTCGATAACGTTTTGTAACTAAGGGTGGATACCGGAAGTTGATACAAATACTGAGCTAACGTTGACAGTGAGAGGTTATATTAAAAAGCTATTTATTTGTCATTGACAGAATAGTATTTAAGTTAAACTAACCCAAGCCCAGAAGCTTTTTCTCCCCTTTAGTTAGTAAGCTAGCTATCACTATGTGGAGCTACCTATTTAAATACTAGCAATGTCAACACAGATAAGCCCGGAAGTAGAGGAGTCAGTTACTCAGAAACTATTTGGTTTAGGCCAACTATCTTTTTATGTATTAAACTTACATATGTGTGCTAAGTCCCAATACCATTTAAAGATGAATATATATGACAGATTGTTCACAATATACATTTGAAAGGAAAAAAGTCAGACTCCAACCCAGGGACAGTTGCAACATGTTTAAAATACTTACTTATTTATACAATAATAACATAGTATTTGTGTATAAACTCCACAGTTAAACACACGCCACCATATCCATAAATTGTTTTGCAACTTGTTGATTTAATCCCAACAGTTTGATATCATCATAGAGCCAACTTTAGAGCAAAATAAAAAGTAATACATATAGTTTATAGAATATTTAGGTTTTCTATAACTTTTTATACAAAATCAATAGTGCTTTTAAGAATTGACACAGTTTAACAAAACATGGTATCATGATAGTAAGTGTATCAGTAGTTTTTCACACTCCTAGGTTGCATTAATATTGGTTATGCATGAACTGCTTGTTTAAACACTGACAAGATCTTAATAAACCCTAAAAAAACAAGTATTATAGTCTGTTCAAATCACTGTACGTCTCCACCTTTTTTCTGATTTTTAACATTTTTTTAAAGGTTTGTCCCCTGGAGAGAAAGAGTCCCTGCTGTGAGGAATGCTAACCGAGCTTCTACTGATTTGAACACCATATTATGGGATATCACGTCCCATGTTTCCACAACTTGGACTAGAACTACAAGTCCGTACATGTGTCTTCCTCCTGCTTTGAAACCAGACATTTGACCCTCAGAGCTCGGTCTTTCTGCACGGATGGATTCACTTTGTTGCTGCTGCGAAGAGATTCACTTCAAGTTGTTTTATTTAAAAGTGACAATGGCCCTTCTGATGACCCCCTGCTGTGATAACATCAGAGATCTTACCTGCACACCGTGGAGAGAAACGTGATGATTTGGAAAATGATGAGAGCAAGTCTTGAAAGTTTGCACATGTGAAACACTGCAATAAAAATGTTTTACCTACAAGCATGGTGACCATTTCTTGATTCAGCACTGCACATATAAACACATTTCATGCATTTGAAGTATCTATTATTATATAAAAGCAAGCTACGTGCAATATTAGGGAGTTACGATGAATTGCAATACATAAACAACCTGTGGATTTTGATGTACAAGACACCTACTAGCTGCAAACAATAATTGTATTGTAAATCACCAATTATACGCAGATATAATATATATTATTTGAATAACGGTCATTCTGCATAGCGAGTTCTTTTCACTTTTGGTACTTTAAGTATATTTTGACGCTGATACTTGTGTACTTCTTGAGTGACCTTTTGAATGCAGGCCAGAGTATTCCTACACTCTTGTACTTGTACTTTTACTTAAGTACAAGATCTGAGTACTTCTTCCACCTCTGCCAATTATACAGTGATATAATATATGTAATTTAAATAACGGTCATTCTGCATAGCGAGTTCTTTCACTTTTGGTACTTTAAGTATATTTTGTAGCCGATACTAGTGTACTTTTACTTGAGTAACCTTTTGAATGCAGGCCAGAGTATTCCTACACTCTTGTACTTGTACCTAAATACAAGATCTGAGTATTTCTACTTTTACTGAAGTACAAGATCTGAGTACTTCTACTTTTACTCAAGTACAAGATCTGAGTACTTCTACTTTTACTGAAGTACAAGATCTGAGTACTTCTACTTTTACTCAAGTACAAGATCTGAGTACTTCTACTTTTACTCAAGTACAAGATCTGAGTACTTCTACTTTTACTCAATTACAAGATCTGAGTACTTCTGCTTGTACTCAAGTACAAGATCTGAGTACTTTCACTTTTGGTACTTTAAGTATATTTTGATGCCGATACTTGTGTACTTTTACTTGAGTAACCTTTTGAATGCAGGCCAGAGTATTCCAACACTCTTGTACTTGTACTTTTACTTAAGTACAATATCCGAGTACTTCTTCCACCTCTGGCCATTAAAAGAAAACATCCCCATTATCTCCAATCACTGCGACCACGTGGCTGTCACATGGGGGTCTACAAGTCAGATTTGAATATAAAAACTCCCTACCAAGTTTCCCGCCGCACCGCTTATCTTGCACTAACTTCCGGTCCCACCCACATTCTCGTGTCTCTTCCGGGTGACACAACCACACAGACTTTATTATCCAGTGAGCCGTCGAGATCTGAACGCTGTAAACAAAAGTTACTCCAGGGCTAAACTCTCCCGACACGCTACACGAAAAGACATGCATATTAAAACAGGTGAGTTTGGACCACTTTGTGACAGACGTGACCGAAAACTCCTCACTTTCAACGGCTGTTTTGTTGTCTTGGCGACGGTGTTAGCCTACGTTAGCTTAGCGTGTTAGCCGCTTTTTGAATGGAGGGTTACGAAACTTAAGCTAACGTGCTAAGCTAAGCTGTACATTTCACGATGTGGTGGAACATGTAAAGATATCTCCACGACGACAACGGTTAATGGGATGTATTTTAACTGTAATGAATATGTTTAAACGGTTTATGAATGAAAATGTCGAGTTTTCACTGCCGTACCGTGACGATGCTAATTAAAGTTTGCTAACACCGGTAGCTGCCAACACCGCAAAAACAAATCCCTACATGTTGTTATCGACTCAGCTACAGAGAAGTGTGTGTATATATAATTAGATTATTGTCATGGTGTTTGTAAAGGATAACCTGGATTAGCAACCCTCTCCATTTTGTTTAATATGAAGCGTTTGGAGCAGCACGCTGTTCAGGCCGAGTGTCCTTTTTCTTAATCTGGTTTGTGACCCTACAGGTTATGTAAGACTATAAATAACCAGTGGTGTAAAGTAACTAAGTACATTAACTCAAGTACACTACTTAAGCACAATTTTAAGATACTTGTACTTTACTTGAGTATCTCCATTGTATGCTACTTAGTACTTCTACCTCACTACATTTATTTAATACCCTTTTGAGTCAATTTACAGATTTGGATTAATGATGTGAAATCTAATCAAGTGTTAAATCAGACTTTAGTTCCACCTGGAGTAAATTCACAAGCTACCCTGCAGTATACAAAGTCATTCAAACTAGCTGCACCTTTACCAGCTTTGAGAACACTTTAATTATCAATCATTATAAAACTTATCATATATATTATTCTGAAATGGACCAATCTGCACATGACTACTTTTACTTTTGGTACTTTAAATATATTTTGATGATAATACTTTTCTACTTTTACTTGAGTAACATTTTGAATGCAGGACTTTGACTGTAACAGAGTATTCCTACACTCTGGTACTTCTACTTTTACTCAAGTACAAGACCTGAGTACTTCTACTTTTACTCAAGTACAAGATCTGAGTACTTCTACTTTTACTGAAGTACAAGATCTGAGTACTTTTACTCAAGAACAATATCTCGGAGTACTTTTACTTGAGTAACAGAGTATTCCTATTCCTTTTTAGTATTCATCATCTCATGAACCAGCAAATGTGATAAGAGGACAGTGTTTTAAAAAAATGTATAATTTCAGGGAGTGATTTAAAAAACTACAGTATAAGCTTGGGCCTTTTTAAGAATTAACATACTGTAGTTGCTTCTCCCTGTATGTTAAACTCACACACACACCTATGCAAATAATTTTCAGTACCGTAGACTCACTCATTTACATGGTATGATAACAGTCCATTTGAATACCCTGGTATCTTTATATTGTTGCTCAGAGAAATCATGTGATAATGTGCCATAACTTCCTGATGTTTGTTTTATTGAAGCTGTGGGAAAATCCTTTTATGATCCAGTGCAAAGTAAAGAGTCTTGTGGAGTGACACACCTTTTACTGTGTGTTTGACTCTTGTGTGTGGACAAGAATCTCACTGTTAAACAAAAGGAGCCGGACAGAGATGGGTATAGTTGTGTTTTTTCTGAACGTCAGTCCTAGGTAATGGTATCCTAATAAATCACCAAGAACTGAAACATATCTGATGTTCATTATATCTAGGTAATATAATCATTGTTGTGGAATAAGTCCAGGACTTGCCTATTAAGCTACAAATGATCCTTACTGTAAAAAATACTGAGAAAAATATGAAATTGATTTATGTACATTCGCTGGGGCTGTTATCCTAAAGCTCACAACAGCTCATTTTATCAAGCAAATAAAGTTTCAGTAACTGATCTCACTACAATAAGAGCACTAACATCATGTCATTGTTGCACTGACTGTCTCTAGAATACCGTATGCAGACATTTTTAAATATGCCCTTTTCAGGAAATAACACATTCATGCAGCACGCAAGAAACCGCATGGTGGTCTGTTAAGAGTAGACTATTTGGTGAACTCATTTTCATTTAGATATCTTTATGTGAACATGACAGTGCTAGATTTTCCCCAGTCAAAATGTAGCTTTACTTTGTTGTATCAGTTTGCTTCCTATACTGCAACTGCAACCTATCACACACGGGGTATCAGTACATTTAGCAGACATTTGACGGACATCTGAACTCATTTTCATTTAAATATCTTTTTGTGAACATGATAGCGCTAGTTTGTCCCCAGTCAAAATGTAACCTCCTACACGGCAAAAGTAACTTATCAAACACTGAGTAAAAATACATTTAGCAGACATTTGACTGACATCTGAACATCTCTTTCAGGTACATGGGAAGCCAGCAACCCTGTGTGTGAGTCCGACACTCTGTGCGATCCAGCAGTCCTCGTTGCATCCACAAACTCAGAGCCTCACATTCGCAACCGTCGCCTGTCACCTGGCTCTGGGAACTGTGGTGGAGGAGGAGGAAGCTGCATCTCTGGAGGAGACCAACCTCAACCCCGGAGCATTTTACCCGAAGGCGAGCTGATCCGCCACGTGCACACCTTTAGCAGCAGAGACAAAGAGCGCAAGCACCAGCAGCACAAAGGCCGAAGTCTCCGTAGAGAGAGCCAAAAGGGGGTCGGACGGGCATCAAAAGTCCACCAGAACCTGAAGGAGAGGTGGGTTGAAGACAGTCTGTCGCTGCTCAAACCTCCGCCTGCCTTCCCGGTGCAGGACAGCCCCGCCAAGCTGCAGCCGGCCGTCAGCTACGCCTCCAAGGTGAAGGCGAGAGCGGCCATTGGGGGGCTGGAGGAGGAGGAACGCCCGGCCATTGGGGTGCTGCTGCAGAACCAGTGGGGGCTCAGTTTCATCAGCGAGGCCAGGCCGCCTGGAGAGAGCCGAAGCCCCCGAAACGCCGCCTCCACAACCACAGACGCCCAACAACAGCCAGCAGATCCACAGACGCTTCCGGAAGAAACGGCCACTCCAGTCGCTACCGCTGTTCCCCCAAACACCAACACACGCTCCGAGGAGGACGAGAGCAACGGGAAGCTGCTGCTCAGCTGTCGCCACCTAGTGGAAGCTTTGAACTATCACAGTAGAGGTGAGCACAACTGTCGGATGGTTTATTTAAATGACAAAATGTGTAACTTGTTGTAGACTTCTCAGACATTTTTGACATACTATACTATGTTTTTTTTCCCCTCATATTTTCGACACGCTATAATTATGTTTTTTTTAACTTATTATACTATCTAGTTTTTTCTCATATTTTGGACATACTATACTTTACCCTGTCAAAAATGAAGAGAGTACACACAGTCTGAAACCAATCTGTTCGACTGCATCTTTGCTAAAGTCAAAATAAAATCTCTTCTGTACGTAGCACTTAGGAATGTCTGGCTTTAAGTGAAGCTAATGCAGTAGCACTTAAAGCTTTGAACTATCACCGTAGAGCAGCGCTTGTCAGATGATTCATTTATTTAAATTACGTAACTTGTTGTAGACTTCTCAGATATTTTCGACACACTATAAGGAGGTTTTTTTGTAATCTAATGCAGTAGCACTTAAATCTGCTTGGGCTTAGAGACAGGAAATGTACCTGATTCTCGCTTTGAGTTTGTGTCTTAATGGTTGCACTTATTGATTTGATTGATTGTAAGTCCATTTTTTTGAATAACAACGACGGCTAAATGAAATGTGATGTAAAAAAACTTTAATTTCAGTGCTTTAATTCTACTTTCTTCTTCTCTCCTCAGAATGGAACGCTATCTGTAACAAACAGAAAAAAGGTACGTGGACTCAAAGTACTCACTCAACACTTGGACGATGATTACATGGAAAATTACTTCTGATTTAAAGCTAAGATTTGTCTCAACATGTCCCCGCTTTAGGCAGAGTTCAGAAAAACTTCCTGGTGTATGTCGTGGCCTTTTAGTCAGTTTCTAAAATAAAAAGCCACTTCCCTTCGTCGCGATCCAGGCGGCATATAAACACAAACGTTCGACATGAACGTCCTCAATTTAAAAGCAACAACGGGAATTCTCCGTACAATTCAATATACGTAAATGAACATGCTTTAATTCACAAAAGCAAATAATTAAGTACATTATTTGCAGATATTCAAACAATAATTATCCTATTAAAGTCAAATGGCTCCAACAGTATATTACCATTTGGCTTCCCTTTTCACACTTGAAGAAACATTGTATTCACACACACACACACGCACACACACACACACACACACACACACACACACACAGAAAACAAGTTATTGTCTGTAGATGTGTTGTTTACATTGAGGCACTCCAATTCTCTCCTGTTGACATCTATTTCTTGCTCTTTCTGCAGGTCTGAAAAAGGTCGTCTGGTACAAGGACCCCGAGGAGCACCCAGCCTAGCGGTGTGAGGGACAACCCAAAGCATATATAAAAACACACACACACACGTATCACATGCACATTCAAACGTATAAAGATGGACACATTTACACAATGCACTCAGGATGATGTCTTCACGCAAAGCCACACTGAGACACTTTGGACTAACTTTTGAGAGCTTACAGCAACGGACTTTTTTAACGCCTTACAGAGAGCCTGCCTTAAATAATCAGAGCTGTTTTCACCCCCTCTCATTACCATTTTTAGCTTGTGTGTGTGCGTGTAGAGCTGGTGTTTTTTAAAAACAATCTTTTTTCAGAAAGCTGTAACTTAATTTACCCCCCCCCTCGTTTTTCCTTTTGAGAGCTACCGTTTTATCTCGTTGTTTTTTTTTTTTTTCCTCTGTAAAGCGAGTGGTCAATCAAGCACTTTGTTAAAAATCAATTGTGACCAATCCCCTGTGTGCCAGAAGCCCCCTCAGCAGAGTAATTAGTGCCCCCCCCCTCTCCTTCTACCTTTTACAAACGGAAGAATGTCTTGTACCTGCTTGAGTTCTCCGGTTGATGTATGCAGAGGATGTGTGTCTTCAGTTTACAGGGGGGTGTAGTCAGAGCACAGCGGAGTTCACCCTTTACCCGTCGGATCCTAATGCTGTGTCCATTTTTGTTTTTATTTGGTTCCCTAGTCGGGTCAATGTTACTCCTGTATCCATAACGGATCTAACCATGTTGTTGTTTTTCTTTTTGAAAAAATATATTGAATAAAAAGAGATACACTGGAGAAGGAGGAATGTAAGTGAACAGTATTGCTTAATAAAAATGAATAAACTTGACATGTTCTGTTTATTTATTTATATGAAGTTCACATTTAATCCTGCTGGCAAAAAAAGTGTTTCCCCATTTTGACAGATTATAACTAAACATTAACAGAATATTTAAATGTTCTATATTGGCAATCCTTGTGTTTTTAAGGGATGGGTTTTCCTAAGAATATATAGATACGTTTTTAAACTGCATCTCACTTTTTTAAGTACAATGGGAACCAGAGCATTTTCTTATCAAGCTCCACTTTTGTGGAATCAGCTTCCAGTTTGTGTTCGGGCGGCAGACAGCCTATCTGTTTTTAAGAGTGCGCTTAAGACCTTCCTTTTTGATAAAGCTTATAGTTAGGGCTGATTAGATTCAGCCCCTAGTTTTGCTGCTATAGGCTTAGACTGTCGGGGGACAATTTACTACTTCTGTCTGTACCTGTGTACTCATGTTCCCAATAACCCAGCTTCCCCCACATTTATTTTTGGTGTCTATATCTACGCCGGGATCCTGAGTCCTGGACTTAGAGTTATGGCTGCACCTGTCACTGTGGTCCTGCCTGACTCATCATACTGCTTCCCTGATGGCTCCCACAGGATTGTTGACATCCTCGTGGATTCATCTTCTTATAGACACATGCATTTCCAAACATTTGGACTACCTATGCTGTAAAAATGTATTATCTCTTCGATTTACACACGGCATCTATTGCACGTCTGTCCGTCCTGGGAGAGGGATCCCTCCTCTGTTGCTCTCCCTGAGGTTTCTCCCATGTTCCCCTTTAAACTGTGGGGTTTCTTTGGAAGTTTTTCCTTGTACGATGTGAGGGTCTAAGGACAGAGGGTGTCGTATTGTCATACTGATATTCTGTACAAACTGAAGTCCACTGAGACAAATGTAACATTTGTGATATTGGGCTATATAAATAAACATTGATTGATACGTTGATGCAACTAAATAGATCATATCATAAATTCACATCTTTTATACATTACAGAGGCTTAAATTGATATTCCCTGGTACAGAAATGCATTTTTTTCCACCCTGGTAAAATCTATATTGCAGGTATTTTAGCCGCTAGATTTCCATTATTTCCCGTTATAGAAAAAGCAGCATTAAGGTGAAGTCTACGTTTGTCACTTTTAGCTCCGTCACCTGATTCAACCTAAGAAAGTAATTGCACTGTAGTCTGAACAATCTGCGGCACTAACGCTGTTATCTGGACTGAACCGGGAACACTATGTTCTGAACTACTGAAATCACACACTATTTTAGGAGCTCAGCACTGAGGCTGTATTACATTACATTTTCACTGTGTGACATCAAACTACCTTATTTAAGCCCGTTATAATAATGGATTTCTCAACTTAAACATCAGTGGAAAGGATATCACTTGAGAAGGAAAACAACCAGCAGTATGTGTGTTTTTGGTAGATTTAGTCTAGCATGTTAATCTCTTAAACTAACACTTGTTCTCCATTTAATTGTACTTTCGTCAAACTTTTTTTTGGGATATTTGTTGTACATTGATATGTCATCTCATCTTTTCAACATACTACGCTGTTTTTAAGACATTTTTGCCATACTGTATATGCCATCATCAATGTTGCACACGGCACCACGGTGGAAGGTCTTAGTGACAACAATTAATCGGGATGGCAACGACAACCTTTTTAACACCACCAGGACCAAAGAGCGCATTGCTGATTACTGGAAATCTGAAAGCTGCAGATTCGTCTCTTTATTTCAATGTTTCTGAGGTGGAACGTTCCATGTTTATACGACTTGGGTTCATCTCGACTCCTCTCTCCCCCTCCTCTGGGACTTGACCCGGAAATCGATCAAGACACGCCATGTTGAAGGACGTCCCAATCGCTGAAATGCACACGGAGGAGTCGATGAGGGGGTGAGGGAGGAGACGAAAGGGAGGATACACGAGAGCAGACTACGCGGAAGTGTTTTCACTACCCGCGTATAAAAGCCCCCCCACCTTCATAGCTGGTCGATTTCAACACAGGAAAAAGGAGAACTGGAAGAATGAGTGGGAAAGCGTCACATAAATCTAAGTTCTCACAGCTTATTATGTGCAATTCATTTCTTAAGTTTATACCAACAATTTAAGTCATGTTTAATGATCTTGAACGTCACTAAAACATAGCTATTAAGAAAGCTATTTCATAAATGGCTAGATCTTGATAAAAAACAATTATTTTATAGTTTTGTGTTAAAATATTCAGGAGTTAAATTATTTAAAATTCACAGTCCTGAATGTGGGGATCTACAGGACACACATTTTCAGAGTAAAGGCATTACTATCATTATATTTATTTAAATGTACATTTTACACCAAAACGGAACACAAAAGCAGGACCAACCATCACACATTGAATTCCTTGACTAACAAGAGAAAGATTAATTCATTTAAATAAATATTTAACAACAAATGGGCCGGTTCTAAAGGGTTATTCAGTTAAGCCCGATGAGAGGGGATACAGCTGTGCACATGTCATCATTAACAGACGTCGTTTAAAAGTGACGTTTGAATGAACGAGGACATCCCAATTAATACCTGAGGACTCCTCTGTCCTCGCGTCACCTCCTCGTGTCTCTCGCTCGCATCTTACGGAGGCGGAGCTAAGACGCAAGGAAGGGACGCGAGTGAGGGAAAGGAGGAGGTGAAATATTCAATTGAGACGAGCCTTTTGTCTTATTTTCTGACTTTCTTTAGATAACTATACTTTCTTGTTTTAAAAAAAAATTTTTACAAGTATAAAAAAGGTGATAGTATAGTATGTCGAAAATAGTGTAAAAAAGTCATAGTATAGTATGTCTAAAAAGTTTAAAAAGTCATAGTATAGTATGTAGAATATATAACACAAATTTGAATTTGTAATCTTATTTATTGTATTTACAATTATACAAATACAGAGAGCAGCATTCTTAGTCCATTTTGTCTCAGAGATTCATTTCCTTCTCATCTCCACACTGCAGCTTCGAAGGCACACGACGGTTCATCGAGTCAACAATTCACACTTCAATCGTCCAATTACACATCTACATTTTAAAAGTAGGATATCCCTCCCATTCTCTTGAGACTGGTAACATCTCCTCTATTAGAGTCAACGAGTCCATCAGTCGTGGGCTTTCTCTGCTTTATTGCTCCACACTGGTTTTCGTTTCTCGATGAACGCTCGGATCCCCTCCTGTCCGTCTCTCAGCGCCAGGTTGTCCACCATCACTCTGGAGGCGGTGGCGTACGCGGCGTCTCGACCCTGAGACATTTGTCTGTGGAGGAAGAACAGAGGACAAGAGAACACAATAGAGCTGGGTGTTAACATCAAATATCATGATATTCTTCACCAGATACGACGACTTTAGGGTTGCTTTAAAGAGTCCTCTCCTGCTGATGTTCAGGTGTATATCAGTATGTAGTGTCTCTACTTTAAAGAGTCCTCTCCTGCTGATGTTCAGGTGTATATCAGTATGTAGTGTCTCTACTTTAAAGAGTCCTCTCCTGCTGATGTTCAGGTGTATATCAGTATGTAGTGTCTCTACTTTAAAGAGTCCTCTCCTGCTGATGTTCAGGTGTATATCAGTATGTAGTGTCTCTACTTTAAAGAGTCCTCTCCTGCTGATGTTCAGGTGTATATCAGTATGTAGTGTCTCTACTTTAAAGAGTCCTCTCCTGCTGAGGTTCAGGTGTATATCAGTATGTAGTGTCTCTACTTTAAAGAGTCCTCTCCTACTGATGTTCAGGTGTATATCAGTATGTAGTGTCTCTACTTTAAAGAGTCCTCTCCTGCTGATGTTCAGGTGTATATCAGTATGTAGTGTCTCTACTTTAAAGAGTCCTCTCCTGCTGATGTTCAGGTGTATATCAGTATGTAGTGTCTCTACTTTAAAGAGTCCTCTCCTGCTGATGTTCAGGTGTATATCAGTATGTAGTGTCTCTACTTTAAAGAGTCCTCTCCTGCTGATGTTCAGGTGTATATCAGTATGTAGTGTCTCTACTTTAAAGAGTCCTCTCCTGCTGAGGTTCAGGTGTATATCAGTATGTAGTGTCTCTACTTTAAAGAGTCCTCTACTGCTCATGTTCAGGTGTATTTTAGCCTTTGCAGACCATTTACATCAGGCATGGGCAAACTAAGGCCCGCGGGCCATATACGGCCCGTTGGGCTTTTTAATCCGGCCCGCCGAATATTGGTACAAAATTGTCCAAATTATAGTAAAGACCGCATTCATTTAGCCTTTTTCCTGCAATACCCGGCATTTCAGTTGATCCCACTAGATGACGCACTCTAGACACAAATGACCTTTGCTGGAGTCGGCAACCCGGCAACAAGATCTAAGAACCAAATACGTACGCTTACATTGGAGGGGGTCGAGATTAACCTGAGCAATAACAGTTCACGGTTAGTACAGTACAGCGAATACAAGTTGTAACAAGCAGTATCACTGAGCAAAGTGACTAGAACGCGACCACACACTTATATAAAGTCAGGCAACGTGTGATTCTGTTTATTTTGTGTAGAAAACGGTTTATGCCACAATATGATACGAGATAGCATAGTAACCGAAGCTAATCAGACTAACATCACCTGTAGTAGAATGCCAGAGAAACGTTCATAACCGCGTTGTGATGCCAAACAGCGTCAATTCATACTGAAACACATTCACTTATGGGGATGGGGGATATTTATCAGCTGCTTGTGTGACAGTCGGACAGTGAATACTTTACAGCGGCCGCTGCCGTGAGTTAACAGTAGAATAAACTCCGGTAGAAGAGCAGCACTGCAGCAGGCGGTAATGCAGCTGAAACACATTAATAAACAATGCACCACGGCACTCTGGAGAAAGGTATAAGGTTGGAGAAGTAGTTCTTTAATTTAATCTGGCTTCGTATGATTAAAAACGACCCGACGCAGTCCTCTATTGATGTTGTTGTGTTGCGGAGAAAATCAGCGACGTAAAACGCCAGTGTGGGTCATAAGAAGGCACGTAAACGGTTACGTCATGACGCAAACGATGACGCAATAACTCACCTTTGAACCTAATTCACCTTTGAACCTGCATCTGTAACAATGAGTGGACCAAGGAAAAGAAAAGTCGACAATGAGTGCCGAGTGTTTAATGAGGAGTGGACAGCTAAATATTTTTTCACCGATCTGCTACTGGCCCGGCCCGTCTGTCAAATTTTAAAACTCATAGTGGCCCCCGAGCCAAAAAGTTTGCCCACCCCTGATTTACATGCACTAAAACCTATAACTCACTACAGGAAAGGGAAAACCCCAGAAAGCAGAACAGGGACTCTTTAAAATCTCACCTCTGGAACGTGGCCTTCCCGAGGGCGACGACCGGGCGACTCGCCTGACAGATTCTCTGAGCGATCAATAACGTTTCCTCCTCCAGACGATCCTCCGGCACCACCTTACTGATGAGACCGTGCAGCAATGCATTATGGGCCGAGAGGGGACTTCCTGTTAACAGCATCTCCATAGCAACCTGGTTAGAAAGAGGGAAGCAATCAGGACGGGAAACTGGATGTTCTTATTGGCTGCTACCTCAATCAATACAAATAAAATAAATGGATGTGTTGTTGGATGTGTCTGTTTTTTATATTTAGAAAATAAACACATTTGTCTTTTTAATTATTAAATTAAATTATTATTTCTTCTTTAATTCGGCATTTTCTTTTTTCTTTTCTTATTTTTAGGGGGAAATTTAAAAATGGTACTCTTATATTTCTATATATAATCTATATATATTATATGTTGTATATATCTCTAAATGTATATATGTTTTATAATTGAAATACAAATATTTTAAATACATAATATTGAATCATTTGACAAAAATATGCCATAACATTTATTTATTAGCACATACCATTATTATTTTTGAGACAATAATACAGTATGCTAATTGTTCAGAAGGTTTTTATAAATTATATATATAATACTCAAAGCTTTTAATGCATAAAAAGGTAAATAAATGAATCTTAAGAAACTATTATTATTTATATAATCTCACCTTCCTGGGCACGGCTCTTCCGATGGCGACGGCCGGCGTGGAGCAGAACAAACCGACGTTCACCCCCGGGGTGGCGAAAGTGGACTGCTCCGTCGCCACGGCAACATCACAGCTGGCGACCAACTGACAACCGGCCGCCGTGGCAACACCGTTCACCATGGCGATGACCGGAACAGGGATGTCCTGAATCAGAGTCATTACCTGGAGCACGGGAGAACTCAATTAATAATGAGTAAATACATAATAAATAAAATAAATAATATAGCTTATAGAAACAGATGATTCATTAACTAGTTTAATCAGGTTTATCGCCAAGTAGGGTAACAAATACAAGGTGTATAACATAAACACAGTAAGAGGAATTCAGTTTTTAAAATGATATATATATGTTTTTATTATAAAGTAAATAGAGAAAATAACAAGAAATATGAATATACAACAAAGTAAGTAAAATATGAATGCAATACTGTGCATTAATGCATGTGCAATACTGTGCAAAATATGAATTTAAAGTGGAAAAAAATAAACAAAACAGAGGTAGTCATCCGTGGCACCATCTTGATTGGTTGTATTTCTTTTATATTGTTAATATTTATATATTTTGTAGCATGTCTGTCTTATAAAAAAAAAACGAATTTACTGTGAGGGAAGAAAATATATTTTCCAGTCTCAATGTCCATTTCACATGAATCCCCATTGTCAACGGCACTCTGTGGAGCACAGACGATTTAAAAAGAACAGTAAATAAGAGGATGCACGATCAGACGCTGTGTGTGTGTGTGTGTGTGTGTGTCTGTGTGTGTGTGTGTGTGTGTGTGTGTGTGTGTGTGTAAGACACTGACCTCTGAACAGATGTGAAACACTCTGGTGTGATACTCTCGTCCCTGAGCCGACGTCAGCTCCTTCAGGTCGTGTCCGGAGGAAAACACTGGCCCTCTGGCTGACACACATATTACAAAATTAAACCCACACACACACACACACACACACACACACACACACACACACACACACACACACACACACACACACACACACACACACACACACACACACACACACACACACACACACACACACACACACACACACACACACACACACACACACACACACACACACACACACACACACACACACACACACACACACACACACACACACACACACACACACACACACACACACACACACACACACACACACACACACACACACACACACACACACACACACACACACACACACACACCACACACACACACACACACACACACACACACACACACACACACACACACACACACACACACACACACACACACACACACACACACACACACACACGCACACGTCCTTATGATGCTCACCTGATATGATGACCACTCTGAGGTCATCGCTGTCGACGTCAGTGAGGAGGTTTTCTCTGAGGGACTCCAGCATGGACAGAGACAGAGCATTCCTTTTCTTGGGGTTGTTCAATATTATTCTCCTGAGACAAGAAGAATAAATTACATTTTAAAGATTTGGTTTGTGTATTAACGCCAGACAGTGTGTTACAGACAATCTCTATTACATTTGTATTGTTGTACAGGGATGTGCAGCCTTTAAACGTTACTGCAATTCATTCTAGAGAATACAACAACTGTGTGTTTGTTATAGAAAAATGCAGGAGATAGAAAAACACCAAATAAGTTCAGTCACTTTAAACTCAGTAGTTACTACTACAGAAATTTTAACCTGAGGAATTTAATATGCCTCCCAGATTTAGTCAAAAAAAATGAACACAACTTTATAGTCTAACCCAGGGGTGTCAAACTCAAATACACAGTGGGCCAAAATAAAAAAATCGGTACTAGTCGAGGGCCGGACTGGTTCAATGTTTATTGCAGAACGTATTGAAATGAACTTATTGCACATATTAAACCTGGAACTAACAAAGCTTAAATGATTGCCAATAAAAACAACATTAAACATTAAATAATCAGTTGCATTCATTTCTTATGGCTCCATCTGCAGCTTCATTTCTTATGGCTCTATCTGCAGCTTTTCCAGAGTCATTTCTTATCATTACATTTCTCCACAGGCCAACAACAGCTTCAACAAAACAATTTCCCTCAAAGAACAAACCAAACATGCCCTGTTGTCTCAAGAAAGAAAGTGCAGAAGGAAACATCCATGTAAACTCAGTGTGCTGCTCTGTGATGCTAGTTCAAGCCAGATACTTGGCATCTCATCTTGGGTGCAAGGTCATCAATGTTTGGGGTCAGGCTCTGAGCTGAGGAGACCCTCAGGGTTGAGTGAAGGTGTGCGTGCAATATACCGGCGGGCCAGATCTAATAGTAATTAGAAATTATCCTGCGGGCCGAAATTAAATCCACCAAGGGCCTGATTTGGCCCCCGGGCCTTGAGTTTGACACATGTGATCTAACCTGTACGACCTGTTTTACCAGAGATGATGTTCCACTTCCTCGTACATTTAGGCAAAACTCTGTTCAAAAATGTACTTTCTTTGTTCAGTTATGAAAGCTAGATTTATTAAAAGGCTGAATGGTACTGTGGTAGTTCACAAAAAAATGTAGTTTACCAAAATCCAAGCTCATAAATTCAGAAAAATTTACAAAATGTGCAAAATGTACTTAACTTCATACTGTATTAATAAAAAGTAAATGTAGAAAATGGGCAGAAAATAAAGCATAGACATACGCTTTAATGTAACAGCTGTGCTGACCAAGATGGAGCACATTTGATCTATTTAACTTAATGTTTGAACGTTTAATGCATATATTTGTATAGGCATTATTTTGTTGTTCTTAACTGGCATATTAAAGCTGCTAAATAATTATATCAGCCCAGAAAAAAAATTATATTACATGTCTAGAAGACGAACAAAGTACCTCAAAATGCAGTTTAGTGCAAACTATGACTCAATATACCTACATACTTTCTACCTTTGCATTATTAATTATATGTTTCCATAGATTAAAGTATTCAGTGGTATATAAAGTAGGGCTGCTCGATTATGGCAAAAATCATAATCTCGATTATTTGGGTCAATAATTGATATCACGATTATTAAAAATGATTATCCATTTACTTTGAAAACATCCATTTATTGAAAAAAAACAACAGTATGTTTTTAACAGTTGATTACCCTGAACTTTAAGTATAATTCAACTGAAAAACCAATAAAAAATAAATAAAAATAAAATAAATAAATAATCGTTTTATTTCGATTATGTTGTTTTCATAATCGTTGCAAGCCAAAATCGTAATTGCGATTAAAATACGATTAATTGAGCAGCCCTAATATAAAGTATGTTATTAGTGGCACCACCAGACCTTGGGTAAGGAAACGCGGATTTAACAGTGCAATAATGCATGGAGGAGCCACATACTAATACTGATTTTTCATTTAAAAATATATCTATAAGCCGATTTAACAATAACCTAATTGCATGAGGAATGACGTGCTGTTTGATGTAGTAAAACGCGATAAAATCCACATTATCTTCATAATTATGCTGTTTTTGCACCTGGAAATCAGAGTTTGCACACGTTTCTTCACTGCACCTGATTCCGTTGTTTTGCTGTCTTAACGTCAGCGGTTCCGGTTCTGTGTGAGAGTAAAACCGGGTTCCTGAGAGCGGGGTTTGAGTCCTGAGGAGCTGAAACACTCCGACAGATCTGCAGAGGAAACAGCGAGCCATGTTTACCTTCTGCTTCACCTTCTCACACTCACTTCCGGGGGCGACGACGTCAAGGTGACGTAATGCGACGTAAGATCCAAGATACCAAAATACAAACACATAAAACATTTATATTATATATTTTTTCTGTTAGAAATTCATGTGTTGGAAAGATACATGTACTTTATTTATATTTATTGTATATATTATTAATACACTGAGGGACTAAATATATGTTATACTGCTCAACGTTTTACCTTGATGTTGTGATATCTTGTTTTAACAGTTGTAATTTTAATTGTATTATACTTGTGTGAACTCTTATCTGTACTGTCCTTTATTTCACTCTCACTCTTGACTAAGGTCCATGTTATCTTATCCTATTTAAAATACCTGAAAAGGCCTAATTTCCAATACAGTATTTGACAGTGTTTACTAAGAAAAGTACTCGTCTTGTGCATCGATCCTTGCCTTAACCCTCCTGTTGTCTTCGGGTCAAATCTGACCCATTTACTACTTTCATCAATCATAACTTTTTTGTTTTACATTCGATTGCATTAAGGCTTTATGATATCCTTCACAGTAGACATTTGAACATATCAAATTGCTGATCACCACTTTCATTGAGTTTTGGATGATTTAGTCAACTTTGTAACACCCATGGTGTTCCCGGTCAGATAAAACACACACACACACACACACACACACACACACACACACACACACACACACACACACACACACACACACACACACACACACACACACACACACACACACACTAGATGTGTTTCCCCCCCTTATGTGCCCAATCCCCCCATGTAAATCACACCTGGCACACGCAATACATGTTCAGTGTCTATTCTTTGTATATTTACTGCAGTTTTTCATGTATACCAGTAGTCTGATGCAATATTTACAGTTTGAAAGGGTGTTAAATTACATTTTGTGATTTGATGATTAATGGTTTTTGTGTTAATGTAATAGCAGTTAAAACAGGACCGGTCAAAGTAAGGGGGGGGGGGGGAAACGAACACAATAGGAGGGTTAAGGGAAATGTAAAATGTATGGCCATGAAGGGATTATTCTAAAGTGTTTTTCATTGTAACATACAGTAACATTACACAAGAGGTTGTGTAGCAGGTGTATTCATGCAGTGACCTTACTAAGAAAAAACATTTATATGCATTCATATTTTTTTTACTATCATATTTTCTTGCAAAGACTTCTTAATCTATGTCCATATTTTTCTTTAAATATTCAAATTTCCTTGCATTTTGTACATTTTCTAATAATGCAAAAGTTTGGTTGTATAAACGAAATGCACATGTAATACCCCGCCACTGTTTATTGTGCTATGCTAAAGTAATATTCACTGACTTGAAAGAAAACCCCAAAATACTAATATCTGTAAACCTTTTCAAATGAGAAAAAGTGACAAAATCCAAAATCAAATCAAACAAAACGACTTCTGAAAATGGCAGATTAATGAATGAAGACAGCATTTGAGCAGTTCAGGTGATGTTAAGAAGAAGTGCATTTATTATTTAACAACACACAGACAATTAAAGTGAAAATACACACTTACAGTACGGTGATTTATTGCCATTAGCTTCCACTAATAGTAGTTAACCGTGATTTAAATCAGTAAGAAAATGGCACCAATGATCGTAATTTATTGCTTTAATTATAACGATAAAGAGATCAAAATGATTGGATTGTGGAGACGGAAATTAAGTGCAAGATTTGAAATATTATTCTAAAAAAACATAAAAGAAATACAAGTGTTAGGAGACGAGTTTAGATAAGGCAGGGAACAGGAGGAGAGCGAGTCCCGTTAGAGAAGGAGAAACTCCATTTCCCAGAATCCTCCTCACCACCAGGAGGAGCAGGAGGCCGGCCTCATGTCAGGTGACGGCGTTCATGCTCTGGCCTCCGTCTCCGGGGCTGAAGAACTGCACTTTAGTGGATGCGATGCCGGAGTTGTTCCTCCGGAGCCCCCCGCTCCCCCCCGCTGCCGCGCCTTTACGCATGGAGTTGTTTCGCCGCATGGAGTTCCTCTTCCTCAGAGAGTTCTGGTGCGACAGCTCGCTCTTCTGCAGCGTCTGGATCAAGATGGAGGGCTTCTCGTCCAGCTCTCTGGCGCTGCAGCGGGGCGTCGTCACCTGAAGAGATATATATATATATAAATATATAATAAAAATGAATAAGTAACTTAACTTTAAATAAGACATTATTATTAATTTTGAGAATTATAACACATTGTATTATATTTTAAAATATGTATATATTTACTTATTTAACCTTTTAATTTAAGTAATTATTTTATAGTGGCGGCCTGAAATTGTGAGTAAAAATTCACATGACTTTTGGCTTTAAAAGTCATTTTCCAACTTTCTTTTGTATTGCAGTTAAAAAATGTTTTTAACATAAATTGAAACAGGAAGTCATATATATATTTATTTTTCTAATATTTTGTGCATGAATCACTGAAGACCGGTTTGTTGTCTCCCACCTTGACGGTGTTCCCAAACTTGGAGTAGTCCACGGAGTAGACGCCGTCCTCCTCCGTCACTATGGGACCGAAGCGGTGTCCCCACTGGATCTCCTCGGAGATGTAGGAGGTCCTGGCCTGAGTCGTGATGCCGGTCGTCTCTACGACTCCTTCAAGGATCACGATCACCTCCAGGTCGCTGCACTGGAGCTCCATCGCCGACAGGTCGTACAGAGGGCTGCACACAACACACACACACACACACACACACACACACACACACACACACACACACACACACACACACACACACACACACACACACACACACACACACACACACACACACACACACACACACACACACACACACACACACACACACACAACACCTTTAAAACTGATGCAGGAATGAGTCCTAACACCTGGGAATGAGTCTGCAATTTTGCACAATCCCTTGTTTTTACAATATTTATCTTCGAGGGAAATTAGGTTTATAAGTGACTGTATATAACATAATAAATTAAAGGAAAGTGTGCAATTACATATAGAAAATAAAATACTCATGAAAATGTAAATCTTAATCATAAAAAAGGTGTTAATACAAATAATAATAATACAATTGAACAGCACTTACAGGTTTTAAATCCATTAAAAAAAAAGATCTGCAATCAGACATTAAAATAATAATTAAACAAAAATACTAAACAATCATATAAATAAACAAATAGTTAAAAAAAAAAGTACTTTGTTGAACCCAGGTAATGAATCCATCTTGTTTTACCTGTGTTTGTCGATGACGTGGCAGATGACGAGCGGGGCTAACAGGAAGAGGTTGTTGTTAGCGACGACCGTCTCCGTCTGGACATCGATCTGATGGATCGGGATCACCTCGCCCTCGGGGGTCGTCGTCTTCCTCACCACCTGAACACCGACATTAATCATATGTTCATATTAAAGGTCCCCTATTATACTGTTTTTCATCAATATATCACAGGTCTCAGATATATCCAGAGCCTGTCTCTGATTGGCTGAAACACCAAACAGATCATTGCAGCATCCCATAATCCCCTCTGTTTCAGCCCTGTTTCCAAAGTGCTGATTCTCTGTCTGTTACTTTAGATGAAAATAAGGAGCCCCTCCCCACGCCCCTCTGAGAGAGATTTGGTTAAAAAGAACACAATGGTGCTCTAGGAGGAGATTCAGGTGATAAGGTGGGGGGGGGGGGGGGTTACCTTGGTTGCTGATTGGCTAATGGTTACACAAGACAAAACATCGTTATGACATCATAAAGTGGCCAAAATCTGATCAGCTCATTTTCAGACAGGTTTTTATAGAAATGGATCAAAAAGAGAGAGAATCTTTGTTCCTGAAACTTTCAGAGTCTCTTTACACAGAGGGGACACATGTTGATGAAGAAGAGACATGAAGAAGAGGGGACACATGTTGATGTAGAAGAGACATGAAGAAGAGGGGACACATGTTGATGAAGAAGAGACATGAAGAAGAGGGGACACATGTTGATGTAGAAGAGACATGAAGAAGAGGGGACACATGTTGATGAAGAAGAGACATGAAGAAGAGGGGACACATGTTGATGAAGAAGAGACATGAAGAAGAGGGGACACATGTTGATGTAGAAGAGACATGAAGAAGAGGGGACACATGTTGATGTAGAAGAGACATGAAGAAGAGGGGACACATGTTGATGTAGAAGAGACATGAAGAAGAGGGGACACATGTTGATGTAGAAGAGACATGAAGAAGAGGGGACACATGTTGATGTAGAAGAGACATGAAGAAGAGGGGACACATGTTGATGTAGAAGAGACATGAAGAAGAGGGGACACATGTTGATGAAGAAGAGACATGAAGAAGATGGGACACATGTTGATGAAGAAGAGACATGAAGAAGAGGGGACACATGTTGATGTAGAAGAGACATGAAGAAGAGGGGACACATGTTGATGTAGAAGAGACATGAAGAAGAGGGGACACATGTTGATGAAGAAGAGACATGAAGAAGAGGGGACACATGTTGATGTAGAAGAGACATGAAGAAGAGGGGACACATGTTGATGAAGAAGAGACATGAAGAAGAGGGGACACATGTTGATGAAGAAGAGACATGAAAAAGGGGGGACACATGTTGATGAAGAAGAGACATGAAGAAGAGGGGACACATGTTGATGTAGAAGAGACATGAAGAAGAGGGGACACATGTTGATGAAGAAGAGACATGAAGAAGAGGGGACACATGTTGATGAAGAAGAGACATGAAGAAGAGGGGACACATGTTGATGAAGAAGAGACATGAAGAAGAGGGGACACATGTTGATGTAGAGAAGTGGATTTTGCATAATAGGTCTCCTTTAAATAATAGGTATATAATAATGAAAAGGTGACACACACACACACACACACACACACACACACACACACACACACACACACACACACACACACACACACACACACACACACACACACACACACACACCACACACACACACACACACACACACACACACACACACACACACACACACACACACACACACACACACACACACACACACACACCTGCAGCCGGACGGTGGCTCCGATGATCATGCTCTTCCTCAGGTCTCCGATGCGGATCATGAAACACAGACAGTTGTTTCTGACGGCGATGACGGCGTGGCGGCTGAAGATCAGAGTCTCCGCTCTGCGATTCGACTGAGCCGTCTTCATGAAGATACACCCTGCAGGGAGAGAAAATATATATATGTTCAAACATCTAACGTGTGGATAGTATCTGGATACGTGTGAGAGATAAATATATTTTATGGTAAAAAAAGGTTTGAACTGCAAGTTTCCACTCCATGAAAAGAGCACTTTGCTTTTTTATACATGTACTCCCCTTCATCTTAAAGTAAAAAATGGACTACAAAGAGACACAGAAAACACAAAATGACAAAAAAAGTTCTGAAATGACTCCAAAAAACACAAAGACTGTAGAAGAGGTGGTGGGGCTTAGGCATGTCTGCACCCAGGGCCCATTGTAATATAATCACCATGAACATACAGTATATAGTAAAACCAGCAGAAGTTCTTTAATCTCACCGAGCATGACAGCGTTGATGATGAGCCCCACGATGTTCTGCATGATGAGGACGGTGATGGCGGTCGGACAGTGCTCCGTTATCATCCGTCCCCCGAAGCCGATAGTCACCTGAACCTCGATGGAGAACAGGAAGGCCGAGGTGAAGGACCTGAGGAGGGGGAAGTTATTTAAAGAGGACATGTTAGTATCATGTTCAGGTGTATATCAGTGTGTAGTGTCTCTACTTTAAAGAGTCCTCTCCTGCTGATGTTCAGGTGTATATCAGTATGTAGTGTCTCTACTTTAAAGAGTCCTCTCCTGCTGATGTTCAGGTGTATATCAGTGTGTAGTGTCTCTACTTTAAAGAGTCCTCTCCTGCTGATGTTCAGGTGTATATCAGTGTGTAGTGTCTCTACTTTAAAGAGTCCTCTCCTGCTGATGTTCAGGTGTATATCAGTGTGTAGTGTCTCTACTTTAAAGAGTCCTCTTCTGCTGATGTTCAGGTGTATATCAGTATGTAGTGTCTCTACTTTAAAGAGTCCTCTCCTGCTGATGTTCAGGTGTATATCAGTATGTAGTGTATCTCCTTTAAAGAGTCCTCTCCTGCTGATGTTCAGGTGTATATCAGTATCTAGTGTCTCTACTTTAAAGAGTCCTCTCCTGCTGATGTTCAGGTGTATATCAGTATGTAGTGTCTCTACTTTGAAGAGTCCTCTCCTGCTGATGTTCAGGTGTATATCAGAATGTAGTGTCTCTACTTTAAAGAGTCCTCTCCTGCTGATGTTCAGGTGTATATCAGTATGTAGTGTCTCTACTTTAAAGAGTCCTCTCCTGCTGATGTTCAGGTGTATATCAGTATGTAGTGTCTCTACTTTAAAGAGTCCTCTCCTGCTGATGTTCAGGTGTATATCAGTATGTAGTGTCTCTACTTTAAAGAGTCCTCTCCTGCTGATGTTCAGGTGTATATCAGTATGTAGTGTCTCTACTTTAAAGAGTCCTCTCCTGCTGATGTTCAGGTGTATATCAGTATGTAGTGTCTCTACTTTAAAGAGTCCTCTCCTGCTGATGTTCAGGTGTATATCAGTATGTAGTGTCTCTACTTTAAAGAGTCCTCTCCTGCTGATGTTCAGGTGTATATCAGTATGTAGTGTCTCTACTTTAAAGAGTCCTCTCCTGCTGATGTTCAGGTGTATATCAGTATGTAGTGTTTCTACTGGGACATGTCTCCATGCTTTAATGTTCAGCTGCAGCACCTCTTTTCACCCTCTGTCTGAAACCAGAGCCCAGTCTGCTCTGATTGGTTAGCTGGACGGCTGGTTTGTGATTGGTCAACCACTTAGAGATGTCCCGCCCCTTAGCCTATCACGTACAATGTGTTGGAGCGCTAGCCAATAGGAGTGCGAGTGATACATAGTGATGTCACTGTGTTCTTCACAGACCATTTACATGCACTAAAACCTATAGAACACTACAGGAAAGGGAAAACCCCAAACAGTCAGACAGAGTCAGCGTCTTGCTGCCAACGTTGAGCTTTTGGCAGATGATGTTGGTTGTATTTTTAGAAAATAAAAGATCTGCAGCTGCTTTAAATCTTTCTGAAGTCTTTCTGATACAGCTTTAAACAAGTTGACCTTTGTTTGCCCCGTATCAAGAGTCACTTATATTTAGAAAAACTACCCAGTTTATGAGAATAAGAATCATATCTCTCACGGTAAAGTAAATATTATAATTTGTTTTGACAACTGTATGTGCTGCTGGGTAGCCTGTGAGTTTTCCCGAGAGTGCAATACATTTTATTGATTAAAAAAACATTTATTTGATGATCATTTATCATATTTTTAATCTGCAAAGTAAGTAGCAGTGGAGTAAAAAGGACATGATTTGCCTCTGAGATGTAGTGGAGTAGAAGTAAGTAGCATAAAAGTCAAATACGGAAGTACAAGTACCTGCAAAGTGTTGTTAAAAAGTAATTATACCGGAAGGGGGACAATGGAAAAGAGAGGCACAGATAGAGGGAGATAGAGGGAGGGAAAGTGAGAGGGAGGTGCCAAAAACTTCCCTCCCCTCCTACAATCTTTACTGAACTCTCCCTGTAAGGATGGGAGAACAACTTGTGTTACTTCCTGCCATAATTAATATATTTTCTTTTGTATTACTCCTCCTCATTTATCGAATAAAAAATGGAGGAAGAGACGAAGGAGAGGAGAGTTTGGATCAAGTAAGGGTGGAAGAGAAATGTTTTAAGTCTAATAAAACACACTCTAACAACCTAAACCACACTTTTATATATACTTTTTATAATACTGACGACTCTAATATCTCTCTTACTTGACGTCGGTGACGCAGTGCGTGCCGTTGTGCCGCACCGGGTCCAGGTCCCCGTGCGCAAACGCCACGAGCCACCAACTCATGGCGAAGAGCAGCCAGCTGCTGACGAAGGTGGTGCTGAAGATGACCAGCGTGAACCGCCACTTCAGGTCCACCAGCGTGGTGAACACGTCCTGCAGGAATCTCCCCTGCTCCCGGATGTTCTTGTGCGCCAAGTTACACGATCCGTTTTTGGCGATGAAGCGCGCCTTGTTTACCCGGTCCCTGAACACCGGTTTTCTGGGCATCCGAGAGGCGAGCCCCGGGAGTCCAAACTCCTCCGGGATGATGCTCTTTCTCGCCAACATCTCTTTGTTGAATGTGAGGGGAAAAAGGGTGAAAAGTTTGTTTTAATCCAGGTTTTAGTGCGTAATTACGCGCGGATCCAGCATGTCCACCTGCAGGAAAAGCGCACAGAAAGACGCGCAAAGTCTGCTCCGTGTGTCCACATTTGGAGGAAGTTTCCTCTGAGGGAGGACGCGCTCCTCTCCTGTTGACGTAGGACAAACTTCCAGAGCCCCAGACCTGCTGCTGCCTTCAAGGACCGCTCGGTGACCCTCGGAAAACACGACGTTTAAAGCCAAACGAATAAAAACCTCCCTTGAAAATGACTAATTTATGTGTTTAAAAGAAAACGTGTTGGAATTGTTTGATAAAACAAACAATAGCACCAATAAAAAGATCTCAAAAAGTTAATGTCATAACTTTATGCACGTAACTTTGAATCAGTATTTACAAAAATCAAGGAGAACTTTTTTATAACATTTAAAGTCACGTGCATTTAGTAATGACATTACCTTATTTCCAAACTTTTTTTATTGGTGCTAAAATAAAAAGGAAAGGAAATTTGGACTTTGAATCAGTATTTAAAAAAATTAATTTAAAAGAACTTTTTTTTTTTTCCTTTCAGTCCAAAACGGACCTCTCACACAAAATCCCAATTTAAAAATAAAAACAGATTAATTTATCTTTTATAAAAAAAAACAATTTGTAAATAGTCCTCAGTTATATTATATAATTATATATATATACTAAATGGATAGCTGTTAATAAATACAACCACACAGACTTGTGTGAATATGAATACTTACTACTAAGTTTGAATGAAATGAAAACGGTCAAGAGTTAAGACATGGTCAGTGGGTTAAGACATGTTAAGAATGTTTGCATTGTGATAATAAATATATATTAAATAGCCTTGAATACAGAAAATATATATAAATGTAATAGCCTAAACTATAGACATATATATATATATATATATATATATATATATATATATATATACATCTATTGTCTACAATATTGAAAAATAAATATACATTAAAAGCCTAAAATATAGAAATAATTAACATATAATTAAACATGTAATAGCCTTAAATATAGGGAAATTAATAAATAAATATACAATTAATCTCTCTCTCTCTGACATACTCCTTGGCATATTTTTGGCTCTCAGAAATCATTTTAATTATTTTAAAAAGTAGAATTGATATGTAGAGATGTGACGCTCAGCCACCAGGGGGCGCCCTTTAGCAACTTATTGTATGACATCAGAAAAAAACAAGAAGGCTTAAGTCACTCAAAACCCTTTATTATCATTTTAAGTGTAAAAAAAACTGAGGCACACATTATAATAATAATAATACTGAGCGAGATAAAAAGTCTTGGATATACAGAATGTACACGTACATACATTTATAGTAAAAATGAAATCAAACGGTACTAAGATGCATTGTTATAACATTCAAATGTGCTTTTATGCTTTAAGTGTTTACTGTGTTACAATGGGCTGTCAAAGATAAATAAACCCACACGATGCATTTTCTATATAAAAAGAACAAACATGAGATATAAGATGTAAAGATGACAATTGATACTGCTTTCTTGTCAAAAAAACAAAATGAATGAAATTCTTGCAAAATAATGTATATGGCATTTCGTCTGTACAGTACAAAGTCATTTAAAACGTGTCATTAGGAAGCAAAGTGAGTATAATTAATCTCAAAAATACAAAAAAGGGACAAAAGCACCTCACACGAATTTAATGGAAGACTTTTGTGTCTGGATAAGGAAAGAAATGTTGAATTAACTTAAGAAATATATATATTTCAACGTTATTATAACTTCAGTATTTTGACATACTGAATGATTCTTTTAATAATGTCTCTAGTTATTTTCAGATACAAAGTATGTCAAAACAATATGAAGGGATAAGTTACAACTTTGAAAAAAAATCGTTATCTTTTGAGAATAATTTTGAATATTTGGAAAAAAAATCTCAACATTTTAAGATTTTTTATATTTTGAGATTTCCAGATCAGTAAATCATACTTTTCCAATAAAGTATATTTAAAATGCCTTAAATTTGCAGAAATGGGCATTTTGAGAACAAATTCTTAATATTTTGCAAAAAATTGTTAATATTTTGAGAAAAATTGTTAATATTTTGAGAAAAAAATCTTAATATTTTGAGAAAAAAATCTTAATATTGAGAAAAAAACGTAATAGTTTGCGGATTGTTTTTTTACGATTTTTGGGGAAATTCTTAAAATGTTGCGGGAAAAATCTTAATATTTTACGGAAAAAAATCCTAATATTTAGCGAAAAAAATCTTAATATTTATCGAAAGAAATTGTAATATTTAGCGAAAATATCGTAAAAAAATCGTAATATTTTGCCAACCAATCGTAAGATTTTTCCGAAAATTCTTAATATTTTGCGAAAAGAATTCTTAATATTTTGCGAAAAGAATTCTTAATATTGAGATTTTTTTTTTTCATATTTTGAGATTTCTTTTTAATATTTTGTGAGAAATTCTTAATATTTTGAGAAAAAAATCTTTTAGTGCACAGTAACCTTTAAATATATCAGGGGTTAATGGGAGTGAATGTGAGTCAATGGGAGTACATTTTGGGGTCTTTTGTCCCCACAGGATAATATTTGTTCAGCAAAGCACGACGCAGACAGACAGCGGGGTCTCAGACTGAGAGAGACCCTTCAGTGTTTCACTAGAGCTGCACAGAAATACAACTGATAGAGAAAAGATAGCATTTAGGAGAAATAAAATACCCAACTCATGGAAATTAAATTGAAATTAAACTCATGATTCATGACCGGAGATATGGAGCCGAGGGGAGGAGGGTCACATTTGAAAACAACACCAAAAAAGAAAAAACAAGAAGAATTTTCATGATTTTTTCGTACATTTAGAGGAAAATTGTGCTTTTTTAAAACATTTTGTATTACTTATTTGTTGGTCAATAAACCACATTGCTTCCCTTTACAAGGTTGGAGCTCACATTATTTTTTATTATTTTTATTTGGACCAAAGAAATAGCCATAATACACCAGGGTTTTGTCTAAAGAGGGGCTTCATACCATATCTTTCTATAAAAACCCCTGATATGCTGTTGCATGTTTGCTCACATTTGATCATCTTATTGTTTTGCTCATTTATTTTTCTTCCAGGTTCAATTTGAGAACATTAACAGGCTTCATACTCAATGAATGATCAAATGTTTTATCAGTCAGTTTGATATCTGATAAGTGAAAACATCGGGTTATACTATTTCTAAATATCATAAGAGTAAAGAAAAAAAGGGTCTTTGGAAAGTGAAAAGCACATTTTGGATTTGTTTCTGATATATCTCTGCCTTCTTCACGCACGCACGCACGCACGCACGCACGCACGCACGCACGCACGCACGCACGCACGCACGCACGCACGCACGCACGCACGCACGCACGCACGCACGCACGCACGCACGCACGCACGCACGCACGCACGCACGCACGCACGCACGCACGCACGCACGCACGCACGCACGCACGCACGCACGCACGCACGCACGCCACGCACACACACACACACACACACACACACACACACACACACACACACACACACACACACACACACACACACACACACACACACACACACACACACACACACACACACACACACACACACACACACACACACACACACACACACACACACACACACACACACTCCTGTGTTTTCTGATTGGGTCAAACACCTCTGCTTATCTCGTCCCAAAGGAAGTGTTTGCGAACAAATAAAATAAAACAGCTTTGAACTCCTAGTTTATTTTTGCCGTCAAAAATTGGAAAAATGCAAATCCTTCAATGTTGATTTCCTTGAACACATTTCAGAAATGTGCCCCAAAAAGATCCGAAAGTTAAAGCAAAGAGACGTCAGTGTGTTGTCCTCAAACCCCTGATATGATGGGACAAATCTTCCAGGACATTTTGGATGCAGCTTCTATCAGTTTTACTTCTATGTCACATGAAATATAAAGCACACATCTAAAATATCAGATCATATTATTTAAAAACTGCACGATGCAGAAACAACTGGCCAGAGCCAACATTCAGATATTTAAAAATACAAGTTCCTCCCCTCCTTATTATTGTGCTCGAGAGTAATACCACTGATACGTGTTTAAAATAAATGTAATAACTTTCCAATATACTGCAATGTAAATCCGTAATGATCATTTACAGAAAGCCTTATACACTCATACATTCTGCCTTAAAACACCTGAAATTGTAGAAATATCTCAATAGTTATTCCTTTTTATGAAGAAATGTATATTTGTCCACTAGTTTGCAGCCATATTTATCTCAAGTTATCTATTTTAAATCCAAATAAAGCCATTTATATTACAATTGGACATAAAAGTCCCCTAAAAAATCCTAATTTCTACATTTTAATGTACCTAAAAACTCCCAGGATATGTGTACTTTCTATTTTTAATACGGAAATTGGATAACCTGGTTCATAAAAAGCGAATTGGATTATCGTTTAAATGATAAATAGGGTTTCTACATGTCATTTCTGAATTAAAAAGGCAGTATTTGATCAACTGACTGATTCAAGTTCAAGTTCAAGATAATGTTTCTGGATCTGAAGAAGCTTCTTGTTATCGTCGCACATTACCGTCCTCACCACACTGTCGCAGAGTCACAGAGAAGTGTAGAAAACACCTTAAAAAAGTAAAAAGCAGTGGATAATGTCTGTCAGTTGTGGAGAGTTTCTGACCGACTCGAGTCTACATGTCGGCTCGGACGAAGGAGGCGAACATCCCGTCCTCTTGTTCCAGGAGAGTCTCCGGTTTGTCGTACTCCAAGATGTTTCCTCGCTTCATCACGATGACCAGGTCGGCCTCGAGGATGGTGTGGACGCGGTGCTGCGGAGACAAAGCAATATATCAATCAATATTTGTATAGCCCAATATCACAAAACATTACAGCGAGTTAGAGCAAGACGAGAAGATAAGATAGTGTGTGGAATACAAATAGAAATACAACTAAACTCATAATTTAGTCATTATGCTGCTAGGGTTAGTTCTGTACGATACCAGTCACCTCTGTGGAAACATTAGGCGCTTTCACACCAAGTACTTTGCCGTACTTAGTTCATGAGAACTCTTTAGTTCTCATGAACTAAAGAGCAGATCGCGTTCACACCGGAATAAGTTCCCTGAGGGAGGATTAGGCAAATGAAGCCGCTGACGTCACTTCTTCTTCTACTTTGGGTTTACTGGCAGGCCGCAAACAACTTCACGGCGTATACTGCCACCCGAAGTCCCCGGCCGGAAGTCCCCCGGAGTTGGGGACTGGACTGGCTTCAGTAGAAGCTGCTGGGACTCCCAGCAGCTTCTACTGAAGCCTTCCACTGTATGTAAATCGCCAGAACGCCGACACCTCCTCATCTCCACCGCTCCCATGTTTTTTTTTGTGTTGCCATAAGTTAGTCTCTCTGCGTTTGTGCGCTGGGCTAATGCTAATGCTAATAATGCTAATGCCAGGAAAATAAAATGGCGGCTTCACAAAACTTTTTGGGAGTTTTACGGGGCGTGGTTTGCAATCCGCCCAGCCAATCAGAAATGGGAACCTTTTTCTCCCACGAAAGTCCCTGCTCTCTAGCAGGGACTGAAAAGGGGGTGAAAAGGTTCTCATGAACTAAGTTCTAGTTCCGGATTTTTTTGGTGTGAACGCAAATGTTCGGAACTATACTGGGAAAAGTACTCCGGTGTGAACGCGCCTATTGGTATAACTGCCTTTTTTCATTTATATTTGAGTCTTGTATGTCTTTTAAAAAATGGACCTTGAGTCTCTTCAATAAAGCTGCTGCTGCTGATGATGATAAACCAAAATAAGATACAACAAAAGACAATAAAAATACATAAAACATTCAAATGAATTACCATAAAAATAAAATAAAGTGAATACCATGAAATGCCAGCTCTAACCGAAGGCTTTAAAAACCTTCTTAAAAGTCTTGACACTCTCTGCCTCTCTGATTAAAACAGGGAGTTGGTTCCAGAGAAAAGGAGTTTAGCTGAATGCTGACTCCTGGTCTCCTGAAGCAAGAATTAGGCACTGGGAGACGTGGAAATGTCAATAAAATAATTACATTTAAACTCTTATTGCTTTGACGATTGAAACGTTGGTGGTTTTCAGGATTCATTTCCATGAACTTCTAAAATGACATTATAAAAGAGTGTATAACACATAGTGCTTTATGAAACTGTCCCCTAAATATACTGCAATACAATAAATATATAAAGAGACACTTAAGGCGCATTTCCACTACAACGCGGAGCGCGGTTTAAGCGTGCCGTGCCCGGCCCGTTTTTTGTTGCGTTTCCACTAGGGGTAGTTCCGGCTAACGGGTACTTTTTCACAGTTTTTCTGGCTCTCCAAAATCGAGGTTCTTTCCGGGCCAACAACCGGGCTGAGTATGCTAAACTAGTGATGGCAAGGGGGCTACAACTACAACAAAATGAACATATTTGACCGTGATTTATTTGTAATACACGTTTCTAAATGATGCCGAAGTAACAACATACTGATACCGGTTAGTAAACACCATGAATTAATGCTTTGACAAGTCTGCAGACAGACGGCAGGCGAAACACCTTTTAAAATGCGTGTTTTCTGAATGGAGATCGGCTAAGCTAACGTTGTATATGCTCCGACCGTCCACACTCACAACAACGGCCTATACAGACATAAATAAAGCAGCGACTGTATTCTCCATGACACAGGCAGTCTGTGGTTTGTACTTGTTTCACTTCTGTCTAGTTTCTGAACAGATATGAGGAGCTGTGAGCTCTGAGTGCTAACAGCTAACGGCTGATGTTGGTTTTGTGGTTCGCATTGAAGATGACGTCACGGCTCCGCCTACACTGCGTTACTATAGTTACTGCCCCAGTTCCTAAACTGTAATGGAAACGCCTTGAAAACCAATGTTGCTTGTTGCGTAGTGCTGGGATGCAAATCAGCTTATTAGAGGCCGAATGGGATAATTATGTCTGCATGTACGGTAAAACACGACCTAAATGCTCCTAAACTTTATTTAATGTGTAGTTTAAACCAAGTGGGATATTCTAGGGTGAACTGCAGGTCTCAAAATACATGTTACCCCGAGAATTTGATATAAAGTATGAATGCTTGTTGTTTGTATGTCTCCTGAATGTTGAACGTCTCTTGTTTGTTTTTCTGTATTCTTGATCTTGACCTGTATAATGACAATAAAGGATTCTATTCTAAATGACATCTGGGCATCTTAGTCTGAAAGAGTGGCATGATGATACAAGAGTGAGCATGCATTACTTAATTCTACAAAGCACTGAAGGTCGTTTTTAGATGTTGGTTAAAGGTCACCTATTATGCAAAATCCACTTCTTCATGTCTCTTCTACATCACCATGTGTCCCCTCTTCTTCATGTCTCTTCTACATCAACATGTGTCCCCTCTTCTTCATGTCTCTTCTACATCAGCATGTGTCCCCTCTTCTTCATGTCTCTTCTACATCAACATGTGTCCCCTCTTCTTCATGTCTCTTCTACATCAGCATGTGTCCCCTCTTCTTCATGTCTCTTCTACATCAACATGTGTCCCCTCTTCTTCATGTCTCTTCTACATCAACATGTGTCCCCTCTTCTTCATGTCTCTTCTACATCAGCATGTGTCCCCTCTTCTTCATGTGTCTTCTACATCAACATGTGTCCCCTCTTCTTCATGTCTCTTCTACATCAACACGTGTCCCCTCTTCTTCATGTCTCTTCTACATCAACATGTGTCCCCTCTTCTTCATGTCTCTTCTACATCAACATGTGTCCCCTCTTCTTCATGTCTCTTCTTCATCAACATGTGTCCCCTCTTCTTCATGTCTCTTCTACATCAACACGTGTCCCCTCTTCTTCATGTCTCTTCTACATCAACATGTGTCCCCTCTTCTTCATGTCTCTTCTTCATCAACATGTGTCCCCTCTTCTTCATGTCTCTTCTTCATCAACATGTGTCCCCTCTTCTTCATGTCTCTTCTTCATCAACATGTGTCCCCTCTTCTTCATGTCTCTTCTACATCAACATGTGTCCCCTCTTCTTCATGTCTCTTCTTCATCAACATGTGTCCCCTCTTCTTCATGTCTCTTCTACATCAACATGTGTCCCCTCTTCTTCATGTCTCTTCTACATCAACATGTGTCCCCTCTTCTTCATGTCTCTTCTTCATCAACATGTGTCCCCCTCTTCTTCATGTCTCTTCTTCATCACATGTGTCCCCTCTTCTTCATGTCTCTTCTACATCAACATGTGTCCCCTCTTCTTCATGTCTCTTCTACATCAACATGTGTCCCCTCTTCTTCATGTCTCTTCTACATCAACATGTGTCCCCTCTTCTTCATGTCTCTTCTTCATCACATGTGTCCCCTCTTCTTCATGTCTCTTCTTCATCAAACATGTGTCCCCTCTTCTTCATGTCTCTTCTTCATCAACATGTGTCCCCTCTTCTTCATGTCTCTTCTACATCAACATGTGTCCCCTCTTCTTCATGTCTCTTCTACATCAACATGTGTCCCCTCTTCTTCATGTCTCTTCTACATCAACATGTGTCCCCTCTTCTTCATGTCTCTTCTACATCAACATGTGTCCCCTCTTCTTCATGTCTCTTCTACATCAACATGTGTCCCCTCTTCTTCATGTCTCTTCTACATCAACATGTGTCCCCTCTGTGGAAAGAGACTCTGAAAGTTTCAGGAACAAAGATTCTCTCTCTTTTTGATCCATTTCTATAAAAACCTGTCTGAAAATGAGCTGATCAGATTTTGGCCACTTTATGTCATAACGATGTTTTGTCTTGTGTAACCATTAGCCAATCAGCAACCAAGATAACCCCCTCCCCCCCCCCCCCCCCCTTATCACCTGAATGTCCTCCTAGAGCACCATTGTGTTCTTTGTAACCAAATCTCTCTCAGAGGGGCGTGGGGAGGGGCTCCTTATTTTCATCTAAAGTAACAGACAGAGAATCAGCACTTTGGAAACAGGGCTGAAACAGAGGGGATTATGGGATGCTGCAATGATCTGTTTGGTGTTTCAGCCAATCAGAGACAGGCTCTGGATATATCTGAGACCTGTGATATATTGATGAAAAACAGTATAATAGGGGACCTTTAAAGGGAACCGCATGCTTATAACACGTCCACAGAAGAGCATGCAGAAGTTTTGACGTGATACCAACCAGACTGTCCCAGACTGCAGCTCTGACTCAGCCAGGAGGACCAGTGGAAAACAGAGAAATTGAAGAAGAAGGGGAGGAGGAAGAGGAGGAAGAGGAGGAGGAGGGTCTACTTGTGAGTCCTCACTAACACACTGAAGAGACTTTCCTCCTGAGACAACAGGTTGGGACCAGAGTCACTTTCCACCAAGAGACCAGAAGAGAAGACCAACACCTGCTCTGAGTCCAAGATGGAGGACACACGGTGCTGAGGGGAGGAGGAGGAGGAGGAGGAGGAGGAGGAGGAGGAGAGAGGAGGAAGAGAGAGGAGGAAAGAGGAGAGAGGAGGAAGAGAGAGGAGGAAGAGGATGGTGGGAAAAAATCATAACGAGAGGGGATAGAAGAAGGGAGGATGGGAGAAAGAAATGTGTAAAAGGACAGAAAAGTGCGACAAGACAGTATCACAGAAAGAGCAAAAAGTCAGCATTTAAGACCCTAAATGCATCTGGAATATCAACTTTTTTACATATTTAGTGGAGAAACAGAAAGTGAGAAAGGTTCAGGAAAAGGAAATGCATTAAGCATATCTAAAGGGAATATACTGCACATGGAGCTCAGAGAGAAAAGGAGCTACATGTCTGCATCTATTGGACAAAACTAACCGTGAACCTCCAGTGCTTCCCACAGATCTGAAATGTACATGTGGCGGGGGCGGGGGCGGGGGGCGGGGTTAGGGTGAGGTGACATGCCTGTGCGACGTGCCTGTGCGACGTGCCTGTGCGACGTGCCTGTGCGACGTGCCTGTGTGACGTGCAACAGCATTAACATGAACCTTTCTGTTGGTCGCTTGTGAGCAGACCCTTCACGCGATGGCAGAGCGAGCAGGTACAGCAGGGCCGGACCGAGACAATCAGTCAGGCCGGACATTTAAACACCCAGCCAGGCAACTACCAGTTTTCTTTGTGCCATTTTGCTGGATTTATTTGTGAATATTCACAGCGTTGCTGCCCATTGTGATGGCCCTGTAGTTTAAATCTACTACCCACAAATAAACAACATTGTAAATGTATTTAGGAACCTATCCATGTGATTTTAAGTGGGGGTGGACCTCAAATCCTCTAGGGGTGTCCGGGGGCATGCTCCCCCGGTAAGGTTTTATTTTTTATTTTGGAGTTAAATGCATCTGGTGCATTTTGAGGGGAAAATAAAGAGACTAGATCTATGGGAACACCTATATGAAACAGAACTGTATACATTTCAATAATCATAAAATCATGGCCATAACCAATAACATACCATTGCAATATGAAAAAACACGGAAACTTGTTTATTTATTTATTTTTGGTTCATTTATAGTTGTGAGTGTGTCTGTGCTCCTGAACCAGCCTCTCCTGTCTCCCTCTCTCCCTCCTCTCCTGTCTCCCTCCTCTCCCTCCTCTCTTCTTTGAGGCAGCAGCAAAGACTAGTTTGTAAAAGTTTATCTTACCTTTTTTCACCTAGTTAACTTTTTTATTTATTTATTCATGCATATTTGACTAATCACTCCCCCACCAAATGGAAATATGTGTTTACATAAATGGTGACCAAACCGTTTGAGACCCACTGAGAACTTAGACGAAGTTAACTATCTAAACACTCAGAGAGTCCTTTACCTCATCTGAGCTGAGGTTACCCCGAGCTTGAATGACACACAGAGACCAATCAAGGGCTTTGATTTATGATCTGTATGACAGTGGCCATGTCGGCAGGCCACATAATGTAGACAGCCAGTCACCCCGTGTGAGGCAGACCCACATTTGCGCAGCGTTGCGTTCACAATACATACAAAAAAAAGAAATCCTCAGGCCAACAGGCCTCTTAATCAATCATAACTTTTTTGTTTTACATTCGATTGCATTAAGGCTTTATGATATCCTTCACAGTAGACATTTGAACATATCAAATGGCTGATCACCACTTTCATTGAGTTTTGGATGATTTAGTCAACTTTGTAACACCCATGGTGTTCAAGGTCAAACATGACCGCCATGAAGAAAAGGAATTAGTAACCATCCGGATCAGATAAAACACACACACACACACACACACACACACACACACACACACACACACACACACACACACACACACACACACACACACACACACACACACACACACACACACACACACACACACACACACACACACACCACACACACACACACACACACACACACACACACACACACACACACACACACAACACACACACACACACACACACACCACACACACACACACACACACACACACAACACACCCCGCTCTTATGTGCCCATCCCCCCACATGGATCACACCTGGCACACGCAATACATGTTCAGTGTCTATTGTTTGTTCATGTATACCAGTAGTCTGATACAATATTTACAGTTTGAAAGGGTGTTAAATGAAATGTGGTGATGATTAATGGTTTTTGTGTTAATGTAATAGCAGTACACCGCAAACACCAAAGTAAGGGGGGGGGGGGAAACGAAGACAATAGGAGGGTTTTAACAGGCCAGGCCATCGGGAAACCCCCCGGTCCTCCCGATGGCCAGTCCGGGCCTGGGTACAGGAGGCGTAGAGCGAGGGATCATTGTCCACTAGTTAATCGATCGCAGATGGCGTCGTGGTCGCGGACAGATAAAAAAAACAAAAACGAAATGGGTCGTGAAATATATTTTGGCGGTCGTTAATATACCTGGGCGGCCCGCCCAAGTAAAGTCTATGTGTGGGAAACCCTGACCTCAGCACAATGAAACTGCTGGAAGTTGTTGAACTGGTTATAATAAATCTCGTGTTGTTATTGCTTTTTAACAACAACAACAACAATCAGTAGAAGAAGAGACGGAGAGACTTACTGCGATTGTGACGACGGTCCGGTCTGCAAACGCTGTCATCACGACTTTCTGTAAGATGTTTTCCTGCAAGAAGAAACATTTTTCACGTTAATTTCAGAGAAGATGCAACACACACACACACACACACACACACACACACACACACACACACACCACACACACACACACACACACACACACACACACACACACACACACACACACACACACACACACACACACACACACACACACACACACACACACACACACACACACACACACACACCACACACACACACACACACACCACACACACACACACACACACACACACACACACCGTGGCCATGTCTATAGAGGCGGTGGCTTCGTCCATGATGAGGATGCTGCTCTTCCTCACGAAGGCCCGAGCCAGACAGAAGAGCTGCCTCTGACCCACGCTGAAGTTCTCCCCGGCTTCTGTCACCACCGCGTCTGAAAACACACACATTACACTTTACAACGCATCACTTTAAAACTAGGGATGGAACGATATACTCAACTCACGATTCGATTCACGGTTTTAAGTTCACGATACGATTTTCTCATGTTTTTTTAAAAAAAATTTAACAGAATGAGCTTCGGACAAATTATGACACATGAGATGATACATAATTGGATTTTGAAAGCAAACCCCACATCAAAATAAAGTGCAGCTTGAAATGTATGCTCTGTACTGATTTTTAACCGGTTCACGATGCATCGTTACATCCCTACATTTCTCATATTTAAAATATTCGGACTATCAACATGTGAGAAATGTACATATTAATTGACTTTTCAGTGTCTCACATGTGAAATCTAAAATATATATACAAGCATTGGAGATGTATTACACTATATAAGGGGAGGCTGTGGCACAGTGGGTTAGTGCGCTGAACTTTGAAGCAGGGGATAGCAAGTTCGAGTCCCACTGCAGTCAGCATGTCGTTGTGTCCCTGGGCAAGACACTTGTCCACACTGTGATAAAAGCATCTAACAAGTGACATGTAATGTAATGTAACAAACAAATGCATAAATTACACCTTAATTCAACATGATAATCAACTCTTCCTGCAGGAGTTAAAAACAGACTTAAGGGTGCTATAAAAAAAAAAAATTCTGTGGTTTTAAGCGATTACCTAGCCCTCCAGGCAGCGTTTTGACCATGTTCTTCAACTGAGCGATCTCTAACGCCTCCCAGAGCCGATCATCACTGCACGTCCTCTCTGGATCCAGATTAAACCTGCAATTAAATGCAATATCTCTCAGTATTTGTACATATTTAATTACAGGAGTCAGAAGGCAATGGGAAGATGCATCTACCTGTTGTTATATACTACAGAAAGAAAGTTAACAATGTCTAAAGTAAGAGGTATTACCAGTATCTACCTTTCATTTATTAATTCTTTATTTAATGCACGCAAAAGAAGCCCGTTATTTCCATCAACTCACACAGATATGTTAGTCTTTGACCGTCACATTTTAACTGTAAAAATGCTGTGAAATTTGCACTAAAATGGTCAAAAAAGTCTAAAAAAAGGCACAGAATTTTGTGAGATTCTGGATAAAGATGCATGAAGATCTGTAACTTTATTAAAAATACTTTTAAGATATGTATTTCTACTGTTTATGTATATATTTAGTGTTTATTCCCATCTACTCAATCACCTACTACATCTACTTTCACACCGGAGTACTTTTACCCGTACTTTTCCCGTTTAGTTCCGTTAGTTCCTGGGATTTTGCGTTCACACCAAAAAGAGAACTTAGTTCAGAGAACTTTTCCCCCCTTTTTAGTGCCTGCTAGAGAGGTGGGACTATCCTGGGGAGAAAAAGTACCAATTTCTGATTGGCTGGGCGAATTGCAAACCACGCCCCGTAAAACTCTGAAAAGTTTTTTGAAGCCGCCATTGTATTTGCTGGCATTAGCATTATTAGCATTAGCATTAGCCCCGCGCACCAACGGAGAGAGACTAACTTATGGCAACACAAAAAAAAACGTGGGAGCGGTGGAGTGATGAGGAGGTGTCTGCGTTCTACTCAGCTTCAGTAGAAGCTGCTGGGAGTCCCAGCAGCTTCTACTGAAGCCAGTCCTCAACTCCGGGGACTTCCGGCCGGGGACTTCGGGTGGCAGTATACGCCGTGAAGTTGTTTGCGGCCTGCCAGTAAACCCAAAGCAGAAGAAGAAGAAGTGACGTCAGCGGCTTCATTTGCCTAATCTTCCTCAGGGAACTTATTCCGGTGTGAACGCGATCTGCTCTTAGTTCCATGGGGGAACTGGAACCCTAACCCTGGGAACTAATGGCGCATTTCCACGACAGGGCCTCGCTCGGCCTCGCTCGGTATAGCTAGGCCTCGTTAGGCCTTGGTAGGCCAGGCTCACTTTATGCTGCATTTCCATTACAGTTTAGTAGCTGGGGCAGTAACTATAGTAACGCAGTGTAGGCGGAGCCGTGACGTCATCTTCAATGAGAACCACAGAAAACCAACATCAGCCGTTAGCTGTTAGCACTCAGAGCTCACAGCTCCTCATATCTGTTCAGAAACTAGACAGAAGTGAAACAAGTACAAACCACAGACTGTCTGTGTCATGGAGAATACAGACGCTGGTTTATTTATGTCTGTAGGCCGTTGTTGTGAGTGTGGACAGTCGGAGCATATACTACGTTAGCTTAGCCGATCTCCATTCAGAAAACACGCATTTTAAAAGGTTTTTCGCCTGCCGTCTGTCTGCAGACTTGACAAAGCATTAATTCATGGTGTTTACTAACCGGTATCAGTATGTTGTTACTTCGGCATCATTTTGAAACGTGTATTACAATTAAATCACGGTCAAATATGTTCATTGTGTTGTAGTTGTAGCCCCCTTGACAGCGATTCTCTCTCTCTAGTTTAGCATACTCAGCCCGACTCAGCCTCGTTGTTGGCCCGCTAAGAACCTCGATTTTATGGGGCCAGAAAAACTGTGAAAAAGTACCCGCTAGCCGGAACTACGCCAAGTGGAAACGCAACCAAAAACGGGCCGGACACGGCACGGCACGCTTAAAGCGAGCTCCGCGCTGTAGTGGAAATGCGCCATCAGTGCTGGGAACTAAGTACTTGGTGTGAAAGCGGCTCATGACTAAGTAGAGCTTTTTATTTTCTTTAGATAAGACACTGAATGATGCAGTTTACCTTACATACAGCACAAATAGATAAAATACATCTCTTTGTCACATTAGGTTATTGGCGGTTATTGTTGTTAATGTTACACTCAATTAATTCCCTTGGTTATTCTCAATATTTAAACTCCTCTAAATTCTCCGTGGTGGAGTCAGGACATCTCAGATAATAAAGAGAAACAGTTACTGTCGACCATTCACCCCGGGCTTACGTTCACATAAACGGGAGAAACGCCAAGACAGACACACACACACACACACACACACACACACACACACACACACACACACACACACACACACACACACACACACACACACACACACACACACACACACACACACACACACACACACACACACACACACACACACACACACACACACACACACACACACACACACACTTTCTGTATCTCACACACTCTCTGTCTCTCTCACACACAGTTACGCAGAGTGCCATATCTGTCCAAACAAATAGCACATGCTCTTTGTCTTTTATAACAAACACAGAGTCAACGTGTCTTCTACTAATACAAACAGAGAGGGAGGAGGAGGGGGAGGGGGAGGGAGAGGAGGAAGAGGAAGAAGAAGACCTCCTCACGTTCTGCTGTCTGTGAAACACTCAGATTTCCAGCTGGTTTGACCTGCTGACCCCACAGCTGTGACTGTGTGTCATCATGTGACACAAGTCTTCAGGACAAACACGTCTCACTCCTCTCTGTTAATGATTCACTGGTTGCTGCAGTTTCAGGCTTTGCTTGAAATTTAATGTCACTACTAAGGTTTTCTTTATTCTTCTTTAAGCTCTGATGTCATAGAGTAGAGCAGTTATGACGTATTTTTGTAGGAAGTTAGCATCTTGTTCCCTCGACAAGATGTTTGAAATCAAATTTATATTTACACATTGTGTTCAACAGGATCATCTCCACATATCAACATCACTTTAAGATCTTTAGCATAAAAAGCTAACATTAGACTATAAAGGAACTACAGCACGGTCACATGACTTCACGTCACCACCGCTAAGCTAAAGGCGGCTAATGTTGGGCTATAAAGGAACTACAGCACGGTCACATGACTTCACGTCACCACCGCTAAGCTAAAGGCGGCTAATGTTGGGCTATAAAGGAACTACAGCACGGTCACATGACTTCACGTCACCACCGCTAAGCTAAAGGCGGCTAATGTTGGGCGTGATGACGTTTAGTCGTCTCATTGAGAAAACACAGTTTTAAAATTAACCAGTGGCGTATTTACTGGCGTATTTTATGTCATGGAAAAATATTAATTTAGCTTGTGTTAACCACAGACCTTATTTCAGGCGTCTAACCAAAAACACTTTCAGCCATGCAGGAAGTGGTCAAATTACGACTTATTTCCAGGCTTTAGGACTCTTTCCTGCACTACCCTATATAACAATAGAAACACAAACAAGTCAACATAGCGCTAGACATTTGGACTATCATTGCTTACATGTCGTCCTTATGTAGGTTTAGCATTCTCTTCAGCAGGAAAAACACAGATAGAAAATAGTTGAACAAATGTAATCCCATATTGAAAAACCGTTAGGTTGATTAATGATTATATCAACAGTAATGTTTACTTTTATACTGACGTTATTCAAAAACGATATACTGTGTATAAGCTTTGTTTAAGTGTATGTCTGTGTGTGTGTGTGTGTGTGTGTGTGTGTGTGTGTGTGTGTGTGTGTGTGTGTGTGTGTGTGTGTGTGTGTGTGTGTGTGTGTGTGTGTGTGTGTGTGTGTGTGTGTGTGTACCGTATTGATCCACTGAACAGCACGGGGTCCTGCAGGATGATGGAGAGTCTCGACCTGAGCGTCTGCAGGGGAAGTTTACAGATGTCGATCCCATCGATGACGATCTTCCCTAAAATATAAATATAAATAAACAAATAACTCTAATTACAGCCCATAAAAAAACATTTAGTACAACAATAAAACCAAATCTTCTTTGCCTCCTATAGTCTCTAAATGTGGCACCTGGAGTAGTTTAGCACATTTGATGAAATGGATGTATTCCACGATTTAAAATGGTCCAATAGTTTAGCTTGTGAGGTTTGAAAACACATCCGATCAAGTAATTTAATTATATTTTTTTGCACATTCTTACTTACACTTCTACGATTATATTAATATTTTTGTTTTCTTTTTTCTTTTATTTCATTCTTAAATGGAGCAACTGTCACAAAAACCTGCACAAAGAAAATAATGGCAATTTTTTCCTATATTGTCAAAAAATACTGCTTCTTTTTCTGGCATTTTTAAACCAAAACAATCCAATTAAATCTGTATTTACAATTTAAAACTCCTCTACTAGTTTGCCTTTCAATGCCTTACATAAATATTTTAGTTATGTTGCATGCAATGTGATATTTTTGGGCTCATGAACCCAGGATGTTCTGAGCAGAGAGGACGCTCTGCTTTTATTTCACTGCTTTATAAGGAAACGCTGCCGAAACACACGTCTTAATTTACTGTTTAATGAAATGTCTGCCCAGCTGTGTGTGTGTGTGTGTGTGTGTGTGTGTGTGTGTGTGTGTGTGTGTGTGTGTGTGTGTGTGTGTGTGTGTGTGTGTGTGTGTGTGTGGGTGTAATGGAAAAAGTGACTGTGTAATCTCGTTTTTGTCTGAATCATCGGTCAACGAGCAATGGTCTTTATCTGGAGTGAAAACAGAATGATACGATTACAATTTGCTTTTAAAATCCTTAATTTAATCTTCTTTTAAAAAGAGTCTACTTCAAGTCCTTTTGTCAGGTATTTAAAAGTAAAATACAACACACTGAGGAACAACAAGAGAGACCTGCAGGAGAGTTTAAGAAGCGCCGAAATGAAGGTTAAATAAACATTTTCTCCAGCATACACACACACCACTATAATAACAGTGGACGTTTGGACATCTGAGGGGAAACCAGTCGACTAATTAACCTCCAGTAATGCTTTAGTTGAACCAAAACCCATTTAGATATCTCATCTGTATTCACTAAAGCCCCTGTCACACTGTCCTGAAATTGACACCAGATGGACACACGATAAAGGAAATGTTCAAATTCGGCTCTGATCATAACGACATCGGGCCGTTCGTGAGGGCATCTTAAGCCATTGTATGACCGCCGGTGGAGTTTCTCAGGCTCCGGTAGGAACTTCTTGAGCGGCGGCAAAATCTTTGGCATGCCAAAAAATTGCCGAAGGACCTTGCGAAGGTTCATTTTCGTGTTGAATTCGTGTGTCCATTTTGCCATTCGTAAGGCCATCGTGAGGGCATCTTGTCAAATCGTGTCATCTTCGTGTGATCATCGGTGCCATCGGCCATTCTTCGCCTCACGAAGACAATACGAAGGAAACAAGAAGCTGCCCGATCGTCTTAGGAAGGCAACACGACTACGTGAAGCCCTCGCAATGCCGTCGTGTAGCCATCGTATTATAGTACGATGACATCGAGATTGCATTTATTGCACAACAAAATCATGTAAACATATTATGTAAATAACCCAATTTGTGTTCTGTGAAACTGAAAAGGATATTACATTGTTTTTGTTACTTTCGTTGCAGTTGTATGTCTTAAATGTAATTTAGGTTAACTTCCAGTTTTTTTTAAGGCGAGTTTACGCTGTTGACAGGGAGTTGTTGTTGCTATGGAAACATGACGGAGTGTGTGGTTCGGGTGCCATCGTGTGGCCTTCTGTAGGCATCGTACTTGCTTCGGCTGTTGACCAAGTTCGGGGCCATCTTCGTGCGAAATTCACAATTCCATATTCGTGTGTCCATCTGGTGTACATTTCGGGACAGTGTGACGCGGGCTTAAGGGTTATAACTGACTGTGTTTGGGTTTAAGTCACATGTTTGATTGAGTTTAAATGTCATTCAATGGTTAGCGTCACCATATTTTCCTGCTTTGGTGTCCTTTTAATATATATATTTCTTCAAATCTCATAAAAAGACCTACTTTCTGTTGCGTTCAGCCCCGAGGGAATTGACACCAGCTGAAGTAACCAGTGACGTGCGGTGAGGTTCATGGCTGGTGAGGCACTGACTCTTTCAGTCAGATTTACAAATATTATAGCCTATTTTGACCTTAATCGAAATATTCTGTTATTTTCAAAAGCTTTTTTAGTCTGATGCTATGATTAATTTTAAACAGACCGATCAACAAAAGGATACCCAAAATCTAAATATTGGATTGTTCTTTCTAAGTAAGATCCCATTTTAATTACAGTTGTGGTCTTACCTTGACTTGAAGATGAATATAAATCCATGCTATCCTTCTGGACAACAATCTCTATTACTGTTTTGTAAAAGTCCTCCGTATCTTCCTGTAGTTTCAAAAGCTTTGTTTGTTGTTTGCGGTAGAATAACAGTAGCAACAAGAACCTGTGGGCTCACGTGCGCCCCCTTCAGTGCGGCAGAGGTTATGGCTGCCTCCCCATGTAATTGTTTCATTGCCGTTGTATGATAAGACCAGCGAGCCTAAATATGATATATACGTGAAATAAGTTATTTAGAGACTATGGATGGTGAGGATAAATGTAATAAAGGGATCTACAAACATCACATTGGTGACCTACAGTGAGATGGGAACAGGCATGCGCTTAGGGCCCGCTTTCCAGCCAGTTTCTGTGGGGTGACACATTCTGAATTGAGGCAGAGCTCATCTGTGCCTCACCTCACCCCACAGTAAATGGCTTGAGTGCGCTCACAAAATAAGTGGCCCCGCTAAATTAGTGCCCGCGCTCCAGCAAGTTACTGTGGGCTTACGTGAGGCAGTGCTCGTGCTTGCCTCACTTCTCATCGCTCCCGTAGCGGAGCTCGGCAAATTTGCTGATTTTGACTATAAAATGCGATTGGAATCATACAGAAATCACATTTACACAAGATCAGTGGAGACATTTTATTATTATTATTATTTAGTTTTTCTTTAATTGTTTTTCCGTTACATTGGAGTATGACAGGTGAGGCTCTGCCTCCCCTGCCTCCACTGACTGCACGTCGCTGGAAGTAACTGATGTAATCTTGAAAGGAATACGGCTCAGATATTTTACATTTAATTTAGCTGCAATAAACCATAAAGAACAACAAGAAATGTGCAGATAAATTAGCTTTAAATAAGCCTGACCATTGTAAGTACTGGTGAAATGTTGGAGCTATACATTGCTTCATATCATTTAATAGTTTAACATTTGTTTTCTTGTTGTTTCTGTGTATAACAAATGTTTTATTATTAAGTTATTTTGAAGGCATCTTTGGGCACTGGTGTAATTGTATATATTTGAGACCAGTATGGTATATGTTTATTTTATTTAATATCTGTTCATTATTTAATCGTTTGAGTTTAATCTAATTTCTTTATATTTTTATGTTGAATTTTTATTTATTTATCGTTTGTTTTTTAATTCAATTTATTATTTAATTTTTAATTTTACAGATGCAGTTTTATACAGCGAACTGGAGAAAATATACATAGACAAATACCACACACAATAGCTCAATACAACTCTGTAAAAGTAGAATGAAAACTACTACAAAGTTATTTTTATCCATCATATCACGATCTAAGTGCCGTCCTGTCCAACAGTGATTTATTTTGAAGTCTCTCCTTTTATCTTCAAACGGCTGAGGAGAAAGATGGGAGATTCAAGAGACCAACAGAGATGATTTCTGGGAAGCTCAAGAGCTTCTCAGGATAAAAAAACCCTGAGGGAAACCTTTGGAAGTATTCCCAAAACATTATCTAAAGAACCCCTTACTTTAATGAAACGTAAACACACTTAACAGAGACAGAAAGAAAGAGATTAAAGGAGGGGAAAACCACCGGGACCTTTCTCTGATTCTGTTAACAGGAGAGATGTCAAAAGTACACACATGCTTTACTCAAGTAGAAGTACAGATACTCGTGTTTACGAGTATACTCTGGTAAAAGTAGAAGTGCTGACTAAACTTCTTTACTCAAGTAAAAGTAAAGAGGCTTTGAAATGTACTTCAGTAAAAAGTACCCATAACTAGCAGCTGTTTTAAAGAGTACCTGACCTCCCTTTATATTAATAGAACAATAATGTCATTGTTAGCTAATGAATGTTTCCATGCTGAACAACGGCAACATGACAACGTTTTCATTGGTCCCTCTTCTTTAGAGAAGACCAGGAAATGATGGATAAACGGACACACATTCAAACTAAAGGAACCAGCCTGTTTGGGAAATGTAAGAAGTAGAAAGTACAGGTATTTGTGTTCAACATGTAAGAAGTAGAAAGTACAGGTATTTGTGTTCAAAATGTAAGAAGTAGAAAGTACAGGTATTTGTGTTCAAAATGTAAGAAGTAGAAAGTACAGGTATTTGTGTTCAAAATGTAAGAAGTAGAAAGTACAGGTATTTGTGTTCAAAATGTAAGAAGTAGAAAGTACAGGTATTTGTGTTCAACATGTAAGAAGTAGAAAGTACAGGTATTTGTGTTCAAAATGTAAGAAGTAGAAAGTACAGGTATTTGTGTTCAAAATGTAAGAAGTAGAAAGTACAGGTATTTGTGTTCAACATGTAAGAAGTAGAAAGTACAGGTCTTTGTGTTCAAAATGTAAGAAGTAGAAAGTACAGGTATTTGTGTTCAACATGTAAGAAGTAGAAAGTACAGGTATTTGTGTTCAACATGTAAGAAGTAGAAAGTACAGGTATTTGGGTTCAACATGTAAGAAGTAGAAAGTACAGGTATTTGTGTTCAAAATGTAAGAAGTAGAAAGTACAGGTATTTGTGTTCAAAATGTAAGAAGTAGAAAGTACAGGTATTTGGGTTCAACATGTAAGAAGTAGAAAGTACAGGTATTTGTGTTCAAAATGTAAGAAGTAGAAAGTACAGGTATTTGTGTTCAACATGTAAGAAGTAGAAAGTACAGGTCTTTGTGTTCAAAATGTAAGAAGTAGAAAGTACAGGTATTTGTGTTCAACATGTAAGAAGTAGAAAGTACAGGTATTTGTGTTCAACATGTAAGAAGTAGAAAGTACAGGTATTTGGGTTCAACATGTAAGAAGTAGAAAGTACAGGTATTTGTGTTCAAAATGTAAGAAGTAGAAAGTACAGGTATTTGGGTTCAAAATGTAAGAAGTCAAAGTAAAAAGTCATCAGAAAAATAAGTAGTGGAGTAAAGTACTGATACCAGAAACATGTACTTAAGTACAGTAACAAAGTATTTGTACTCCACTACTTTACCACACCTACCTTCGAAGATATCCACCATGTTGAAGAAGGCCAGAGACAGAGAGGACTTCCCGCTGCCGGTGCGTCCGCAGATTCCCACCTGACGGAGAGAAGAGAGGAAGAAGAGGGTCAGAGTGACACGTTGGTGAGAGTTCACACAGCGAGGTGACGGAGAGTGGCAGAGACGTGCCGAGTGTGGAGGGAGTGTAGTCTCCGGGTTAATGAAACACACATGGCTGCGACTTCAGAGAAAAGGACGACGTTCAAAAGAAAATCTGGACTTCTTTACGAGCATTCAAGACAGAAGAGTATTAGGGCAAAGCATGAGGATGAAAATGAGAGGGAGGAAAATGTTTGTTGATGTTGAACTTTCAGTATTAGGAATAATAATGAGGCACAGATTTATTAATCAACTATTAGATATAGTATGAGGTGATACTGTGGCGCTGGTCTTGTTTATAAGATATATAAATTCTCACTTCAACATGACGCCCGTTTACAAGATGTCTCCGCGGACGTAAACAACAACAACGTGACGTCGGAGCTCCGTAAATACAAAGCTGTCTCTGCCGTCAGACGCTCTGTTTGACTGGTCATATTTCTGGAATTATACCGTTTTTGACGAACACAAATATTGTTTTCCGGTTTAGACCTGATTTAATATTTTGAGAATAAATTCAAAATGTTGAGAATAACTGCACTTCCAATAATAGAGACAGGATTGTGGATTCACACAATGAATCAGAAGGAGGAATTTACTTTCAAAATAATCGCACTTAAAGAATTCAGTCGAATACTTTTTATTTTTTATTAATATTGAAATTAAAATGTGGAAATTAAGACAAAATGTTAAGAACACAAATGTAAAACGTGGGAATAAAGTTGAGCTCTCATAATTAATGCTAAGCATAAAAATAAATAAATCAAGAAGACTCTTTTTTTTTTTATTGTATTCTAAAAATTAAAATAAACTTTTGACAGTAAACTTGACATTTTTTATTAAGGCCCAACTCATGATAATGAATTAACTACATCCATAGCCTTCACACACCCACAGTAACACATTATACCCAAAAATGTGTTTTTATTCTCAAAGTAAAATCCTGCTCTCATGTTTCCCCCTCTTTCCCTGAACCTCCTGCTCCTCCATACATTCCAGCCTCTACGTGTTATCTTAAACAGTTTCCCCCGGTAATGCGTGTGCGTGTGCGTGTGTGTGTGTGTGTGTGTGTGTGTGTGCGTGTGTGTGTGTGTGTGTGTGTGTGTGTGTGTGTGTGTGTGTGTGCGTGTGTGTGTGTGTGTGTGTGTGTGTGTGTGTGTGTGTGTGTGTGTGTGCGTGCGTGTGTGTGTCACAGCTCGGTGATAATTACCTTCTGGCCCGGCTCGATGTACATGTTGACGTGTTTGAGCACCGGCTTCAGCATCGGGTCGTAGCGCACACACAGATCCTGGATCTTTATCTCCCCGGTCTGAGGCCAGTTCTCCGGCACCTGAGAGGCGTCTGGGGGGGAGAAGGGGTTATTATTTTAAAGTAGAAGTACTCAGATCTTGTACTTGAGTAAAAGTAGAAGTACTCAGATCTTGTACTTGAGTAAAAGTAGAAGTACTCAGGTCTTGTACTTGAGTAAAAGTAGAAGTACTCAGATCTTGTACTTGAGTAAAAGTAGAAGTACTCAGATCTTGTACTTGAGTAAAAGTAGAAGTACTCAGATTTTGTACTTGAGTAAAAGTAGAAGTACTCAGATCTTGTGCTTGAGTAAAAGTAGAAGTACTCAGATCTTGTACTTGAGTAAAAGTAGAAGTACTCAGATCTTGTACTTGAGTAAAAGTAGAAGTACTCAGATCTTGTACTTGAGTAAAAGTAGAAGTACTCAGATCTTGTACTTGAGTAAAAGTAGAAGTACTCAGATCTTGTACTTGAGTAAAAGTAGAAGTACTCAGATCTTGTACTTGAGTAAAAGTAGAAGTACTCAGGTCTTGTACTTGAGTAAAAGTAGAAGTACTCAGGTCTTGTACTTGAGTAAAAGTAGAAGTACTCAGGTCTTGTACTTGAGTCAAAGTAGAAGTACTCAGATCTGGTACTTGAGTAAAAGTAGAAGTACTCAGATCTTGTACTTGAGTAAAAGTAGAAGTACTCAGATCTTGTACTTGAGTAGAAGTAGAAGTACTCAGATCTTGTACTTGAGTAAAAGTAGAAGTACTCAGATCTTGTACTTGAGTAAAAGTAGAAGTACTCAGATCTTGTTCTTGAGTAAAAGTAGAAGTACTCAGATCTTGTTCTTGAGTAAAAGTAGAAGTACTCAGATCTTGTACTTGAGTAAAAGTAGAAGTACTCAGATCTTGTACTTGAGTAAAAGTAGAAGTACTCAGATCTTGTACTTGAGTAAAAGTAGAAGTACTCAGGTCTTGTACTTGAGTAAAAGTAGAAGTACTCAGATCTTGTACTTGAGTAAAAGTAGAAGTACTCAGATCTTGTACTTGAGTAAAAGTAGAAGTACTCAGATCTTGTACTTGAGTAAAAGTAGAAGTACTCAGGTCTTGTACTTGAGTAAAAGTAGAAGTACTCAGGTCTTGTACTTGAGTCAAAGTAGAAGTACTCAGGTCTTGTACTTGAGTCAAAGTAGAAGTACTCAGATCTGGTACTTGAGTAAAAGTAGAAGTACTCAGATCTTGTACTTGAGTAAAAGTAGAAGTACTCAGATCTTGTACTTGAGTAAAAGTAGAAGTACTCAGATCTTGTACTTGAGTAAAAGTAGAAGTACTCAGATCTTGTACTTGAGTAAAAGTAGAAGTACTCAGATCTTGTACTTGAGTAAAAGTAGAAGTACTCAGATCTTGTACTTGAGTAAAAGTAGAAGTACTCAGATCTTGTACTTGAGTAAAAGTAGAAGTACCAGAGTGTAGGAATACTCTGTTACAGTAAAAGTCCTGCATTCAAAATGTTCCTCAAGTGAAAGTATAAAAGTATTATCATCAAAATATAGTGAAAGTAGCGACAGTAAAAGTAGTCGTTGTGCAGATTGGTCCATTTCAGAATAATATATATGATATGTTTTATAATGATTGATCATTAAAGTGTTCTCAAAGCTGGTAAAGGAGCAGCTAGTTTGAATGACTTTGTATACTGCAGGGTAGCTTGTGGATTTACTCCAGGTGGAACTAAAGTCTGATTTAACACTTGATTAGATTTCACATCATTCATCCACATCTGTAAAGTAACTAAAGGTATTAAATACATGTACAAGTACACCATGTACCTCTGAACTGTAGTGGAGTATAACTGTACACAGTAGCTTAAAATGGAAATACTCAAGTACAAGTACCTCAAAATTGTACAGTACTTGAGTAAATGTACTTAGTTACTTTACACCTCTGGACATTATACTAACACCACTTTTTAAGGTCTTTTTAACTCAAATGTACCTTTTATTTTTGACCTCAGTAGCGGTTTCATGTGTTTATGGGATGTGTTGTTGCTATGCTGATGGATTTTGTTTCTTGGTATGATAGTTAAAAAAACAGAGAGACTTCATTTCTTTCAGAGTGGTGCAGATGAGATAACTAATATCTAACTGAACCGGCCCTTGCCACATCTCGTAGAAAAACAGAAACATTTTGAGTGAATCTGCCAAAGGACTTTTAACAAAGACAGAGTGGCTATTTCTGGAAACTTAGCGAAAACAATTCTTGAGTTTGACGAAAGACACTTAAAAGTTAAAGAAGGTTTTCCATCTCTGGATCTCAAACAGTATAAAGGTCATTTCTCTAATTGACTATTCCTCGAATGTCTTACAGTAAATTATCACAAACCCTGACGCACAGAGCAGAGAACCATTCCTCCTCTCTGACATCATTCAGGCAGAATTGATGAAGCTGAAACTCCAAAATTAGGAAAGAAGAAAGCAGATAAAGCCTGACGCAGAACTGTGAGAATCCTATCTTGTCAGAACAGTAAAATACCTTAAAATAAGTTATCGGGCTTTTTTTCATCAACTAAGATTTGTTAGAAAATGTTCTCAACTTGAATTGACTGAATTTATTTGAAAAGTGGGCTAACTGCTGTGTAAAATATGTTTACATATTTATTTAAAGGTCACCTATCATGCTATTTTTAGGCAATGGCATAGGTCTCAGATATATACAAATATATAAAAAACATGTCTATGAAGTGTTTTGCTCAAAATACCAAACAGATCACCCATTCTAGCCATGCCTCATATCCCTCTGTTTCACTTCCTGTTTCAAAAGTGCTGATTTGGGGTATAAAGCTTTAAAAAATAGATTAAAAATAAAAAAGAAGGGGTCTGAGCTCATGCGGGACCCTGCAGCTACTGTCTAAACTAAATACTGCCGTGATGAAACGCCATATCATGGATTATCAAGGATTGTTTCTGAAACAGTATGGAGCTCAAAGGCTTTCTCTCTTGCCGGTTATACCACAAGGTGAGTTCCTTTTTATTTCCTGCTTCTTCACACACATGCTCTCCAGTACAGGTTAGCTCTGAGTGTTAGCGATGCTAATGTAAACACCGACCATATTACGTCCAAAACAGTCGGGCATTGTTTCTGATAGCAACGTTTCTGATAGGGCCGTGGGTCCACATTTCAGATATTACGTCATATCGGACGCAAATCTGGATCAGCTCCGTTGTTCCCCCGTTTTTAGAGATTTGGGTACGGAGGAAAAGAGAGAGGGTTTTATTTCCTGACGCTGCGTGAGTTCCCTGACACACCGGGGACACATGTTGATGTATAGAAGACATCACAAAGTGCATTTTGCATGATAGGTCCCCTTTAAGAAGCACAATAAAATAAAAGCAAGAGTTTAATGTGTGAGCCATACTCCATTACACTTTTTGAATTTGCAACGGGCCAATTCAAAGGGACAAAGTTAGCCGTAGTTTGGACTACCCTGCCTTTAAAACATGTTGTTCATGGATACTCTGGAGGACGCTTAATTATTTTACGTTTAAAAGTTCCTCACCTGGCATTGATTAGACCCCTCGAACCTCATTTATCATCATCTAAATCCCAAATGTAAAGACTGAAAATGCCTTGAAATGGCTCGGAGTTAACTCAGTTAAAGTGGAAATTATTACTCACTCACTCACTCACTGTGTCGCTACGATAAATGTAAACAGCGTTGGGCTTTAATATAAATGTAGCCCCTCTGTTTTGGAGTAATATTAGAAACCGACCGGACTACTTTCTGCAGATTGATATCACTGCACATAGTCCTCCTTAGCAACAGTCTTTTCTCCTTAGCGACACTCTGTTAGTGAGACTTAACAACCTCTGGAATGTCCACATCGACCAATCACAATCGAGTATTCAACTTAGGCGTGTAATAATATAAAATATGGTAATAAACAGTGAATATATACATACAGTATCAACAGTAGAAGGTAAATATCTCTGGGTATGGACAGAATAGGGGAGAATACACTGTAATAGACCGACTTATGACAAATAAAAATGTATAAACACACATTATATAAGTCAGTGGGGAGTCTCAGCAGCTCTTTAACAGTAACACTTTCCTTCTGTATATGATCTGTGTTATGATCTGTGTTATGATCTGTGCTGTGATCTAACACATGTTCTGTAAGCTGCTGTTTACACCAGACTCACTGTAACATAGACACTGGGAGGCTGTTTTCCTTTTACAGCAATTACCAGTGTCTTCTCTCAGAAATAACCAGTGGTGAAAGTAACTAAGTAGATGTACTCAAGTACTGCACTTAAGTACAATGTTGAGGCACTTGTACTTTACTTGAGTATGTCACTGTGTTTTGTCCACTACAGTTCAGAGGTAAATGGTGTACTTGTACTCCACTCCATGTATTTAATACCTTTAGTGACTTTACAGATTTAGATGAATGATGTGAAATATAATAAGTGTTAAATCAGACTTCCACCTGGAGGTAAATCTTTTGGGGAAATGGTTTTAAAGTCCAAATATGTAAAGGCTATAATAATTTGTGTTACTGTATTGATGTTTAGTCCGATAAGAAGAACTCAGTTACCCATGGACCCCTCGTAGTTCTCCGACTCGGTTCCCAGGAAGCTGTTGACCTTCTTCACGGCGGCCATTTGCACCTCGAGGTCCGCCAGGTTCCTCACCACCCAGTTCAGATAGTTAGTGACCTGAGGAAGACAAGAAGGGTGCATTGTTATTAACATAATGTTTATTATACAGCCCACACACAGCAGCTCCACATTTACAGCCTTCAAACCAACCAGAAGTGCTCGATGATACCTGTGTTAACATGTTGTTTATTTACCTTTTTCCCATTTTTAAATGCATCTTAAATTTAGACTTTAGACCAGGCTTACAAATGTTGCGGTTGTGTCCAAACTACAAATAGATGTATTAAGTGGCTGCAGGTTTCATGTGAGTATGTTTCCGGTACAGCATGCACAATATTAGCACTAGTATAAGCTGAAATTAAAAAGATCTTAAAACGGATAAAACGTCTTCTTAGTGTTGTTTTATAACACTCTTTGAATTTGTCCGGTGCACACAACGTGATTGGTTGCTGCCTTTAAGATAATAAGATAAGATAAGATGTACTTTATTGAGTCAGGACTCTCTGGAGGAGAGCTGGAGCTTTGATGGCAAACACTGACGGTTTATTTGGAGTTACGGCCGGAGAATTGACAAGACATGTGGTGTGTCACGAGTTGACACAGCGGTTACCAAAACAATTCTGAAGAACTCTTTCTGTAGCTCGAGGTTTGAACTAGTTCGGAGTTTAATAATCAACATTCTTTATCAGCGAGACTAAACAATTATGGACCCTGAATCTAACTAGAGCTCTCGTCCATAGGAAAGAATGTGCGCCAGGGAACCTACGTCCCTGATCAGTAAACTACCTCATGGCGGCTTGTGCTCTGTCATAGACTGGCAACAACAATGCGCCCAAGCTGCCCCTCCTTAAGAGAGATAGCAGCCATACCCAAGGCCGTAGACCTATGCCATGAGAAAGAGACAGTGAGGAGAGAAAACGATGAACTGGGTCGAAGGTTGAATACCTAAGCAAATTATTCCCTAACAATAAGTAGAAATTAAACGAGTAGAAATAAACAATTCTAAACTGGAAACAATCCCAAAATAGAAATAAAAAAGCTTTACAAAAGTAGTTGACCGTGAAAATAAAGAAATTGATAAAAACCTGACAAATAGAACAATATTGAAGCATCGATTTTCAGTTAACACAATAATTTATTCGACGTGCAAAAGCACAAAAGAAATCTAGGAGAAATGACGCTGCTTTTTATGCTTTTGTTCCTAGTGTAATATTTGCGTTATTCTACGTGAAAGTAATCACAACAGTTCGCAAAAACATATTGATGTGCAAAACGGAAGATAGCATTTAGATGCGCAGCTCCACTGTCCTGGAATAGTCTGCAATTAAAATGGAAACTGAGCAATCTGGTGCCACTACATGTTTTTAAAGCTCGGTTGGATGCTACTCAATCGGAAGCTGTTGGTACCTGTTCATGTGGATAGTATGTAATTTGTAATCCCTGTAATGATACTGTATGATGTCCTTTTGTTGTTCTGTTTATGTTTTTAATGTTTCATGTGGAACCTACTTGAGCAGGTCTCCCTTGAAAAAGAGATCAATGATCTCAATGGGATACAACCTGGATAAATAAAGGTTTGAAATGAAATGAAATGAAAAACAATCACACGGTAAATATGACCCTGGTGGTCTTTTCACATGAGTTCATTCAAATCAGAATCAGGTTTATTTCCAGGTAGGTTGACACGTACGAGGATGATAAGATGATAAGTATACATAAAAAGAGGACAAAACTGCACAGACTGAAGGAGGTCAGGTGCTTTGATGGATTGAATAAAGGTGATAACCAGAGAGGACTCACAGTGAGGGCGTAGGTGAGTCCGAGGCCAACGAGGGCCCCGTGGTCGTGGCTGTACTCTAAACTCCAGATTGAAGCTCCTGCAGCCGTCAGAACGATCACCGCTCCAAGGTAATCCTGAACAAGAGAAGGAATGAAACCTCAGAGAAATATAATAACTCAAAATCTAAATCTCCTAAACCAAGTGCAAGAGGGACGAAAACAATCATCACAGCACGAGTTAGCTTCTTCCTATTCGTCCAGCCAATACGAATAACAAACAGTATAGTGACTGACTGTGTGAAAGTAATGTAAGGAACATATGAATTAAAGTATTTCCTCACCGTGCGGACCTCCAGCCAGCGGTTGGCGGCGGACAGAAACAGGTAGGCGGTGTTGTTGGTGTCTGTCAGCTCCAACATACGCTGCTTAAAACGAGCCTCGTGCCTGAAAACACAACAACGTTTGCATCAGAAACTAAATATATAAGACTCCATCTTATAATCATAAAGTTGTTTCTAAACACTTAAAAAAGTTCAACGGTGCATTCAAGTGCACCTTGTAAGGGTCTTATTTAGATATTCTTCCTTATTCAGTGTGTTCAACAGAGTAGTGGAGTACAAATACTTTGTTACTGTACTTAAGTACATTTTTCTGGTATCAGTACTTTACTGCACTACTTATTTTTCTGACGACTTTTTACTTTGACTTCTTACATGTTGAACCCAAATACCTGTACTTTCTACTTCTTACATGTTGAACACAAATACCTGTACTTTTTACTTCTTACATGTTGAACCCAAATACCTGTACTTTCTACTTCTTACATGTTGAACCCAAATACCTGTACTTTCTACTTCTCACATGTTGAACCCAAATACCTGTACTTTCTACTTCTTACATGTTGAACACAAATACCTGTACTTTCTACTTCTCACATGTTGAACCCAAATACCTGTACTTTCTACTTCTTACATGTTGAACCCAAATACCTGTACTTTCTACTTCTTACATGTTGAACCCAAATACCTGTACTTTCTACTTCTTACATGTTGAACCCAAATACCTGTACTTTCTACTTCTTACATGTTGAACACAAATACCTGTACTTTCTACTTCTTACATGTTGAACACAAATACCTGTACTTTCTACTTCTTACATGTTGAACACAAATACCTGAACTTTCTACTTCTTACATTTTGAACCCAAATACCTGTACTTTCTACTTCTTACATGTTGAACCCAAATACCTGTACTTTCTACTTCTTACATTTTGAACACAAATACCTGTACTTTCTACTTCTTACATGTTGAACACAAATACCTGTACTTTCTACTTCTTACATGTTGAACACAAATACCTGTACTTTCTACTTCTTACATGTTGAACCCAAATACCTGTACTTTCTACTTCTTACATGTTGAACACAAATACCTGTACTTTCTACTTCTCACATTTTCCAAACAGGCTGGTTCCTTTAGTTTGAATGTGTGTTTGGTGGCGTGATCATTATTCTTTAGAGTCATTGCGTGCCTATTGATTTGAACACGATCCGTGTATCCATCATTTCCTGGTCTTCTCTAAAGAAGAGGGACCAATGGAAACGTTGTCATGTTGCCGTTGTTCAGCATGGAAACATTCATTAGCTAACAATGACATTATTGTTCTATTAATATAAAGGGAGGTCAGGTACTCTTTAAAACAGCTGCTAGTTATGGGTACTTTTTACTGAAGTACATTTCAAAGCCCTCTTTACTTTCACTTGAGTAAAGAAGTTTAGTCAGTACTTCTACTTTCACCAGAGTATTTTTAACCACGAGTATCTGTACTTCTACTTGAGTAAAGCATGTGTGTACTTTTGCCCTCTCTGGTGTTCAAGAGCTAAACATTTTTATGCGAAGGCAATATGGACACTGGAAAGAGGTCCACTATATGTCTGCGTAATATATATATATCGTCAACTAGTAAACACACATTTTTGTTGATTTTCCAAGTGTTTTTTTCAGGGGTGCTCACAAGACTTTTGGGAAGTTGTTTCTCCAGTTACTCCTACACCACATGAATGCAGCCAGATGCCCTATCTTCCACCAAATGGTGCGTAACGGCTTTCAAATCCAATAGTTTCTACATCCTTTCCCCAAGCTTTATGAAAACCGTGCCAGTACTCTTTCCGTGATCGTGCCAACAAAGAAACCATAGCCAAAAACATGACTTTCTTTTCGTGTTGGGAATAAAAGTAGCATCGTATCTTCAGGTTTTATTATTGCCTGCCATCCTGCGGTCATAAATCACCGCGAAACCAGACTGGGTTTGGAGGCGAACCAGAGGATAATGATGATAGTTCCCATGAGCGCCAAGGAACTGTCCCAACACCAGAATCATTGTTTCTCTGTGTGTGTGTTTGTACAGTATATATGTGTGTGTGTGTGTGTGTGTGGGGGGGGGGGGGGGGGGGGGGGGGGGGGTAGTCCTAAGGGAGTAGAGGAGGAGAAAGCAGCGTGAGAGCTGTTTAATGTTGGATTACACCGACGATGGGAAAGAGGGTGAAGACAGAAATACAAAGAGATACAGCTGCTGAAATAAAATAAAACTAAATATACTGATATTACAGCTACTGGGAGAAGCACTGCTCATGTTTTTTAAAATCTATACTCCTGCTTTTATCACTTAGACATGTGCTTATTATGTATTATTCATTTTTACTATGGGCTGCATTCCTCCAAAGTGCTTTAAAGAGCCATGTAGTGTGAGGTGTGGCTGAACCATCGACATCAATTCAGTCCATGGACACTTTGGAGATAAGGAGCGTGGGGTTGAAACAACAATTATTACTGGGTTTAGTCTGTAAGGATCTTTCTCTATCCGTCACATTGTCGGGACTTTAGCTGGACACTTGTGTAATGTACTTAGTGTCCTATATTTATATTTTAGTTGGAGTAGTTTGGGATATAATAGTGTATTCTAATATATTCTATATACTCAATACATCTATATCTTTCTATGGTCGATATGTATGTATGTATGCTGCTGCTGTAAACAGAATAATTCCCCAATTTTGGATCAAAAAAGTAAATCTATCTATATATATTTACAGAAAGGTTTAGGGACTTAGTTACATATGTATGTTAGAACAAAATAGACATGAAAAAAAAAGATTAAAAAGTATTTGTTGAGACACAAAAAAGTGCCTACAGCTGAAGTGCATCCAGTGCAAACAGGATGTTCTTAATGAAGGGTGTGCGTGTGTGTGCGTGTGTGTGTGTGTGTGTGTGTGTGTGTGTGTGTGTGTGTGTGTGTGTGTGTGTGTGTGTGTGTGTGTACGAGTGAGTGTACGAGTGAGTGAGTGAGTGAGTGAGTGAGTGAGTGAGTGAGTGAGTGAGTGTGTGTGTGTGTGTGTGTGTGTGTGTGTGTGTGTGTGTGTGTGTGTGTGTGTGTGTGTGTGTGTGTGTGTGTGTGTGTGTACCTGAATGCTCTAATGGTAGTCAGACCCTCAGCGGTCTCAGAGAAGTGGCAGAGCAGAGGGAGCTGAGTGGAGTCATCGAGGTCCTGGAGGTCTCTGAGAGAGAGATAAACAATATGTTTATCAGGTTACACACACTAACATACACAGAACAGTCATGCCACACACATGTCTTATTGATTCATTTGCTAGATGAATGCTTTAAAAGAGCTATCAAAATAATAAATAGTTTATTATTTTTACACATAAATGTAACTGTGTTTGTATGATTGGAAAGCTTGGACGTTAAGAGTCCTAGCTCACAAATAAGGTCTATAATTTTTGGTTTGTACTGAAGAAGAATATGAGATAAGATAAACCTCAATTGATATCTGTAGGGACATTCAGGTGTAATAGCAGCAACAAGAATAAGAGTGAAACACAGGATAATAAATAATAATAAACACAAATATATGAATACATGAACTTTCTAACAGGATATACCAAGTTTTATTAGATGTTCACCAATAATATTCCTTTGAATGCATGTCACTGAAGTCTAATAGTGGTTTTAGTGTGTATAAAAAAGCACTTTTAATCGAATAAATACACTGAGGACTCACTTGGAGGCCACCCTGAAGTACTTCTGGATGAAGTAGAAGGCGACGGCCAGAGGAATGAGAGCGATGAGGAAGGCTGGAGTGATGGAGGAAATCACGCCGATGGCCGACAGTAAGAGCAGCGTCGATCTCGTTAAAGACTCCAGGGTGGGAGGAATGTGCTGAGAAGAATAAAACACGTGGACAAAGTGAGAGGGAATTCAGGAAGTCTGGAAGAAGTTGAAGTTTCTCAAACCGTACCTGATCTATGATGTTGGTGTCGGCGGAGAATCTGTTGATGATCAGCCCCAGAGGAGTGATGTCAAAGAACCTGAAGGGAAAGGTGTTGAATTCATCAGTCAGTATAAGAGCGTTGAAGGTAACCATTTGTAATTATGGAGCAACAATTTAAACTCTATAAAAGCTGTCGACAAAGACAATAAACTTGTGTGGTTTTATTCTCTGAGAAATACAAGATTTCTTTCCATAAATTCACGAGTTTTTCACTTTAATTTGAGAGAATATCCGTGTTTCTTTTTTGTAAATATGGGATTTAAATCGAGGTATTTTCTTTAGTTGGATTATTTTACATACACATTTTAAGGTTTAAATGCCCATTTTTGTATGTATACATGGACACATAGAGACATAGTTATAGTGATAATAAATATTAGGTAAAATAACACAATTAAAAAGATTAACAAACAAGCAAAAACAAATAAAGAAAAATTCACTTTTTTAGGTTTTTAATAAAAGATTTTTGACCAAGTTGTATCTAGTTTTGCTGAGCGTCTGGACTTATAGATGTGTGTGTGTGTGTGTGTGTGTGTGTGTGTGTGTGTGTGTGTGTGTGTGTGTGTGTGTGTGTGTGTGTGTGTGTGTGTGTGTTTATGTAAGGGCCAGCAGAGACAATAGAAATCCTTCTAAGACAATCTGAGTCAAAGTGTTGTGTGTTAGTACGCGGGCAGCAAAGAGACCCTGTTAAAAATCAAAGGCGAGATTTTCTTTTGTGTGTGTGTGAGTGTGAGTGTGAGTGTGAGTGTGTGTGTGTGTGTGTGTGTGTGTGTGTGTGTGTGTGTGTGTGTGTGTGTGTGTGTGTGACCTGATGGGAGCGTGGATGATCTTGTTCAGCAGGTTGTGGTGCAGGTTGGTGGCCGCAGAGACACCGAGGAACTCCACGGTGAGAGACGTGATGAGACACAAAGTGATGCCCGCCGCACACAGGGTGACGAACACAGGCAGGTAGTACGAGTCGATCTGACACACACACACACACACACACACACACACACACACACACACACACACACACACACACACACACACACACACACACACACACACACACACACACACACACACACACACACACACACACACTTTGAAAAGGTCTCTAATTCACATTTTCACAAACAAAAACTAATTATTTGCTCAAAATGTGTTGAATTTGATCGCTTTGAAAGATGTTCCTCCAACTAGTCTTATATGAAAACATCCGAGACTCATATTTAAACTGTACTCTGCAACCTAATAGGAGAGTAGGTGATACAGCATGATATTTACAACATTTCTGATGTATAATATGCAGGTTATAATAGATTTGAACTGCTCGAAGACAAGCACAGCTCATAGTATACTTGTGTAGGTAAATAGAGCCTATATTGAGATATTGTGAATGTGTGATTTATTGTGACATTTTGATTTGCTTTCTCTAAAACTATTATAATAGATAGTTTTAGTTACGGCACCCTATTGTGGAAAATGTATATCTTGCATGCATGTACACTTGGTTCCTCTCGTTTATCCTCTAATCTGCAATTAAACCCCACAAGCATAAGACCTAAATTGGCAATTTTAACCCACAAATATTGATATTTAAAACTTTAAAAAGTACCTCAGAGTGTGGGTCTGCAGGTCTGGTGCTGTTTGTGAAGTTGCCCGTGATGTTGCTCTCATTTGTTCCCGATACAGACGTGGCGTTGGTTTTAGAAGAAGTCCAGATGGCCAGCCAGTAATCGATGGCCACGATGACGGAGTGTTTGAGGAGTTTTGAGGAAACCATGAGGAAGACCATGAAGAAACCTCCGGAGGAAAGGTAGCACCAGCACACCTGATCAATGGGAGGATTCAAAACAATGAATGTATCTAAGAGGCAGAAATGCTGTCCTTGTAGATGAACCATGCAGAGTATTGCCCTACTTGCTTGTTTGTTCACAGCATGTAAAGCAGCCTGGGGTCCCTTGAAAGGCGTTTTGGCAAGTTGTGTCAGTATTATTACTTTCATCTTACTGACAATTTATCGACCAAACAATCACATTTTTAATTGATAAAGCAATCAATGGACTGATTCATAATGAGGATAATTGTCGTTATCGCCCAACTGTCTGTAATAAGATAAGGATAAGATAAGATGTACTTTATTGATCCCAAATTGGGACATGTTTGCGTAGCAGCAGCATAAAAAACAAGATGAAAATGTAAACATCTCAAAACAGATATTTTTTCAAATGTTGTACATTTTTCGGGACAAAGTATTCTCTTTTAACAATAAAATAATACTATCTTATCTGCTTGCTTTTCTATCGTAGCTTGACTTGTGTGATACTATCCTATGTGTTGTCGTACATGTGACCAAGAAAAGTGTGCATAAATAAAGACCACATTTTATTGGTAATGTTAGGTCACTAAAGCCGAATAGAAAAGGGTATAGTATCTTAGTCTTACTACTTTAGTAAACCAGCTAGATCAGGTAGTGTTAGTCGTTTCCTTTGTGATATTAAATGATGATAATAGGTGTTATGTAGTGTTCATTTTGTCAGCTATTTTTTAATTTAGTTTTAGTCTTAGTCCTGTATCAAATGTCCTTGTTAGTTTTAGTCATATTTAGTCACCTTCATCCTGTTTTTGTTTTGTCAAGTTTTAGTCGACTAAAAGTCTGAGCATGTTAGTCTTATTTTAGTAAAAGAAAACTAACTATTTTAGTCTACTTTTTGTCAATGAAAACTGTTGACATTTGAGTCTTTTTTAGTGATCAGATTATATAGAACATTTCAGTCAAACTAGTCTAGCCAAAACCAATAATTTGTCATTGTAGTTAACGCGACCACCGCTCCCAAGCCCTGTTGTTGCCATTTTCCTTTCTGTTAAATAAGGTTCGTTAGATCCGAGTCTTCCTGACAGTTCACAGTGTGCCGCTGCCCGGTGTAATTCAAATGTGCCGCCGCGCGCAGCACAGACACACACAGCTGCTGCCCAGACGCAGCACCGGAAATGGAACTGCTGGGAGAAAAACTGACTATCAGAGATGTAACGTTATCTTTGATAATATTTCTTCTCCTCATTTTTCGTCAACGAAAGTAAAGAGAGATTTTGGCAAAGTGTTTATTTAGTAAACTACATTTTCGTCTCGTCACTTTTCGTCAACGATATTGCATGTTGATTTCGTTACAGTTATTGTTTACTGCCGTCGGTGCCGTCTCGTCATCGTCTCGTTTTAGTCATGGAAAAAAAGGTCGTTGACGAACATATTTCGTCATAGTTTAAGTCAACGAAATGGACACTAGTGTTTTGTGTTGTCTAAATATCATTTTTGGAGACAGGTTTTGCAGCTGTACGGATGAATTACCCTCCATGGGACCTTTGATCTTCTGTTGGTGGTTGTAGACATGTTGTCATCATCTTCCTCCTCCTCTTCCTCCTCTGAAAGTGGAATACCATATGACATATGAGTCAATTAAACACAGAAAACAACACTTAATATCACTATTATCCAATTAAACACTTTGTCTTTTTTACAAGTTTAAACTCTTAAGTAACATTTCATTTTGTGTCTTTTGTACAAGAAGAGTAGAAATGTACATAATTAAAAAGGGCTTACCTTCGTCTTCATCGTCCATTTGGTTCTTGGTCTCTCTGGAGTAGAAAGCCCTTCTCAGAGTTTTCCTCTCCAGCGTTGTTTGACTGTCTTGCTGGATGTCCTACACAACATAACATATATAACATTAAACACATAATAAAGCTTTAACTGCTAGACTGTCTGCATCATTGAAAAGACTTAATGCTGGTGCTTTTATTCTGATAATGCCTCGAGCTTGAATGCACGTTCTGGAGGAGATGAGGTTTGTTAAAGTTAAGGTAAAAACTTAGGCTCCTCCAACAGAGCAACATATAGGACATCAAACTAATAAAACAGATGAAATAGTGCAAGAAGAGTCTATATAGATGAGAGTAACACCTACGTCACTTCCGGGCGAAAATTACGGCCCCGCCCACTTTTGGGGGAAAACAACGCTGTCATTTGATTGGCGGTCAATACACATTCTGAAGTTTTTGCCAATCCGATCAGAAATGTAAGAAAACAGTGGATTTGTGGATCTTCAAAGAGCCCGGTTACGATGGCCAGACAGGCAAACAGTTACATTCCATCATTGGAAATCGACGATCGGGTTCGATATATGGTTAAATTAAAATCAGTAGGCGAGGCCGTCATTTCGCCAGCTGTTACTCTCATGAGCGAGGCGGAAAATAATAGTTGTATCATGCCAACAAGCTGCTGTGTCGTTTATTGCACCTCAAACATTAAAACAAATCCAGAGTTCAGTGTTTCTGAACTTCCTCTAAGAAGAAAGGAGCTCTGTGGCTTCAGGCTCGATCGCCATTCAAATGACAGCGTTGTTTCCCCCAAAAGTGGGCGGGGCCGTAAAGTGACGTAGATGTTACTCTCATCTATGGACATCGATCGCCTACTGCTATATTTAACCATATATCGAGACCGATCGTCGATTTCCAATGATTGAATGTAATTGTTTGCCTGTCTGGCCATCGTAATCGGGCTCTTTGAAGATCCACAAATCCACGGTTTTCTTACATTTCTGATCAGATTGGCAAAAACTTCAGAATTTGTATTGACCGCCATTCAAATGACAGCTTTGTTTCCCCCCAAAAGTGGGTCAAAAGGGTCTCGTTCTTTCCTATGAGAGCTGCTCATTGGCTCATGAGGACAAAATGGCCCAACTTTTGAGAGAGCGAAACGTGCCTAGCTGCCAGAGCAGAAGAACCCGTATGTGCGCTCACAGCGCCCCTTAAGCCCCGCCCCCGGAGCTCCCACTCTCGGCTCAGTAGAATGAATGGAGAGAGAAAATAAATCTAGATTCGGCTTTTAGTGCATTTTACAACTTTAAGGACCGAATGATTATAATAAGGGCTATAAGATAGTTCATACTGGGTAGTTTATTTAGGTTAAAAAAAATTATCCACCGATTTACAGACGTCTCGTTCCCAATGTTAGTCAATGGGAAAAAGTATATCTGGGCCCAGTGACGTCACGGACTGATACGGAGATTGTAGTACCGCCGTTTGGACACAACAAATATTTTCCTCAGAGTCCGGCGCACTTCCTGGGGGCTTGGATGCAACAGATGAATGTTTATGGATGTTCTTAAAAAAGTTATGGCCTGTGGGATGAATGAATAAAGTGTATTATTTGTGTCAGGTGACCTTCTCCAGGCCGTGGTCCTGGCGGTTCATCAGCGTCTTCCAGTGTTCGTAGAGCTCGATGTCGTGCGTCTGGATGTCCTTCAGAGTTCCTTCTCTCAGCACCGAGCCGTCCTTCATCGCTATGATCTGGAGAAAAGACACATTAGATATTTATGGCTTTCATTTAATAAATATTACTCACTGAAAGGTGGAGTCAAAAAAAACGTGGGTTTGGACCGTTGATTAGGTTCAGGTTCTTTATTTGTACCCGTAGGTAGATTTTGTTTGCAGAGAAAAAGACAAGGGATCCATCCTGACACACAAACAACAGACACATCTCTAATAAAAGGAATAGTAAAAAGTACAAGTACACTCTTAATTGCACATCATTTGCATCATATACTCACACAAAATGTATTGCGCGTATGATATGTAAGTTTCCACGTACAACATAACTTGTGTTGAGAAATAGGGTGCAAAAAATATGCAAATATAGAACAATTATGCTGGTTATTGTAAGAAAAACATGCAGAAAAACACAAATAACATAAATAAGATAATAAGTTAAATTACTGTGAAAAATACAAAGAGTATACCTTTATTAAAAGTGTGCAAAAATGTGCAAAATAATCATGCAGTCACACATGCACAATGTTTAGAAAATAAGTGCATTTTGTCTTTTTTTTGTAAAGGTACATTTAAGAAATAATTATAATTTATTTTCTACAAAAACATTATTTTTCATGCATTTTTTAATATATTTTGCACAACCCTTTTGTGAATCCACTCCCTCAATTTCCCCTCAATTTCAATGCCAAGGCTTTATCATCATGTGCACGTTCGCTACAGTGTAGATATGTCAATGAAAAACTGAAGTCCCAGGCTCCTCCAACAGAGCAACATGAATATATATAGGACATAAAATAAATAAAACAGATACAATTGTGCAAGAGAATGTTTTGGATGTATTAACACTAATATACAGTACATTTTGAATAGATAAGTCTAGTCTTTTACTGTGTGTATTGTAATATTCGTACCCAGTCGGCGTGTATGAGGTACTGCAGTTTGTGGGTGACCAGGACCACGGTGCGTTTATCGTCCTGCAGGAACTTCAGGATGCCCTCCTGCATCAAGTGATCGCTGAGGTGGATATCCAGAGCTGAGAAGGGATCGTCCTGAGAGACAAAAGAAGTACACACATCCTTTACTCAAGTAGAAGTACAGATACTTCTGTTTAAAAATACTCTGGTAAAAGTAGAAGTACTGCCTAAACTTCTTTCCTCAAGTCAAAGTAAAGAGGGCTTTGAAATGTACTTCAGTAAAAAGTACCCATAACTAGCAGCTGTTTTAAAGAGTACCTGACCTCCCTTTATATTAATAGAACAATAATGTCATTGTTAGCTAATGAATGTTTCCATGCTGAACAACGGCAACATGACAACGTTTTCATTGGTCCCTCTTCTTTAGAGAAGACCAGGAAATGATGGATACACGGATCGTGTTCAAATCAATAGGCACGCAATGACTCTAAATAATAATGATCACGCCACCAAACACACATTCAAACTAAAGGAACCAGCCTGTTTGGGAAATGTGAGAAGTAGAAAGTACAGGTATTTGTGTTCAACATGTGAGAAGTAGAAAGTACAGGTATTTGTGTTCAAAATGTAAGAAGTAGAAAGTACAGGTATTTGGGTTCAACATGTAAGAAGTAGAAAGTACAGGTATTTGTGTCCAAAATGTAAGAAGTAGAAAGTACAGGGATTTGTGTTCAACATGTAAGAAGTAGAAAGTACAGGTATTTGTGTTCAACATGTAAGAAGTAGAAAGTACAGGTATTTGTGTTCAAAATGTAAGAAGTAGAAAGTACAGGTATTTGTGTTCAAAATGTAAGAAGTAGAAAGTACAGGTATTTGTGTTCAACATGTAAGAAGTAGAAAGTACAGGTACTTGTGTTCAACATGTAAGAAGTAGAAAGTACAGGTATCTGTGTTCAAAATGTAAGAAGTAGAAAGTACAGGTATTTGTGTTCAAAATGTAAGAAGTAGAAAGTACAGGTACTTGTGTTCAACATGTAAGAAGTAGAAAGTACAGGTATCTGTGTTCAAAATGTAAGAAGTAGAAAGTACAGGTATTTGTGTTCAAAATGTAAGAAGTAGAAAGTACAGGTATTTGTGTTCAACATGTAAGAAGTAGAAAGTACAGGTATTTGTGTTCAACATGTAAGAAGTAGAAAGTACAGGTATTTGTGTTCAAAATGTAAGAAGTAGAAAGTACAGGTATTTGTGTTCAAAATGTAAGAAGTAGAAAGTACAGGTATTTGTGTTCAAAATGTAAGAAGTAGAAAGTACAGGTACTTGTGTTCAACATGTAAGAAGTAGAAAGTACAGGTATTTGTGTTCAAAATGTAAGAAGTCAAAGTAAAAAGTCATCAGAAAAATAAGTAGTGGAGTAAAGTACTGATACCAGAAACATGTACTTAAGTACAGTAACAAAGTATTTGTTCTCCACTACTTCCACAAGGCAAAGAGTGAGTGCTTTAGATAAATAAATAACGTTTATCAAAGTGTGGTAATGGAGTTTGAACCCTGAGATATGAGAAGCACTCCCTCCTCATTATACGTTTAACAAGTGATCGCTGTAGACATTACACAGAGTGATGTGTGTGTTGAAGAATGACTCTGAGAGCTTTTTTTAATGGGAAGTATGCCTGATAACAAATTAAAGCTGGAGGTGGCAACAGGAAATAATCTGGAAGACAAACACATGACGGCAGGACACCTCCTCATCCCAGAGGACGATGTGTTTTATCGTAGAAATAATCATAAAGACATGTAGGATAAAGACGTGAAGACAGGGCGTTACTGCGGCTACATTAATCGAATTAAACGTGCGGTAATGCATCAGAAATAACAATAATAGGTGATAAAATCAGGGTATTGCCCTCAAATGAAACACTAAGGATTCCTCCCTTCAATGTGAAATGGATGAAGTAAAACTGAACATACAGTGGAGGTAGATGTCATGTTTTGTGCATTTTTTCGGGGGTTTTTCTCACCAAGAAGACGATGTTGGTGTTCTGGTAGAGCGCTCTGGCCACGCAGATCCTCTGTCTCTGACCTCCACTCAGGTTGATGCCCTGAATCATAGCAGAACACACAATATCAGCTTATTTTCAAAATAAAGTAACATTGAATGAGTCTTACGGGGAAGATACCAAACCATTCTGTTGCAAATTATTTTAATACAATCACTTCTCTAAGGGTAATTTAAATAATACTACAAATGTAAATAGAATATTCACCTACATAACATTTGATGCTAAGCTAATGCTTTCTGGGGCTTTTATTTTGAAAAACAACACTTTTCCTGAGCCTTCAGTAAGGATACGGTAACTCTATTGCACTTTTATTTTGAAAATCAACACTTTTCCTGAGCTTTTAGTAAGGATACGATAACTCTATAGGGCTTTTACTTGGAAAAACAATACTTTTCCTGAGCCTTCAGTAAGGATACGGTAACTCTATAGGGCTTTTACTTTGAAAAACAATACTTTTCCTGAGCTTTCAGTAAGGATACGGTAACTCTATAGGGCTTTTACTTTGAAAAACAATACTTTTCCTGAGCCTTCAGTAAGGATACGGTAACTCTATAGGGCTTTTACTTTGAAAAACAATACTTTTCCTGAGCTTTTAGTAAGGATACGGTAACTCTATAGGGCTTTTACTTTGAAAAACAATACTTTTCCTGAGCCTTCAGTAAGGATACGGTAACTCTATAGGGCTTTTACTTTGAAAAACAATACTTTTCCTGAGCTTTTAGTAAGGATACGGTAACTCTATAGGGCTTTTACTTTGAAAAACAATACCTTTCCTGAGCTTTCAGTAAGGATATGGTAACTCTCTGGGGCTTTTACTTTGAAAAACAATACTTTTCCTGAGCCTTCAGTAAGGATACGGTAACTCTATAGGGCTTTTACTTTGAAAAGCAATACTTTTCCTGAGCCTTCAGTAAAGATACGGTAACTCTATAGGGCTTTTACTTTGAAAAGCAATACTTTTCCTGAGCCTTCAGTAAGGATATGGTAACTCTATAGGGCTTTTACTTTGAAAAACAATACTTTTCCTGAGCCTTCAGTAAGGATACGGTAACTCTATAGGGCTTTTACTTTGAAAAACAATACTTTTTCTGAGCCTTCAGTAAGGATACGGTAACTCTATAGGGCTTTTACTTTGAAAAACAATACTTTTCCTGAGCTTTCAGTAAGGATACGGTAACTCTATAGGGCTTTTACTTTGAAAAACAATACTTTTCCTGAGCCTTCAGTAAGGATACGGTAACTCTATAGGGCTTTTACTTTGAAAAGCAATACTTTTCCTGAGCCTTCAGTAAAGATACGGTAACTCTATAGGGCTTTTACTTTGAAAAGCAATACTTTTCCTGAGCCTTCAGTAAGGATATGGTAACTCTCTGGGGCTTTTACTTTGAAAAACAATACTTTTCCTGAGCCTTCAGTAAGGATACGGTAACTCTATAGGGCTTTTACTTTGAAAAGCAATACTTTTCCTGAGCCTTCAGTAAAGATACGGTAACTCTATAGGGCTTTTACTTTGAAAAGCAATACTTTTCCTGAGCCTTCAGTAAGGATATGGTAACTCTATAGGGCTTTTACTTTGAAAAACAATACTTTCCCTGAGCCTTCAGTAAGGATACGGTAACTCTATAGGGCTTTTACTTTGAAAAACAATACTTTTCCTGAGCCTTCAGTAAGGATATGGTAACTCTATAGGGCTTTTACTTTGAAAAACAATACTTTTCCTGAGCCTTCAGTAAGGATATGGTAACTCTATAGGGCTTTTACTTTGAAAAGCAATACTTTTCCTGAGCCTTCAGTAAGGATATGGTAACTCTATAGGGCTTTTACTTTGAAAAACAATACTTTTCCTGAGCCTTCAGTAAGGATACGGTAACTCTATAGGGCTTTTACTTTGAAAAACAATACTTTTTCTGAGCCTTCAGTAAGGATACGGTAACTCTATAGGGCTTTTACTTTGAAAAACAATACTTTTCCTGAGCTTTCAGTAAGGATACGGTAACTCTATAGGGCTTTTACTTTGAAAAACAATACTTTTCCTGAGCCTTCAGTAAGGATACGGTAACTCTATAGGGCTTTTACTTTGAAAAGCAATACTTTTCCTGAGCCTTCAGTAAAGACACGGTAACTCTATAGGGCTTTTACTTTGAAAAGCAATACTTTTCCTGAGCCTTCAGTAAGGATATGGTAACTCTCTGGGGCTTTTACTTTGAAAAACAATACTTTTCCTGAGCCTTCAGTAAGGATACGGTAACTCTATAGGGCTTTTACTTTGAAAAGCAATACTTTTCCTGAGCCTTCAGTAAAGATACGGTAACTCTATAGGGCTTTTACTTTGAAAAGCAATACTTTTCCTGAGCCTTCAGTAAGGATATGGTAACTCTATAGGGCTTTTACTTTGAAAAACAATACTTTCCCTGAGCCTTCAGTAAGGATACGGTAACTCTATAGGGCTTTTACTTTGAAAAACAATACTTTTCCTGAGCCTTCAGTAAGGATATGGTAACTCTATAGGGCTTTTACTTTGAAAAACAATACTTTTCCTGAGCCTTCAGTAAGGATACGGTAACTCTATAGGGCTTTTACTTTGAAAAACAATACTTTTCCTGAGCCTTCAGTAAGGATACGGTAACTCTATAGGGCTTTTACTTTGAAAAACAATACTTTTCCTGAGCCTTCAGTAAGGATACGGTAACTCTATAGGGCTTTTATTTTGGTAAAACAGCCTCGCTTGGAGCTTCTTGTTTGTGTACAGTACCTCTATGGGGCTTTTACTTTGAAAAGCAATACTTTTCCTGAGCATTCAGTAAGGATACAGTAACTCTATGAAGCTTTTATGTGGAAAACCAAGCGAAACCTGAGCTTCCTGCAACAATTAAGTTACTTTCTGGGCTTTCATTTTGAAATTAGCTTCCTGTTAGTGTACAGTAACTCTATGGGGCTTTTATTTTTGAAAAAGGTGAGCTGGTTGGTGTCATTATGGGAGTTTATTCCACAAAAAGGGGGTGTTAAAATATGCCTACCCTCTCTCCAATCTCAGTTTGGTCTCCAAAAGGCAGCAGGTCGATATCAGGCTGCAGAGAACAAGCGTCTATCACCGTCTTGTACCTGAAAAACACATCAAACACCATCAGAGATGAACATTTAAGGAAGTTAAAATGTCATTTTCTAACATTACAAAGTGATAAAAGCACCAAAGAATTAATTAACTTCAATCTGTGTCTCTTGTTTTTACCTCTGTTTGTTGAAAGGACTTCCGAAGGTGATGTTTTCTTCCACCGTGGCGTTGAGCAGCCAGGACTTCTGGGTAGCGTAGGCCACAGAGTACCTGTTCTTGCTAGGTGCATCATGGGAAACAGAGGCAAAGAGACAAGTTAGAACTACAAGTCATGTGTTCATAAAGCCTTAAAGAGCACGAGTACTGATCTGGGTTCAATGATTTTAAGGTGGCTCACTTAATACATTATTAAAACTACATATATGTGGCTAAAGCTAACCAATACATTACTGATAAAATGTTGAATAATTTCCTTTTTTTGTTGTCTAAAGGCATTTATTTAAAAAAATGTAAACAATATATGGAATTATTTTACAAGAGTATTTTTATCCTTTGCTGATAAGTTTCTTTCTTTCACTTTTTTGTGCACAATTTATACTTTTTGTGACTATTTGTTTAACTGAAATACATAATGACAAGGATAGAGTTTATTCAACTTAATTTCTTTTATAGGATAATGACATACTACATGCTGGAGATACAAAAATATATAGCTTTTTAGGATAAAATTGCACTTAAATGCATATAATATTAAAGATCAGTCCATTAGATGCAATGATTTGTCTTTTCAAAGCCTATAAACTCTCTATTATTACATATATGTTGTTAAACTGACCGTCTATACCAGTGTTTTCTTCCTTTTGCTGCAAGTGAACACTATTTACTACATTTGCATTATATCAAATTCATATGTCAGCATTTCTACCAGTCACAATTTACTTCTATATCCATCTCTTGCTTAAAAATGGTTCCTTAAATGTATTAAAAGGTAAAGCTGTTCTCAGATCAGTTCTCCTGTTCTCCGCAGCTTTATAGAAGCGACACCCAAACACAGAAAAGGGAACGAGAGGAAGGGTCAAGCTGCACCGCAACATGAGGATGTTTTGTCAGAAAGGAGAGATAAATATGGATCGGGTTAATGATGAGCTGCAAACCACCTCCAGCCTGATCAACAACAACAACACCAACAACATCAACAACACAACAGAGATACAACAACAAGAAACTGAAGCGTTGTGCTGGGAGTCTGCTGAGGTTTTTCATTCGACCTTTAAAAACAAACTTATATTCATGTCGTTTTTTAGTATCCTGTTTGAACATACCTTAGGATATTTCCCCTTAGTATGAAGTTACACGATATTTTGTAGTATGACGTGTTGTCCTTGTTAATTAAAGGATTATTCTACATTTTAGACAACCACAAACATGTAGAAAGGCAAATGTTTGCATGAGGAGTATGCAACGGTATTGTGTGAATCAGAATCGGTTTTATTTTCCAAGTAGGTTTACACATACGAGGACTTTGCTTTTGTATAAGTGGTGCATACAGAGAGCCAGAAAGTAGAATATGAAAGCAAAAAACAAGATGAAAAAGTAGTACAATTATAAAAGTTAAGACTAGAAGAAAAACAAAAGACAATATTTACACAACATATAGTTATGTAGGAAACTGAGAGCAGTTCAAATGTAATAAAATAAGAGTATACTATATTCAAAGTGGAGAGCTATGCTGATTTAAAGAAGAGGTTGTGCAACATGTTGTGCAGGATTTCAAATATTTGATGTCTCATATATTGCAGAAAATCTCTAATGGCGCTTTTCCACTGCAGGGCCTCGCACGGCTTAGTACGGTAGAGTTAGGCCTTGGTAGGCCAGGCTCACTTTATGCTGCGTTTCCATTACAGTTTAGTAGCTGGGGCAGTAACTATAGTAACGCAGTGTAGGCGGAGCCGTGACGTCATCTTCAATGAGCACCACAAAACCAACATCAGCCGTTAGCTGTTAGCACTCAGAGCTCACAGCTCCTCATATCTGTTCAGAAACTAGACAGAAGTTAAACAAGTACAAACCACAGACTGTCTGTGTCATGGAGAATACAGTCGCTGGTTTATTTATGTCTGTAGGCCGTTGTTGTGAGTGTGGACGGTCGGAGCATACACAACGTTAGCTTAGCCAATCTCCATTCAGAAAACACGCATTTTAAAAGGTTTTTCGCCTGCCGTCTGTCTGCAGACTTGTCAAAGCATTAATTCATGGTTTTTACTAACCGGTATCAGTATGTTGTTACTTCGGCATCATTTTGAAACGTGTATTACAATTAAATCACGGTCAAATATGTTCATCTTGTTGTATTTGTAGCCCCCTTGCCGTCACTAGTTTAGCATACTCAGCCCGGTTGTTGGCCCAGAAAGAACCTCGATTTTGGAGGGCCAGAAAAACTGTGAAAAAGTACCCGCTAGCCGGAACTACGCCTAGTGGAAACGCAACAAAAAACGGGCCGGGTTTGGCACGGCACGCTTAAACCATGCTACGCGCTGCAGTGGAAATTCGCCATAAGTGTGATACGTGTTATAATAACAAATGTTTACAGTATTTACGTGTCTTGTGCTGAATTATTAGAGCCTTAATGAAGAGACACATTAGTTTGAAGGTCAAGAATCATAATAGAAATAACTTTATGCATGTGCAGAAATGTGCATTAATAAAGCATCTTGTCTGTCTGTTTGTTTGTTTGTTTGTTTGTTTGATTAAGGACAATGACTCCCAGCATTAAAAGCACAAACCATAATGGGAACAGAGATCCTCTCAGAGGAGGAAGAGCAACACAACGATGAGAAGAAGACGGTTCTTAAAGTTCTAGAGGCTGAAGCAGCTGATCCTGAACACACACATATGAACATAATGCTGGGAGATCTAAAGTCATTTACTAGAAAAAAAGAATATTTTATGAGATATGTGTTCAATTCAAGAAAAAGTTGATATTATTATTGCTATTACAAAGGTATAAAAAGCTACTTCTTATCAATAAAAAGTAATAATTGAAACTGGGATATTCTCTAAGATGAAATGTGTTACATTTGAGAGAAAAATTATCAGACATATATATATTAAAGGTGGGGTAGGTAAGTTTGAGAAACCGGCTCGAGATACACTTTTTGTTATATTCCATGGAATGCTCTTAACATCCCGATAGCAATGAATATCTGAAGTGCTTTGACAAAAAATCCATAAAAAATGTCATCTGTGGAAGCCGTAATACTGTAAAAAGCACGACCAATCATTTGAGCCGGCCCGGCTAAAATAACTGGATGGCCTACCTGCCTGTCAGCCTTCCATCTGTGCACAAACTTATCTCGTGCCCTCATTGGTCATGTGCGCGTTCGTGTGTGTTGGAGGAGGGGCTCTGTAAGGAAGTGGCAGATTTCTTCCAGCTGTGTATTTTCAAATTCTAGCGATCTCGAGCTGGTTTCTCCAAAAATAAAAGTATTACAAAGGTAGAAAAAGCTACTACTAAATTAAATAATAGCAAGTAAAATTATTTGAGAGAAAAAAATTAAATAAAAATGTTTTTCTCAGAGATTTTAGTAAAAGAAAAATATGAGAACATTTAGAAAATATATAAATGTATATACATGTATATTAGTATAACAAAGTTACATAAAACTAATAAAATCCCCAAAATGATAGCATGTTAAATTGTTAATTAAGATTACAGACTGAACTGCAGTATGTAAAGCGCTTTGAGGGGTCGGAGAGACTGGATAGAGCTCTATATAAGTATAGTCCATTTACCATTATATTTATGCAGTATAATGCACTGTGAAAATACATTAACATAAAAACTAATACGGTCCATATGTGTGTGTCCATGAACAACATCGCCATAAATACTACAGGACTAACTTTGAGTGCAGCGGGATCAGCACTTTCTCCTGAGAGAGGTGAAGGGTAAGGATGGAGAATGAAGTGAAATCACAGACAGAAAAACAAAAAGGAGGTGAACGAGGGGTCAGAGGTCACTTCAGATCTGAAACAGGAAGAGGAAGGTCTACCTCCGGACGTCTTCATCACTCTCCTCTGCCCCTGACCAACTGTCAAAGTCACGTCATTGAGTTAGAGCGACATCTAATGAGTGTGTACCAAAAAAGTCCTAGAAAGACATGGTAAACTTAACTAATGTAAATTAAAAAAAAACAAAAAAGAGGAATGAAAACTAAAAAAGGTACCATGGGGTCAGATTAGAACTTTCCAAAGGGGGGTTCGTTTAGCATGAAACACTTGAAATAACTAAAGGATAAGTTAACAAAGAAAGTAGAAAGAAAGTGAGGTCATAGAAAACTATTTCTGCTAAAAAGTTAGCAATGATTGAGAGTCAGAGCTAAACATTTCAGATGTGTGTATCTCACACGGCACTGTGACTTTCATTCATGTATCTTTGCTTTTAAATTAGTGTTTTTAAATGCCTTTTTATAATATGTTTCTTAACCCTCCTATTGTCTTTGTTCCCCCCCCCCCTTACTTTGGTGTTCACAGTCAAATTTGACCGGTCCTGTTTTAACTGCTATTACATTAACACAAAAACCATTAATCATCACCAAATGTCATTTAACACCCTTTCAAACTGTAGATATTGTATCAGACTACTGGTATACATGAAGAACTGCAGTAAATATACAAAGAATAGACACTGAACATGTACTGCGTGTGCCAGGTGTGATCCATGTGGGGGGATGGGCACATAAGAGCGGGAAATGTGTCAAATTGCTCTGTGTGTGTGTGTGTGTGTGTGTGTGTGTGTGTGTGTTTGTGTGTGTGTGTGTATGTGTGGCCTAGCATTACTATACTTGTGGGGACCTAAATCTGTTTACACAGTCACGTGTGGGGACTCACCTCCCTTATGGGGACAAAATGGAGGTCCCCATAAGGGGAATTTTAGGGTGAAGACTTGGTTAGGTTTAGGGTAAGGGTTAGGCATGTGTTGGTTATGGTTAAGGTTAGGATAAGTCTCCAGGAAATGCATGTAAGTCAATGTAATGTCCCCTGAAGTGATGTATACATGGTATGTGTGTGTGTGTGTGTGTGTGTGTGTGTGTGTGTGTGTGTGTGTGTGTGTGTGTGTGTGTGTGTGTTTTATCTGATCTGGATGGTTACTAATTCCTTTTCTTCATGGCGGTCATGTTTGACCTTGAACACCATGGGTGTTACAAAGTTGACTAAATCATCCAAAACTCAATGAAAGTGGTGATCAGCCATTTGATATGTTCAAATGTCTACTGTGAAGGATATCATAAAGCCTTAATGCAATCGAATATAAAACAAATAAGTTATGATTGATGAAAGTAGTAAATCGGTCAGATTTGACCCGAAGACAACAGGAGGGTTTATGCTCTTAATGTCTTTCATTTTTGTAAAGCACTTTGAATTGCCTTGTGTTGAAAGGTGCTATATAAAGACAATACTTTTCCTGAGCCTTCAGTAAGGATACGGTGACTTTATGAAGCTTTTATGTAGAAAACCAAGCGAAACCTGAGCTTCCTGCAACAATTAAGTTACTTTCTGGGTTTTCATTTTGAAATTAACTTCCTGTTACATTACACTACATGTCATTTTGTTAGACGCTTTTATCCAAAGCGACTTACATACTCAATACTGTGGGCAATCCCCACAGGAGCAATTTGGGGTGAAGTGTCTCAAGGACACAACGACATGCTGACTGCAGTGGGGTTTGAACCTGTTGAACCCCCTGATCCGAACACCAACGCACAACCCACTGTGCCACACGCCTCCTGTTAGTGTACAATAACTCTATGAGGCTTTTATGTTTGAAAAGGTGAGCTGTTCGGTGTCCTTATGGGAGGTTATTCCCTTTTATTAAAAAGGGGGTGTTAAAATATGCCTACTCTCTCCAATCTCAGTTTGGTCTCCAAATAAACTTGCCTTGCCCAAAATATCATATCTACCTTAAATAATAAAACAGCTTGTATAGCAGGAAAGTTAACTTTAATATCCTATGATTTTAAGAATAGAACATATTTTTTATACGTGTGAAACTTTGGGAATAAAGTCAAAAGTTTGTCAAAATAGAAAAATCTAATTATAAAAAATATGCCATTTAAAAAAAAGAAATCACATCATTGAGTTAGAGCGAGATCTAATGAGTGTGTACTTGTGTTTATACGTGGAAATATGGCAATATAAAAGACAGAGGAGACAGCTGAGAGGAACAAACAAACAAGAGAGAGGACAGAGGGAGGGAAGGAGAACGTGGCGGACGTGTTTTCCCACCAGATAATGAAGACATGATGTTGACGGCCAAATGTTAAACGGATTGACCCTCCCACCCCGAGGAGAAGAAGAGGAGTGGAAGTGATGCGGTCACTGTCTGTCAGCCATTACTGGGTTTGTGGCTTCTTCTGAAATGTCTCATATTCTCTGACTGTGAGGGTGTGTGTGATAATTAAAGGGTTATTCAGTAGGTCTTCACAGAACGAGGCCAAGGCAGGTTTTTTAAGATCCAACCTGTAGGTTTTAGTGGAAATATTTTAATAAAAGTGACCAGAAAATGACTATCCCAGCCTTTAAGCGCAAAGGTGATTTGCAGGTGAAAAGAGGCCTAGACGCTCAGGTAAAAACTGGACTTAATTTGTGATTTTCAGATATTTTAACAATTTTTTAAACGTGTAATTAACCTCTTAAGCCCTGAGCCTGTTTTTCAGGTCTCAGGCTCGAAAATGCCATTCCCAGAACAAATGACCATATCTTCCCTTCTAAAAGAGTTAAATTAATAATCTTTATTCTCAAAGTAATGATAAACCTGTGAGTTGGATGTAGAAAAGTCAGATTCAATATAGATGTTTTTTATTTGAAAGAAAATTCAGATTTTACATAGTAAAAAACTGTAAATTATAGTGTCCGTCCAAAAATTATTTTTTACTTATAGTGAAAACTACCCTTGGATGATGGGTTAGTAGACTAAAAGCTTTAGGAATCCAAAGTACAACATATAATAAGTACCCTGTATCAAGATTGATGCAAAACAAGTGAAATTTGACCTTTTTAGAGAGATTTAGCCAAAAACCCCACTTCTGGGGTAATTTGGGTGGATTTGACCTATCTCTGGCCCCCCTTGCTCGATTTTGATGAATGAAATCTCTTTATAACCGCTAGAGCCAATGGAATCGAGGGAAAGTTATATACACACCAAAACGTTAACAAATAAGGAGTGAGAGTGACGCGTTACCAAAACCGGAAGCTGCATACACTCTGGTGGCTACCATTAGCAGCTAACTTTTCGATTTTTACATAAAAAATTGAATTATGGATTATAAATAATTTCTTCAAAGGCACAGGTACATTATCAACCTATGGATCAACAGTTGTAGATTTTTTTTTTCGTTTTAATGCCATTGAACGCGTCTTTTGACCTAATTGACAGCTACGGTGAGACGATCTGCCGTAAATGCTCCGTAAAGGTACGTGTTGTGATGTCTGTGTTTGCTTCCCCTGTCGCAAGTTCGGATCGCTCAGTGATGATACTATACCTAAATAATCAGTGGAGTCTCAGCTTTAATCGGCTATATTGTATGTGCAGCTACGATAAGTAATAAGGGTATCTTTATCTTGAATTGTGTGCCGCAGTGCGTTAGAATTTTTTCGCTCAGGGGTCATTTAGACGCTTCTTATGAGACTTGTGTTTTGTTTTGGTAAAAATGGTTCACATCTTCAGTTAGCTGAGATTCTTCCCGTTAATCTGGTGCTACACATTAATAGTTTCATAAATGTTAAGAAGCCCTGAGACATTATCTCGAGAAAAAAACCGGTGGGAGGGGTCCAATGGGGGGACCGCCGTGCTTAAGAGGTTAATGATGTGTGTTGTATATTTTAAAGGACACCTATCATGCTATATTTAAATGATATATTGTAGGGCCATACCTATATAAGGTATATTTATACGTTTCTGTTTTCAAAATAACAAACAGATCATGCATTTTAGCCATGCCTCATTTCGCTCTATGTGCTGTTTGCTGTCTACGGGGCTGATTCTGTGAGCTGCAGCTGACCACGCCCCCCTGCAGGAGAGGTGAGACGTGCTCTGATCAGCTGCTGGGCTGTCAGAAGAGGGGGAGAAAAAGAGATCTCCGTCCTCCGTGTTTAATTATATAGAGTCGTTATTCATTTGTTTTAAAGCTCAATAAATAACAAAGAAGACCTTTGACCGGCACTTTTCTAATTTTGTCCGGAAGATTTCAACTTTAACGGACATCTTGACCGGCGAAAGAAACTGAAACTCTGCCGCGCGGTCCCCTCGTTCCTTGGAAGAGGCGGAGAGGTGGGTGTTTGTCATCTGCTGGTGGACTAACCGGAGAGAATTACAGTGCTTGCCTCGACGGGGAGGGATTGCATTGAATTAAAGCAGCGGGAGCAAACGCTTGCCTCGGGGAGGGTAAAAAAGCCACAGCGGAGAATAAACAGAAGGGTAACCATGGTAACTATGGGCGGGAAGTCTTCTTCGCTGCTTTTGTGGCAGACTACCGCGCCACTTACAGGCCTGGCATATGTACTACAGCGTCTCCAGCGCTTTCGAGCGGCAATAGCCGGCCGTGGCCCAACCCCACATTCCCCTGATAGGTGGAGAGTTGGCCCAATAGCCGTAGCGCCACTTCTGTGACGTCAGTGAAGTGTTCAAATCTGGATCAGTTTTTATCAGATCCGTTGCAGCCCCTTTTTTAGAGATTTGGGTATGGAGGAAAATAGAGAGGGTTGTGTTTTCTGACACTTGGTGAGTTCACTGGAACACCGGGGACACATATTCATGTATAAAAGACGTACAAAAGTGCATTTTGCATGATAGGTCCCCTTTAAATAGGTTGTGTTTTTAAATGCTTTTATGAATTTTATCCTGTATGTAAAGCGACTTTGAGTAGCTCGAAAAGCGCTCTATGAAGAAAATGTATTATTACTAATTAATTATATTATTTAAATTATTATTTTCATTTTTTTAATTATAATGATTTTTTAAATGATTTTATATAAAAATATATAAATGAAATGGATAATAACTACTATATATATATTTTTTTTATTATTATATATATATTTTGTTACTGTCAATTATTTTTTCTGTAAATCAATTTACCAATTCGTCAACTAATTAGTTTTCCTAAAGTGTTCCTCAGGTTCATGGATGCGGGAAGGGGGGGTGCTGAGGGGGCTGCAGCACCCCCATCTGCGAGGCTCCACTAGCACCCGCAAAACGCGGTGCACCTACAGTGTAAGCGCGCCACAGTTTCCACTAGCACCAGGCTCCACTAGCCCCTCCCCCCCAGCGCGTCAGTTTCTCCGCTGCGAGGCTCCACTAGCACCCCCCACGCCGCACCCCCAACTCTGACTGACTTCCCGCGTCCCTGATCAGGTTTGCAGCTACTAAATTATTATGACATTTTCTCAGATCTTTTGTCGGGGGTATTTTTGACTATTAAAATGTCTTTAAGTGACTATAAAACCCTCAACCTTCATCTGCTTTAGGATTGTCATACTGCTTGCAATTAAGTTGATTTAAGCTTCTTACACGTTCACCGTAAACTGGACGAATGGAGGGAGATTAAATATGAGTGTTTACAGACAGAGTGAGGGATTGTGTTTCGGGAAGAAGGGACCGGAGAGAAAGTACCTGGTGTTTCCCTCGTGAGCCATCTCATTATCAGACTGCCTGATATGGCAAGAGAGCAGGAGGTGAAGAGAAAGAAACACACACACACACACACACACACACACACACACACACACACACACACACACACACACACACACACACACACACACACACACACACACACACACACACACACACACACACACACACACACACACACACACACACACACACACACACACACCATACAATACACACACACACCCAGACAAAGGTTAGTGTGCAGCCCTTGAGGCGACAGATTCTCCTTTATCTTGCATTTACTTCAAAATATGTTATATAAGATGTGCTTGGATGTGTGTTGCATGTACTAAAGTGGATCCTTGTATACACTCAAATAGGAAATAAATATAAATAAAATGCATGTTGTTATGCTGCATCATGCACGGTACTCTACATATATAGACCTGTAGATATATAGGTAGACATTTGAAAGAAAGAAGAAGAAGTAATGGCATCAAAGAAACAAGAAAGATATAGAAGTATCACTGGAAACACAAACACAGCTTGACGAGCGCTGAATAGGAAAATAAATGCATTTTTTATACATTTTAGGAGGTAAAAACTTAGTCGACTTGGCCACATTATAAGGTATATTAACTGTGATTTAAATCGAAATGGCTACATATGTCAGTTTACAACATGTTTGAGTCGCTGTGAATTGAAATGGTAAAAGTCATAGTACTCTTTTTAAGAAAGCATAAAAATATAACTGGATAAAAGACACTGAAATATAAAAAATACATGTTCTTTATTTCTATAATCCCCTTCTTCAATCCCTAAAAGTTAACAAACTCTTGCATAAGACATGAGATTCTTCCACTGCTCCTTTCTCCCCATGACACAGACCCCACAAGGCATCTTAGAAATACAAAATGATCTTTGTTTGCTTGTAAGAAAATCTACTTCATAATATGTTTTATAATGATCTTACTTGCTCCAGTAGACCCTCCCATCGATGGTCTGCATCTCCCCGAGCATGGCCAGCAGCAGAGAGGATTTCCCACAACCCACCTGGCCTACAATCATGGTCAGCTGACCTGAAGAGGCAGGGAAAAAGTGGTGGAGAAAGTTAGTGTTGGAATTTTCCTACGATATTACAGTGTAGTATATATTGAAAAACGTATGTAAATCCCACCTGTGGGGATGCAGATGTTGATGTCTGACAGCGTGGACAGGTTGCTTCCCCAGGTGAAGGATCCATTGCTCACCTGAAGAAAAACAATGCAAAACGAACAGAACAGTATTTATTCCACCGTAGATATTGCATGTCATTATTTATTTTAATGTCATAATATATGTTGCATTGCTTGAGTAGCCTAGGCCTGGTTTCCATGTTGCATATGACAATAAAGCTTTTGAATTGAACCGATGCTTCAATTTGGATTCCTTCAAAAGATTTGAAAGGATATTGTGTGATGAAGTATGTGTCTGTGCAGTGGATGTCTCTGTTATTGAGCAACACAGAGCTACGTGCTGTTTTCTTGTTATGTGCAGACCCCCATGACCCATTTCATGTCCTGACCCGGGGTTTAAAAAAAACCTCTCGTTCAAGTTCACTGGTGTGAAAGCTGCTCTGTTACACAATGACGGACACATGCTGAGTTCATGGTATGTGGGACTGAAGACAGACGTCATCATGTGACGCATTTCTCAGGTTCTGGAGAGTTCATCTCAACGTACACGGACAAATAAAACAACCTGACCCAAGAGGAGCAGGTGCTTTAGTGGGGAAAGACTGAGAACTCACACAAAACGCAGAAATACTAACGTTACATGTTCAATATTTGTCACAAGATGATACCATACCAAGACCTATAATTAAGGAGGACATATTCTGCTCATTCTCAGGTGTATATGAGTATGTAGTGTCTCTACTTTAAAGAGTCCTCTCCTGCTGATGTTCAGGTGTATATCAGTATGTAGTGTCTCTACTTTAAAGAGTCCTCTCCTGCTGATGTTCAGGTGTATATCAGTATGTAGTGTCTCTACTTTAAAGAGTCCTCTCCTGCTGATGTTCAGGTGTATATCAGTATGTAGTGTCTCTACTTTAAAGAGTCCTCTCCTGCTGATGTTCAGGTGTATATCAGTATGTAGTGTCTCTACTTTAAAGAGTCCTCTCCTGCTGATGTTCAGGTGTATATGAGTATGTAGTGTCTCAACTTTAAAGAGTCCTCTCCTGCTGATGTTCAGGTGTATATCAGTATTTAGTGTCTCTACTTTAAAGAGTCCTCTCCTGCTGATGTTCAGGTGTATATCAGTATGTAGTGTCTCTACTTTAAAGAGTCCTCTCCTGCTGATGTTCAGGTGTATATCAGTATTTAGTGTCTCTACTTTAAAGAGTCCTCTCCTGCTGATGTTCAGGTGTATATCAGTATGTAGTGTCTCTATTTTAAAGAGTCCTCTCTCTACATGGCCTATAAAACCATGTACTTAAAAACACATTATCTACAACAAGTTTGGGACAAAGTGTTTGATTTCTGCACAAAATCAACATAAAGAAAAGTCAACATAAGGAAGGAATGCATCTAATGATCTTGTTTGCCGGCCAACAGGAGGTAAACAAATCTAAATATTTAATAATAAACATTAATCAGATATTTGTTCCAACATTCTCTCATGCACTTTTAAGTAGATATTGAGTCTCCAACATGGAAAATAACTGTGGGTTCTCGTGTGGTTAGAAAGAGAAAATGGAGATCTTTATCCAATGGAGGCAAATAGAAGTTGTTGTTGTTGTTCTATTTATTTACAATATGGATGCAAAGTAAAGCTTCAGTCTCTATGCAACATGCTGTATATTATCCACCATCTTTATGAGTGTTTCACAGCGTTAACTCTCCGGGCCAGAACATGGCCTTCATATCTGATCTCTGTTCAGTGCCCTATCACCCTGCTTCCTGCTGTTTACATTCCTCCCAGCTGTTGCATTTATTTGTTTATTTTATGTTTATTTTATCTGACAACCCCCCCCACCCAAAAAAAAAGCTTTCCTTAAATATCCCCTCGTGACACAGATCCCAAAAGGCATCTTAGAGATACAAAATGATCTTTGTTTCCTTGTACGAAAATCTAAAAAAGGCACTACTTTCTTATAAGAGACCTGTAGTATTTTGGGTCCTGTTGTAGTTTTGACTATTTATTTTAATATTCCAGAATATTTTTGATTGTTTTGTCTATATTTAATATAATATTCTTAATTATTTCATTTTATTTGTAATTGTTAATTCTCTTTTCCACTTTTTAAAGTATTTTAGGTATTGTATTTCAATGTCTGAACACACTTCTGCTTCTGTGACGAAAGAATTTCCCAAATTGGGATCAATAAAGCATCTCTCTATATATGTCTGTCTGTCTGTCTGTCTGTCTGTCTGTATCTATCTATCTGTCTGTCTGTCTGTCTGTCTGTCTGTCTGTCTGTCTGTCTGTCTGTCTGTCTGTCTGTCTGTCTGTCTGTCTGTCTGTCTGTCTGTCTGTCTGTCTGTATCTATCTATCTGTCTGTGGGGTCACTGCCGTATGATCACAGAACAATTATCTAAAATAAAATCTAAGTATCTGAAAGAAATGGTTCCTTCACAAAGTACACACAAACCCATTTAGTGTCTTTAAAGTTGCATTGATTTTTGCAAAAACATGAAATCAGGAAATTATGAATATGGGATCAAATTAGCCACTTGGTCCCAAAGCAGCTAATGTTGTGACTCATCAGCTGATAAGTCAATTTCCTGTAGCTCTAAAACCTGATTGGTTGAGAAGACAACACACAAATAGATGGTGAGAGACACTTTGAACCCTGAAATGACCCTGAATATTGAGAAAACTCTGTGCATAATGACATTTTTCTTTTTTTTTAACCTTTATTTAACCAGATAAAAAAGCATTGAGATAAAATCTCATTTACAATGCTGACCTGGCCAAGAAGGCAGCAACGTTACACATAACACAGACATATAAAATACAGAGAACATAACTAAGAAAAAAGCAGTCCCTACATTGTGCACATTAGGACAGTAAGAAAGGTACACTACTTATTACTGCAAGAGCAGCTGGTGGTGAGGACTTCAGACAACTTCAATTTAAAAGAGGCTATTGAGACAAGTGCCCTCAGCTTGAGGCGTGATTGAAGGTCATTCCAAGACCAATGACTATAATAAAAAAGACTCCTTTTTCCAGCCTCAGTCCGCACGGCAGGAACCTGGACCCGTATCCAGGCACTGGGTCTGAGGTTGTAAGAGTCACAAACTGGGGCAAATCTGACACATATGTAGAGTGGAAGCTTTCCTAAAATGGCTTTATACATTAATAAAAACCAGTGCTGCATCCTACGCATAGTAAGTGAGGACCATCCAGTTAGGCTATACAGTGTGCAATGATGAGTCCTATAGGGTGCATTTGATATATATCGCAGTGCAGCATGGTAAAGTGGGTCAAGTTTGGCCAAAACAGTGGGACAGGCAAATCTATAGATGGTATCACCGTAGTCCAGCTGGGACAGGAATAAGCTAAATCAGAAACAGGGGAGTTCATCTCTTGACTATGGCTGTGCGTACGACCAGAGAGTCATGACTTTGATCATCAAAAATGTGACCAGCCTTTTTGAAGTGAGCATTGAAAGCATTAGACATACCATCTGAATCTGAAATAAAAGAATCACTGACCTTCAGTTTTTGTGGGAAACTAGAAACCTTCTTGTTCTGAAGTGATTTAATTGTTTTCCAGAATTTAGAATGGTCATTAAAACTATCAGTGGTTAAGCTCAGATCGTAATCAGCTTGAGCTTTTTTAATAAGGGCAGAACATTTATTTCTGAGGACACGGAAAAGAAGCCAGTCATCAGTAGTGTTAGACTTTCTAGCTAAGGACCATTGCTTATTCCGATCATGAATGAGATCAGATAGTTCTCTAGTAAACCATGGAGTGTTCCTATTCTTAACTCTGAATTTTCTAAGGGGGGCATGTCTATTAATAATCGATAAAAAGTGATCAATAACAAATTGGACTGCAACATCGACAGATGGAATTAACGCTATGAAGTGCCATTTAACCTCCGCCAGATCGTGTAGGAAAGCCTGCTCAGAGAAATGTGTTTGAAGCAGCGCCTGAGCACAATAAGGCCCTTGGCTTTGGGCAACTTAGTGCTCCGAACGCACATGTGTCAAACTCAAGGCCCGGGGGCCAAATCAGGCCCTTGGTGGATTTAATTTCGGCCCGCAGGATAATTTCTAATTACTATTAGATCTGGCCCGCCGGTATATTGCACGCACACCTTCACTCCATCCTGAGGGTTTCCTCAGCTCAGAGCCTGAGCCCAAACATTGATGACCTTGCACCCAAGATGAGATGCCAAGTATCTGGCTCTGATCTAGCATCACAGAGCAGCACACTGACACACTTTACATGGATGTTTCCTTCTGCACTTTTTCTCTCACGACAACAGGGCATGTTTGTTTTTCTCTTTGAGGGAAATAGTTTTGTTGAAGCTGTTGTTGGCCTGTGGAGAAATGTGATCATAAGAAATGACTCTGGAAAAGCTGCAGATAGAGCCATAAGAAATGAATGCAACTGATTATTTAATGTTTAATGTTGTTTTTATTGGCAATAATTTAAGCTTAGTTAGTTCCAGGTTTAATATGTGCAATAAGTTCATTTCAATAAGTTCTGCAATAAACATTGAACCAGTCCGGCCCTCGACTAGTACCCATTTTTTAATGTTGGCCCACTGTGTATTTGAGTTTGACAGACACATACTTATGAGCTGCACATAATCTGGTTGCATGAGTGTTTTTATTTGCATAGAGCCAGTAGGAGAACATCTTGGGTCCCACAGAAGGACACACTCAATGCTACAGAACATTGTACTGTAGATAGATAGGATATTGCATAAAGAATAGAATAGAATATATCTGTATTGTCATCATACAAAGTACAACGATATTTCCTAGGTAACTCTCACTGCATATAAGCATTAGCATTTCAAGAGCTTGCAATTGTGTGTCTTTGCTTATATTTTTTTAAGGCAATACCCCCGTGGACAAAGCTATTTTGAGAGAGAACACATTTGTTTGTGAGTTTGTGGCCCTGACTACAAACCCAAACATCACATTTTGAGATCAAATCAAACAATCGTACTACATTGTTTAAAAGAAACGTTAAAGAAAGTGGATAACGCAACATATTGATGGCAATAAATACAACATATACTGTATATATATATATCATATATGGGTGTAATGCGTGGGTAGTGACACACTTAGCCTATGTAATGTTTAATAGATGATGAATCAAATCCTCACAACCAAGACTGATGGTATGGAAAACCCTTCTCTTCCTCTCGTTGTAATTAAGTGACCGACGTCTTTGCAGAGAAGAGACAGGAAGTGCAGCGCTGAGAAAAAGTCGGACTCATTCACAAGGCCCTTTGAGGGGTTAGCTAATTCTCGTGTGAATCCTACACTTCCTGTTAAGACAGAGTACACACACACACGTATGATTCCACGCACCCAGAAGTGACCCATGGATGTACAAACACACGAGATATGAAACAGCTGTTGACGTTGTTAAATAAATGGTGGCATTAGAGAGCAGCTCCTACGTGTCTCTGTATGTGTGAGAGATAACCCTTGCTCGGGATAGGCCCCATCTTTTTATTAAATGTAAACAATTTTTGTAATCAGATGCAATTTTCTACCTATCATATGTATGCTGATGACACTATTGTATACTCATGTGCTCCTTCTCTGGATATGGCCGTTTCCAATTTAAAATCTGATGTTATCACGCTGCAGCAGCATGCACTTCTTGATTCCAAACTGCTATTGAACAGTAAGAAAACCAAAGCAATGCTCTTTGCTCCCAAGTCAGCGTCCTCTTGCCTCTCCATTGACACCCTTGATGGTGTCTCTGTTGAGTTTGTCGATACATACAAATATCTGGGCTTTTGGTTGGACAGTAATCTGAACTTTAAACACCATATTGAAGTTCTAACAAAGAAATTGAAATTCACTCTTGGCTTCCTTTTCAGACTTAAATGTTGTTTTTCAACTTCTTCCCGTAAAAGGTTGGTCTCTGGATTATTCCTGTCCCAGCTGGACTACGGTGATACCATTTATAGATTTGCCTGTCCCACTGTTTTGGCCAAACTTGACCCACTCTACCATGCTGCACTGCATTATATATCAAATGCACCCTATAGGACTCATCATTGCAAACTATAGCCTAACTGGATGGTCCTCACTTAGTATGCGTAGGATGCAGCACTGGTTTTTATTAATGTATAAAGCCATTTTAGGCAAGCTTCCACTGTATATATGTCCCCAGGTTCCTGCCGTACGGACTGAGGCTGGAAAAAGGAGTCTTTTTTATTATGGTCCTTGGTCTTGGAATGACCTTCAATCAAGCCTCAAGCTGAGGGCACTTGTCTCAATAGCCTCTTTTAGATTGAAGTTGTCTGAAGTCCTCACCACCAGCTGCTTACTGTCCTAATGTGCACAATGTAGGGACTGCTTGTTCTCTGTATTTTATATGTCTGTGTTATGTGTAACGTTGCTGCCTTCTTGGCCAGGTCAGCATTGAAAATGAGATGTTATCTCAATGCTTTTATCTGGTTAAATAAAGGTTAAATAAATAAAAAAATAACGACCCTCGACCATAAAATGAAACGCATAAATACAGAAATATCTGCAAAAATAGTGTCAGTTTAAACCCAACTAACAATTTTAAAGACTTTTATTTATACATTTATAACTAAATCTTGTTTAAAACACACCTGAAAGTGTTAATATGTTTCTTTAAGAGCTATAGCAGGTATACACGATTTAGCTTGTGTATCGGTAATTGCCTTTTAATTATGACTTACAGTAGTTGCATCAAAAGGTTAATATCTTTCTCATAAAGTGTGTTTTTTTATGATATGATCCACTGTCTAGAAGTGCCAATTTGTCAAGAAAAGATCTGGCATTATTATAAAACTACTAGGAACATAATTGAAGCAAATCATGTACAAAAAAATCTAATAATATGTTTAAAAATCTGTGAAAATGTGGTTTTAAAATGCCACTTTGAAACCAACCACTATTCATTTGTACATGGCTTTTTAATGTCTGTTTTCTAAGTGTCATTTTATGATGTATTTCTGTTGTTTTTTGGAAAGAACTTTTGCTTTTTTTAACCAAAGCGACTTACATACTCAATACTGTGGGCAATCCCCACAGGAGCACTTTGGGGTGAAGTGTCTCAGGGACACAATGACATGACCCCAGACCAAGGCTCTATCCACTGCGCCACACGTGTTTGTTAGTTAGTATTGTCTTCTTACATGACAACGTTTGGGTGTGTTGGAAATAAAAAAACTTTAAACCAACGACGAGGCCTACTTATGTTATTGTATCTTTCCTCCTCTTAACTGCCCTCTCTTCTATCCCCTCTGTATATAAAGCTGTCTTTCCCCCTGAGGTCTCCTTAAACTTTATCAGTATGTGGGGTCGTAAAAGTGCCAGCAGTCGTATGGAGAGTTGAGTTCATCTCTAGTTCCTCTAATCACAGTCTCAGAGGGTCTGACATCAAGTTTTCTACTCCTACTTTATTAAAAACCTGGTTCTACTTCTTACAAAAATGACTAACAGCGGCGAAGAAAACGATTACAATAAGATGGCTTAAAAAAAGATCCCCCCACCTATGCTGACAAGGAACTAGTTGATGCTCTGTATGTGATGACTACTTCCATTCTTGAGAGGATCATAAATACATGGATCCTGATATTGAAGCTCAAGCCGGGGACCAGTGATTATTAACATTTTTAAGTATTCAGAAAAAGTCAGAATTTTGAGAAAGTCAGAATTTTGAGATTTTGAGGAAAAAGTCCGAATATCTTTGAAAAAGTCAGAATTTTGAGAAAATTTCAGAATTTTGAGATTTTGAGGAAAAAAATCTGAATTTTGAGATATTGTGAAAAAGTCAGTATTTTGTACATGACAGGATGTATGATTACCTAGAAGAACCAAGCCTCCAGGAAGTGTGCCGGACTCTGAGGAAAATATTCGTTGTGTCCAAACGGCGGTACTACAATTTCCGTATCAGTCCGTGACGTCACTGGGCCCAGACAGACTTTTCCCCATTGACTAACATTGGGAAAGAAACGTCTGTAAATCAGCGGAATTTTTTTTTAAACTAAATAAACTACCCAGTATTAACTATCTTATAGCCCTTATTAGAATCATTCGGTCCTTAAAGTTGTAAAATGCACTAAAAGCCGAATCTAGATTTATTTTCTGTCTCCATTCATTCTACTGAGCCGAGAGTGGGATCTCGGGGGGCGGGGCTTAAGGGGCGCTGTGAGCGCACATACGGGTACTTCTGCTCCGACAGCTAGGTATGATGGGTAATCTGTGACGTTTCGCTCTCTCAAAAGTTGGGCCATTTTGTCTTCATGCGCCAATGAGCAGCTCTCATAGGAAAGAACGAGACCCCGCCTCCCACGCTGTATCCAGTTCTTATTATACATCCATGAGAACAACCGGTATTCCTCCATCATGTGAAGGACACTGTTCAGGAACTAGTTGTACCAAATGCTCTGTATGTGAAGACTACTTCCATTCTTGAGAGGGTAATAAATACATGGATCCTGAGATTGAAGCTCAAGCCGGTGACAAGTGAGATTTTTCTAACAGTATATATGGCAGTTTTTTCCCTGTAATCTTTCTCTATCCTTACCCCCCTTTAACCATTCCCCTAAACGTGACCTTTGACCCTGACCTTGACCGCCACATCCTCCGTCTCCGTGGGTCTCATCTGTCGCCTGGTCGGCAGCTCGTAGTTATCCATCTGGTAGCGTATCGGCTGCTTCCTGTTCATGGCTTTGGTCTTCAGGGGGACATTAAAACACACACACAGAGAGAGAGAGAGAGAGATTTGAAGTTAGCAATAAATATTAAACTGAAGACTTTCCTGCATCCGCTTCAGTTCCTCGGGGAGAGGAAGTGGAGCGGGGGTTCCCTCTGAGACGGAGGATTTTAACCCCGAAGGTTCAAATCCCACTGCTCACACGTTATCCAGACACATAGAAAACATCCTGTACACCATGAAGAACCACAAGGTGTTCCAAGAACTCAAGGATTATATAAAGAAGTGAATAACCCTTTTCAGCTGTGTCTATCATCTGCAGATATCAGCTATTAACAAGACTGAATACAAACCACAATGTTCCTGTTGAAATCCTGCATAGATATGAATTAAAACTGGTGTTACCTGTGGAAGATAATTGTGTTAATTAAAACTCGTTAACACTCACCCCGCCTGAGGGTTTCTTTCCTGCTTCCATGGAAACAGACATGTCACCGTTCCTCCAGCTGTCGTCTCCGATTTCGTCACTCTGGAGAAACTCATTGAGCTTCTCGACACTGCCAACACACACACACACACACACACACACACACACACACACACACACACACATATATATTAAACGATAAAACCATCCTAAAGTAAAAAATGATCACGTCAATATGTATATAGAGAAAAAGATGGATCCAGTTGGATGTACACGATCTTACAGGTGCCTTTCGTCTGTTTTATTTACACACACACACACATACCATGTATACATCACTTCAGGGGACCTAACATTGACTTACATGCATTTCGTGGAGACTTATCCTAACCTTAACCATAACCAACACGTGCCTTACCCTAACCAAGTCTTCACCCTAAAATTAATGATTCCCCTTATGGGGACCTCCATTTTGTCCCCATAAGGGAGGCGAGTCCCCATACGTGACTGTGTAAACAGATTTAGGTCCCCACAAGTATAGTAATGCTAGGCCACACACACACACGCACACACACACACACACACACACACACACACACACACACACACACACACACACACACACACACACACACACACACACACACACACACACACACACACACACACACACACACACACACACACACACACACACACACACACACACACACACACATACACACACACACACACACACACACACACACACACACACACACACACTCACCTGACGAGAGCCTTCACAGCGAATCTGACCACAGTGGAGAGCAGGAAGAGAGGAGTGACGAGGATGTGGAACAGCGCCAGAGCAGCGAAGGCCTCGTGAGGAGTGGGGCCTTTTTCATTCAGGAAATGAGACATCACAAACGTCTACGAGACAATAAGTAAAGATCGGTAAGTCTTGTTGGTATTCACGTGTCATATTATAGTTGGAGGAAGCAGAAAGAAGCAGCACAATGGAGAAAAGGGAAGTAATTATTGGGGTGAAAGTGACTTACCGCGAGCACGGCAGCAATGGGGATCGCAGCGTTCATGAAGACTGGAGAGAGAGAGAATTTGAGACAACAGACATCAAGAAAATGTATAATAATATAAAATAACATAATATAATTTGTATAAAAGAAAAGAAAATAATACATATTTATTTATATATTTATTTTTTGATTAGGCTTGTGTTCACTACTTTTATTCCCAAGTACTTTGAGTACATTTTTCTTATCATATCTAAATACTTTTACTTATCAATGCAGTACTTTTACTTGCAATGGAGTATTTTTACCGTATAGTATTAATACTTTTCCCTAATTAAAGCCTAAAAGACTGCCGTTATATTTCCCTGTATACACACAGACTAATACACTTCATCAAAGTCACATTTACTTTATTATTTTTTTACATTTAGTTATAAGTAATTCTAATAGTTTGCGATCAGTTTTGAATTCATATTATGTCTCAAAACATATCTCTTCACCCTGATCACATCACACGTCCTCGGTTTGTATTGTTATATTATCTTGTGTTTTGTGAGCCTTGTACGGCAACCTTGAGATCCTTGAAAGGCGCCTTTATAAATCAAATGTATTATTATGGTGTGTCTTCCTACACGTATATTATCCGTTGTGATTGTGTATTTTCTAACTCTGCAACACCATACACATGTCCTGTCTTTCTCTACCAATCCCCATAGAGACTAAAGGGGTCTATTTTCTGCATTGAGCATCATTTAAACTCAGGTGTTTGTCTCCATCTTACTGGACATGGAGGTGTAGAAGGCGAAGGTCCTGAGGCTGGTGAGCTCCTTCCCTCTGGTTTCCTCCACGCTGTCGCAGAAGATATTCTCCCAGGCGTAAAGCTTCAACAACTTTATACCCTTCAAGATCTCCGAGGTCTTCTTCAGACGATCTGTAGAGTGCTCCTGAAAGCAGAGGAAAATAAAGTCACAAAGGGCTGTGAAATACTGGGTTTACATCATGAAGTCTGCAGGAAATATGATACATGCAGAGGTGGGAAGTAGTGGAGTACAAATACTTCGTTCCTGTACTTAAAGGTAGGGTAGGTAATTTTGAGAAACCAGCTCGAGATCGCTAGAATTTGAAAATACACAGCCGGAGAAAATCTGCCACTTCCTTACAGAGCCCCTCCTCCAACACACACGAACGCACACATGACCAATGAGGGCACGAGATAAGTCTGTGCCCCGATGGAAGGCTGACAGGCAGGTAGGCCATCCAGTTATTTTAGCCGGGCCGGCTCAGATGATTGGTCGTGCTTTTTACAGTACTACGGCTTCCACAGATGACATTTTTTTATGAATATTTTGTCAAAGCCCTTCAGATATTCATTGCTATCGGGATGTTAAGAGCATTCCATGGAATATAACAAAAAGTGTATCTCGAGCCGGTTTCTCAAACTTACCTACCCCCACCTTTAAGTACGACTTTTTACTTTTACTTCTTACATTTTGAACACAAATACCTGTACTTTCTACTTCTTACAAACAGGCTGGTTACTTTAGTTTGAATCTGTGTTTGGTGGCGTGATCATTATTATTTAGAGTCATTGCGTGCAGTGGTTCAGTCTGTAGGGGTTTGGACTTTGGACCGAAGGGTCGCCGGTTCACGTCCCGATCGGACCAAAAAATAAGTGTGGACTGGTACTGGAGAGGAGCCAGTTCACCTCCTGGGCCACTGCCGAAGTGCCCTTGAGCAAGGCACCTAACCCCAAACTGCTCACTGGCGCCGGCTAGACTGGCTGCCTCCGCTCTGACCTCTCAACTGCATGTGCATGTGTGCATATAACTGTGTGTGTGTATTTGTATATGTATGTGCATGATGTAAAAAGTGTGTACTGTATGTACCTGTATGAAAAGGCATGTGTGTGTACGACAGAGTGGAAACTGAATTTCCCACTCGGGGGATTAATAAAGGTCCATCTTCTATTGATTTGAACACGATCCGTGTATCCATCATTTCCTGGTCTTCTCTAAAGAAGAGGGACCAATGAAAACGTTGTCATGTTGCCGTTGTTCAGCATGGAAACATTCATTAGCTAACAATGACATTATTGTTCTATTAATATAAAGGGAGGTCAGGTACTCTTTAAAACAGCTGCTAGTTATGGGTACTTTTTACTGAAGTACATTTCAAAGCCCTCTTTACTTTTACTTGAGGAAAGAAGTTTAGTCAGTACTTCTACTTTCACCAGAGTATCTTTAAACACGAGTATCTGTACTTCTACTTGAGTAAAGGATGTGTGGACTTTTGCCATTTCTGGAAACATTTTTAAATAAACACAGTTATATAAGCCTGCCGCTCACCAGTGTGCTTTTCTGAGTGTCTGCCAGCTTTGTAGCGATGAGGTACTGGACAGGGGCCAGCAGGACGATAACAGACGCTCCGACCAGAGCGCTCCAGCCCAGCAGGTAGTAGAGCAGGATCACTCCCATAATAATCTGCAGAGAGAGGAGGAAACAGGAAGATTGGGAATTAGGGTCATTTCAGGATAAAATAAATGATACGGGGAAATAACTCAGATGTTTCTTAGACTCCTTTTTGAGGTCTCCAAATAAATAAAAAGCAATTAGCAATCTCTAAAATGAAAAGATATTAGATTAACATGTGCATTTTCAGAACTTCTCTCATATCTAAGGGACACATTTCCACACTCTTAAAAATGGTGGGTATCTCTTTTCATCACATCATAGACACATATGCTTGCAAAATGTGATTATTCGACAAAAAAAATATTATTATTTATTTTGTTAACTTGAGAAAACACACAGAGCCATGGGGAAAAAACTCGGAATATTCAAAACAAAAGTCACACATTTAAAAGAAAAAAAGGTTTTTCTCTTAACCCTCCTGTTGTCTTCGGGTCAAATCCCATTTACTACTTTCATCAATCATAACTTTTTTGTTTTACATTCGATTGCATTAAGGCTTTATGATATCCTTCACAGTAGACCTTTGAACATATCAAATGGCTGATCACCACTTTCATTGAGTTTTGGATGATTTAGTCAACTTTGTAACACCCATGGTGTTCAAGGTCAAACATGACCGCCATAAAGAAAAGGAATTAGTAACCATCCGGATCAGAGAAAACACACACACACACACACACACACACACACACACACACACACACACACACACACACACACACACACACACACACACACACACACACACACACACACACACACACACACACACACACACACACACACACACACACACACACACACACACACACACACACACACACACACACACACACACACACACACACACACACACACACACACACACACACACACACACACACACACACACAGAACAATTTGACACATGTCCCGCTCTTATGTGCCCATCCCCCCACATGGATCACACCTGGCACACGCAATACATGTTCAGTGTCTATTCTTTGTATATTTACAGCAGTTGTTCATGTGTACCAGTAGTCTGATACAATATGTACAGTTTGAAAGGGTGTTAAATGAAATTTGGTGATGATTAATGTTTTTGTGTTAATGTAATAGCAGTTAAAACAGGACCGGTCAAATTTGACCGCGAACACCAAAGTAAGGGGGGGGACGAAGACAATAGGAGGGTTAAGGGGGATTTAAGGGGATCTTAGGAGGATATCTTAACCCAAAAAAATGCATTTTATGTTTTTAAATTGTTCATTTATCTTGTTAATATAAAACTTTAACCTCAGGATTATTTTCCCTTCCCCAGCTCCATATTTTATTTGGATGTTTTCCTTACCTACAAAAGGCATTTAAGATAAGATAAGATGAGATAAGATAAGATGAGATGAGATAAGAAGTACTTTATTGATCCCAATTTGGGAAAATGTTGTGTTGCAGCAGCATAAAAGACATGGCATTGTACAATACAAATTAAAAAGACTAGAATTAAACAAGAAAGTAGAAAATATACATGTTGAATTTACAAATTAACGATAACAAAAATCAGGTTTACATTCACACAGCATTAAAGTTGTTAATGCGACATCATTACAGAACATTGAATGCATGGAGGTGCTGTTACCTGCACAGGCATGGCCCAAAGGTTGGGGCAGAGGAAGAAGAACCACATCAGCTGGTTGGTCTCTATAGCAACCAGGTTGTTGATCTGCCCGATCGTCATCTCCCCCATCGACATGTTGGAGGTGGACAGACGCAGGATCTTGTTGTAAATCATCGCCTAGGTATTGAAACACAGACATAGACCTATATCAGTGTACTGATATACACCTGAACATCAGCAGGAGAGGACTCTTTAAAGTAGAGACACTACATACTGATATACACCTGAACATCAGCAGGAGAGGACTCTTTAAAGTAGAGACACTACATACTGATATACACCTGAACATCAGCAGGAGAGGACTCTTTAAAGTAGAGACACTACATACTGATATACACCTGAACATCAGCAGGAGAGGACTCTTTAAAGTAGAGACACTATATACTGATATACACCTGAACATCAGCAGGAGATGACTCTTTAAAGTAGAGACACTACATACTGATATACACCTGAACATCAGCAGGAGAGGACTCTTTAAAGTAGAGACACTACATACTGATATACACCTGAACATCAGCAGGAGAGGACTCTTTAAAGTAGAGACACTACATACTGATATACACCTGAACATCAGCAGGAGAGGACTCTTTAAAGCAGAGACACTACATACTGATATACACCTGAACATCAGCAGGAGAGGACTCTTTAAAGTAGAGACACTACATACTGATATACACCTGAACATCAGCAGGAGAGGACTCTTTAAAGTAGAGACACTACATACTGATATACACCTGAACATCAGCAGGAGAGGACTCTTTAAAGTAGAGACACTACATACTGATATACACCTGAACATCAGCAGGAGAGGACTCTTTAAAGTAGAGACACTACATACTGATATACACCTTAACATCAGCAGGAGAGGACTCTTTAAAGTAGAGACACTACATACTGATATACACCTGAACATCAGCAGGAGAGGACTCTTTAAAGTAGAGACACTACATACTGATATACACCTGAACATCAGCAGGAGAGGACTCTTTAAAGTAGAGACACTACATACTGATATACACCTGAACATCAGCAGGAGAGGACTCTTTAAAGTAGAGACACTACATACTGATATACACCTGAACATCAGCAGGATGTGTCCTCTTTAGTCAGGGTTTTGTTTACTTGAACTTTCCTGACGTTTCTTGTCAGTATTAATCCAAAATGCAGGTTTATTTTCTAGTAAACTTTTCAATATTCTGTCCATTAATCACTGCACCGTTAAGAGAGAGGTAAGAACTTCTAAAATAAATGTCCTTACTCTTTGACACATTCAACAGAAGTGATTAATTAAATGTCTCCATTTCCAAAAACAGGACGATGCAAAATGTCCTCTCTGTTTCATTTCATTCTCTTGAATACTTTTCACAGCAACACCTCAGCATGGGGTAAACAAAGCGTCTCGAGTTAAATACCCACAATGCTTCACTTCACTCACCAGCAGGGCTCCGCGCAGGTTGATGCCGGTCTCTATGGTAACGTAGTATGACGCCTGCAGGAAGGTCCTCTGCAGGATCAACGCCAGGAAGAGAAGAACAGCGAGAACTGAGGGGTTCTGAAGCAGCTCGGTGGACGGTATGAAGTACACGTCCATTTTAGTGTTCTGTAACCACACACACACACACACACACACACACACACACACACACACACACACACACACACACACACACACACACACACACACACACACACACACACACACACACACACACACACACACACACACACACACACACACACACACACACACACACACACACACACACACACACAAACAGGTGATATACTGTCTTTTTTTAAACCTGATCTATAGTGCATTCATTGTTTATACCTCCTTATAGTGTTCATAGTGTTCATACTGTCTGTATTTATATTATACTACGACAAACACTGAATTGTACTTGTTTTGCACTTCTGGTTAGATGCTTAATGCATTTCTGTGCAATGACAATAAAGGTGATTCTAATTTGTATCTAGTAATTTGCAATTATCGATAAGCCACTGAGGGTAAAATAATGAATGGAGCAGGGCATCAGAATCAGAAAACGTTATTTATCCCAGGGGAAATTGGGTTTGTGACATTTGCTAAATTGTTTAATAAAATGTTCTTTATTTGAAACGTTCACATTACTTTTTACATTTCTATAAATATAGTTATTTTATTTAGTTTTAAACCTTTTTATTGATCACTCTAACTTGAACTTCTTATATGTTTATACATTGTTTCCATTCTATTATTTTCCATGCAACAGCTGTCACACAATGACCATTTTTTTGATAGACATCCAGAATAAGAAAATCACAAAATATAGAATCATAATTATAAAAACATAATAAACTCACATTTGCTACACTAATCATCATCGCCTCCAATGCCTGAAGTAAAAGAAGAAGAAAAGAAACATAATGAAAATTAGGAAAACAACAGAAATTCATCAAAAACATTTGAAATCATTTTTCAATCTTTTTGGGTATAGCTGGATTTGTCAAATATTCTATTTGTTGGATTTGCCAGAAGTACTGTAGACATCTATACAATCTGAGGTAATACATCAAGAGAGAAGTATTAGAATGGGAGGGATGAACCCCTCTTTAAAGTTCACACATGACATGGTACATCCTAGTACCAGGAGTCTAGTACTAGGAGCAGTGGGCAGCTATTGGACAGCGCCCGGGGAGCAATGGGAGTGAGGGGGGGAAGGGGGTTGTCCGGTGCCTTGCTCAAGGGCACCACGGCAGGGCAGGAGGCGAACTGGGACCTCTCCAAGCAGCAGTCCACACTCCATATTTAGGTCTGGTCGGGGACTTGAACCGGCGACCCTACGGCTCCCAGTCCAAGCCCCTACTGACTGAGCCACTGCCAAAAGTAGGGACATTTTCTCATAGACTTCTATACAATCTGAGGTAATACATCAAGAGAGAAGTAACATTCGAACATAGGGAGTATTCCTTCCATATATTCCACTCTTAGCATGTGAATGAATATATACACACACACACACACACACACACACACACACAACACACACACACACACACACACACACACACACACACACACACACACACACACACACACACACACACACACACACACCCACATATATACACCCACCCACCCACCCACACATGCACACACACATATATATACACCCACGCACCCATACACCCAACACACACACACCCACCCACCCACCCACCCACCCACACACACACCACACCAGCACCAAACACAACCACACACACACACCCACACTACACACCACAACACACAACACACGACCACCCTACCATACACACACACACACACACACGACACACAACCACACCACACACACACACACACACGACCACACACACACACACACACATATATACACCCATCCACCCACCCACACACACACATATACACCCACCCACCCACACACACACACACACACACACATATATATACAACCACCCACCCACCCACACATGCACACACACACACATATATATATACACCCACCCACATATACACCACCCCCCACACACACACACACACACCCACACACACACACACACACCCACACACACACACCCACCACACACACACACACACACACACACCCAACCACACACACACACACACACACACACACACACACCACACACACCCACACCACACACACACACACCCACACATCAGTAGCAGTTAAAACCATAGTGATGCTCTGCAGGCCTGCGTGTGTTTTAAAGTGTGATGTGAGTGGAGAATTTTCCGTGTCACTCAGCCATGCAGCGCTGCTCTGCTCTTTATCTCCTGCCCATTATACCCACTTTAAAGGAAGGCAGAAGACCGGACAGCCTCTCACATCTCTAACAACATCCAGCCAAATGGACTGAATGAAAACACACTGCCATTACAGGAGCGTCTGCTGATTTAAGAGGAGTCGAAGTCTGTGATCGGCTCTGCCAAATGGACCTTCTGCTTTCTCTCTCTCCCTGCACCCGCTTTGTTATGCCGCCATCGGAAGATACTATTGTTTTTAGGTTATTGTATTAATAGCTACAAGTTTGATCCAGCTGATGTTGATTTATGAACTTTAAGGGCTGCACAATTTATCGTTTTGTTTTGTTCATTATGTCAACTAGTGTGCGATAAACACTTGCTTAAAGACTGATAAAGATTTTGGTGCCTTTTGTGTTTGGTTAAGTGTTCAATATCTATAAAAGAACGGTTAAAAAATGTCCTTTGCATGTTTTTGTTTCATTAAGTCATATTCAAAGGATTCATTTCATAGGATGCAAGCCTGCACATTGACAGTAGTGCAGGCAATTCATTAATTAAGTCCCAGGCGTCTCCAACAATACAATAAAAAACACGAAACAGTGCAAGAGAGAGACAGAGTAAGGTTTAAGGAATGCATTACTTCAACAAAGGTCCACATATCAAAAGCTGTTTGGGTAGAAGCGTTCATCCACCCAAATAAAGTGTGTTAGTTCACCCAAAGGTCAACACAAATGCAACTACAAGTGTGTGTGTAAAGTCATTTCAGGGCTTTACGACATTACAGACATATCCTCACGTCATTCACACACTCAGACATGCAGTCACACACACTCAGACATGCAGTCACACACACTCAGGTGGTGACATGATGACTGTGATCTACGCCTCAGTGACATCAAACTGGGACTGAGTCATTCATTCATTGGCTTCAACATCAGGGTGAAATGTGGGACAGCCCATGATGTCATCATTTGGAGTTGATTTGGGTTCAACTGTAATTGAGTAAACGCTTTAATCCAACTTTGGTCGCATTGACGGCTTCAGGAACATCAGTCTAGACCAGGGGTTTTCAAAGTGTGGGAAGGTGAGCCTCCCCTCAGAGAACATAAGAACAGCCGCGCCCCCCCTCCCAATTATTATTGCTATTATTATTATTATTATTATTATTATTATTATTATTATCATTATTGTTGTTGTTGCTATAATGCAGGAGTATTCAATTGCATTTCAAAGAGGTCCAGTAAGAGAAAATGTCATTAAATGTCATTAAATGCTCTGTTTTCGCTGTCTACCTTTCGCCATTTGAAATTACTCCGACTGTTTCTCTTAGTGATGTGTCGGTCGCGAACGAGCCGGCTCAAAGAGCCGGCTCTTTTAAGTGAACGACGGGAGCCGGCTCGCACCCGCGAACGAGCCGTTTTTTTTTGTTATTTTGTTGTTGTTAAGTAATACAAGACAGAATGATATGATCTCCGCGCTACAGCTGCTCCGTGCATGCATGCAGTGACATGTAATATCCAAGGATTAGAGACTGTTGGATGCTGCTGTTTTGAGCATTGCAATACATTTATTTGTATTATGTTTTTTTATGATTAGAGACGGTTGGATGCTGCTGTACTGAGCATTGCAATATATTTATTTTCACTATGTTATTTATTTATGATTATCCTTGGGCTCAGCAAAGATTTGATGTCAGCTGTTGCTGTCTTTTTTTCTATAGTTACTACTGAAATAGAGCCCTGCTGTTTTGTCAGGGCCTTTTCTTTAAATATAATTTTAAAATGTCGATACAGTAGCCCCTTTTTTAAAATGTCTATGCTTACGTTTTTATCTCAATCTCAATCTTTATTTATTTATATAGCACATTTAAAACAACCTTCAGTTGACCAAAGTGCTGTACAGGCAATACATATTAAATAACACAATGGGAGTACAATAATAAAACAATAATTAAAAACATGATAAAAAGCACAATAACTAGAAAAATATTTTAAAAAAAACACATACAAATGTAAAAATGTAATGTTCAACTAGTATTAAAAGCCAGTGCAAAGAGGTGAGTTTTTAGCTGAGATTTAAAAAGTTCAATAGACTCAGCAGTCCGGATATGTACTGGGAGGCTGTTCCACAGTCTAGGAGCTGCAACACTGAAAGCCCTGTCACCTCGGGTTTTGTTATAGGTGTTGCTATCTGCTTTGTGTAGCGTGGTTCTACAAGCAAGTCTGTGCATTCATTGGGTGGTATCAGAGAGATACAAGGGTCTGTAAATGCAATGAAAACAATTGGCCACATCAAATAATTGATATTAAACATGTCATTTTTACTTTTGAATACTTCAGTACAAAGGATGTATTGAATAATTTAAGTGATATGTGTACACATATAAATCATTAGTCAAAACAAGGCTACATTTGATTGAATTATAAAAGGTATAATATGTGGTAAACTGAAGAGCCGTTTGGGAGCCGAAAGAGCCGGCTCTTCTTGGTGAGCCGAGCCAAATGATCCGGCTCACCAAGAAGAGCCGGAATTCCCATCACTAGTTTCTCTCCTCTTGTGTGTGTTTGAATCTATCGTGCTGACTCACTGACTGCACCGATTTGATTGGCTGAGTAGCGTCCCCTCCTTAAAACATTAAACAATAACTTTTTTAAACCTTTGTATCTTTATGTTTTAAACATATTGTATAAAACTCCCCCACTACTTGGACTATTCCTTGCACCCCTCTAGAATAAGCCCGACTGGTCTCAACCATATTGCATCAGTAACGTACACTTGTTCTTACAAGATCGCAAGGACACTGGTAGTGATCGGACAATTGAGTGTTGTTCAGTTTGTGTGTTGTGGAACATGCGTGTGCGTGCCTGAAAATATACCGCACACCCAATTACAATTGCATGTTCAATTCACTACCTTGGAAGTTAATAAAGTTGTTAAAGTTGGAACAGCCTGTGGACAGCCGTTCTTCCTTGCATGTCAGTCGCCGACACCTTCTTACAGAGGACAGGCAAATCTAGCTGCAGCACGACCCGTAACACATATTTTCTTTTAACATTTTTAACATTTTCAACATCGTGGATATATATATGCTTATATGCTCCCGGCAACACACTGAACGTCAACTTTGCCTCCTTATTACACTCACCCCTACTTTAGTGGGAACAATGAGTCTGCGTCTTTGATGCTCGCAGGAATAAACGCAGATCATCCTCTGGCTGCAGCCTTGACCGGTACTTGCTTTTGATCAAAGTCAATGCGGAAAACCCCCACTCACACAGGTAGGTGGAGGTGAAGGGAATGAGCACTGTTACAGCCTTTTTGGCGAGGTGGGGGAACTCGGTCTCCACAGACAGCCAAAAGTGGGCAAGTGTCACTTTATTAATCTTTTTCTCGTTCTTTTTTTCCTCACGCTGCGCCTCCCCTGAAGCTCTCTGGCGCCCCCCAGGGGAGGCGCGCCTCACACTTTGAAAACCGCTGGTCTAGACTCTAGAGACACAGGTTTAAATATCCAAAGTGATTCCTCAGGAGAGAAAATTAATGACGTTTACATTTCTCATCTGAGTCTCAGTTTTAGATCACCACAGGCTGTTCAAATGCGACCCTCTTATCGCACTTAGCTCATCAATTTCTACGGTAGTTTTCAATCAAATCAGTCCTTTTATATCTCACAGCTGTCGGCATATACTGAAGCCATTTGGAGCATTAAGACCCCGTTTACACGAGGACGATACGGGTTGTATCTGCAGCATAGTTTCTCTTGCGTATAGCCCTTTCGTTTACACGAGGCCGTAAAACAAAACGATAGAAACGGACCCCGCAAACGATAACGGGTCCCAAGGTGGATAGATCTGGGGGGGCAAACGGCTCTGTGTGTACGCCTCTATACGGTCATTTTCTGATAACGATGAAATAGCCCCGTCTCCCTCTCCCCACGTCTCCCTCTCCCCCCGTCTCCCTCTCCCCCCGTCTCCCTCTCCCCACGTCTCCCTCTCCCCACGTCTCCCTCTCCCCACGTCTCCCTCTCCCCACGTCTCCTGCTCAGAGATCAGCTGCTGGGCTGTCAGCAGAGAGGGAGGAAAAGAGAGGCTCCGTGTATTATTCTTATATTATTATATAGAGTCGTTATCAATGTGTTTTAAAGCTCAATAAATAACAAAGAAGACCTTTGACCGGCACTTTTCTAACTTTGTCCGGAAGATTTAAACTTTAACGGACATGTTGACCGGCGAAAAAAAATGTTAACAGAAACTCTGCCGCATGGCTCCCTCGTCCCTTGGAGGAGGCGGAGAGGTGGGTGTTTGTCATCTGCTGGTGGACTACCGGAGAGATTTACAGCAGGAGCACACGCCGTCCACCGTGGAGAATAAACAGAAGAGCAACCATGGCAACCATGCTCCGAGGTCTACTTCGCTGCTTTTGGTGTATTTTGTGGCGGCAGCAGCGCCAATTACAGGCCCGGCATATGTACTACAGTGTTTCCAGCGGGTCGAGCGGTCTCGTGTGAACGGACACGTGAAATGAATCGAATGCGTGTGAACGGAAGACTTTTTTGAAAACGCATACGGTGCGTAAACGCAAACGTCTAAGCTGTTCTCTCTTCCAACAGCCTTGACTGGATCAATGACCCTGTGTAAACCTTCATAAGACTAATAGACTTTGAATTGAATTTTAACTTAATGCAGTGCACTTTATCCATGCAACAACTTCCTCCAGCCTTCTTTGATTTCCCTGAGGAACGCCTCAAAGCATTTCCACAGAAGCAAGGATATGTGATTCCTCTCCAGGTACTGGCAAAAGACGGGAATTGAACTTAACTGTGATTGAATTGCTGATCACAAACAAATCCAAGACACCAGCCTCACACTAAGAGCTGCTCTCAGCAAACCATTGGTTGTTTAATCATAGGGCAGATTACAAAAAACGAAAATCTTCAAGGTAAAACAATGTATCTTTTCAAAAGTGTTTGATTATTTGATTGAGATTATCGTCTCGAAAGCTTAGAGGGGTTCTAGAGTTTAGTCCTCTTTCATTTATATAGCCCAATATCACAGATTACACATACTGTATGTCTCTTGGGCTTCAGGATGTGTACAGCATACGACACACTAGACCAGGGGTACTCAAATACAAATCTTAAAGGTCCACAAAGACAATTTTCAATAAGACAAAGGTCCGTTTATTACGGTCGTTCAAACTTTTAAACAATTGCAACAAGATTCTTAACACGAGGTTGCAAAAACAAAAAGTCTCTGTATGCAGCAGTTTTCATTGTTATTGTGTCTGTGCTTGATCCCTCAGAGTCGCAGTGTAAGAGCTCCAGTTATGAATAAAGGCAGCTGCACCCTCTTTCATTCAGCATTCCCATTATTGCTTTATAAATGTCTTGCCCCCTTGTGTGTCCACTGAGGTTCGTCAGGCCCAACACATCTTCAATAAACTCCCCCTTTGCCTCATCATCAAAACTCACAAACACCAGCAACTGAGCATTGTCAGTGGTGTCAGTGGACTCATCCACAGCTAAGGAAATGCACTGTGCATTTTTTTATTCCATCACAAAGCTGATTAATCAAATCACCAGCCAGTATTTATGTTCTTCTGGTTGCTGTGGAATCTGAGAGGGGGATTTGCTTGATTTGACCTGTTATTTCCTCTTTTTGTTTGCCTTCAAACATGGTCTCCATCACTTCAGTCATGCATTCTTTTATTATTTCTGCACCAGAGAATGGCTTCTTGTGTTTAGCCAACACCCATGCCACTCTGAGGACTCAGTTGCCTTTTTTCTCGTTGTGACATAGATGTAACAAGGATCCTGCTTGCAGCTTGATATGATGATTTCATCCCATTTATTTGTGTGGTTCTTACCGCTGAATCTTGAGGAAAGGTTGCTTCAAAATAATTGTGTTTTGTTTCATAGTACCGTTTCTTGGCATAGAATCGGAGGATGAACGCATCATTTCAATCATCTTTGAATTGCCGACTTTTATTTTACTGTTCATATTTGAACATGCTATTTTCTTCTACTAGCTGCTAGGTTACTAGCTACAGTAGCTTACAGATGCATTGCAACTAGATGCGCTGTCAACTCTCGCTCTGACTTTATTTTTGTAAACTCTCGCTCTGACTCAGACAGGTTGAAAGAGACGACACACCCGCATCCCGCAAAGACCCGCCCTACTGTGCCTCTGATTCGCAGACTGTTGGTGGGGGGGAAAAACGCTGACGGGATGCCGAATGTGATTGGACCAAAGCGTTGACAGACACACACAGAGACAGTGGAACAGTCGTACATGCAGAGCGCTGCATGCAGTGGACATAGCGGAGAATGTTGACTCGTTGCGTTGTAGCGATGTCTCGCAGATAACACAGATAATACAGATGAAAAGTATAATTTGCTCAGAGTCCACACACACACACACACACACACACACACACACACACACACACACACACACACACACACACACACACACACACACACACACACACACACACACACACACACACACACACACACACACACACACACACACACACACACACACACACACACACACACACACACACACACACACACACACACACACACACACCTCCTCTCCTACCTTGGCCTTGTACTGCTCTGACAACTTGTCCTTCTTCAGGTACTTGACGATGCCGCAGATGCAGAGCGGCCCGGCGAAGCCCAGCAGGTCGGCCAGGTATCTGAAGGTGGAGCTGAGCAGGATGGGCCGTCCGAACGCTCGGTACATGGAGCGCCAGATGGACGGGGCTTTGTTGGGATCCTCTGCTGTCTGAGGGGGGAGGAGGGATTTAAAGGACCCCTAATATACTGTTTTTCATCAATATATCACAGGTCTCAGATATATCCAGAGCCTGTCTCTGATTGGCTGAAACAGATCATTGCATTACCCATAATCCCCTCTGTTTCAGCCCTGTTTCCAAAGTGCTGATTCTCTGTCTGTTACTTCAGATGAAAATAAGGAGCCCCTCCCCACGCCCCTCTGAGAGAGATTTGGTTACAAAGAACTCAATGGTGCTCTAGGAGGAGATTCAGGTGATAAGGTGGGGGGGGGGGGGGGGGGGTTACCTTGGTTGCTGATTGGCTAATGGTTACACAAGACAAAACATCGTTATGACATCATAAAGTGGCCAAAATCTGATCAGCTCATTTTCAGACAGGTTTTTATATAAATGGATCAAAAAGAGAGAGAATCTTTGTTCCTGAAACTTTCAGAGTCTCTCATTAAACGTGACTAAATCATTCTTCTGATCATGTCAGATTTCGACCTCCTCCACTCACCCTCTGGTCCTCGTAGGCGTCTTTGAGCTTCAGGTAGTTGGTGAGCGCTCTCATGGCGATGGGCAGCTTCCCGATCTTCTTCAACTCGATCGGCCTCTTGTGGGCTCCGATAATCAGAGGATTCATCCACCAATATGTTGCCTAAAAAGTGTCAAGAATTTGTCCTGGTTACTCGGCTGACAGGTGATATTTTGTGATAAATAAATTATATCTTATGGCCTACATTTTTTTAATAGAGTGCACATTTTGTTGCATTTCAGACGATCCTGATGGTATCTATAATTGATTTGTTTATTGATATGATTTTTAACATTTTGTAAATTGTATTTATTTGTACCTGTAATTTGGTTTGTAATTTGTATTATTTATTTCACTATTTATTTATATATATTTTTTGGATTATTCATCTGTAAAATGAATTAATAGAATAAAATAATTAAAAAAAAATACAAATTAAAAATACAAAATGTAAGAAATTCAATAAAAAAATGTAAAAATGTAAAAATTAAACAATTTAACTTTAACATTTGAATATATATAAATAAAAATTATTTTGTATGTTTGTGAAGGAAAAAATAAAATACATATTTGTGTTTGTTTGTACCTTAGACAGCAGGTTGACAAACGGCTGCAGGAAGCGAACGCCTAAATCCTGCAAATCCTCGGGGGGTTTCACCTTCTGGGGGTTGGCAAAGAACACGTACTTCTACGGGGAGAGAAAAGGACAAAATTAATCAACCAAAATTGACAGACAACTTATTAATAAATTGCATACAAATATCTATATTATATGGATGCCAAACGCACATGGTGACCAAATCATAAAAAATAAATGCAAGAAAAAATAAGTTATTTATTGGGGGAAATTGTTAATTACAATTTATTTTTTCGTTTAAAAAGTGGCGTTAGATGCCTCCTCACCCTGACTCTGATGACGTTGATCTCCACGGCCATCAGCAGCCCGTACAGCAGCACCAACAGCGCCGTGATGCAGAACCTCAAGTACTGAGGGCCCACCTCGTGCGCTGCAAACTTCCACAGCTTGATGGACTTGGTGATGAACGCCAACACCCAGTAGATGAAGAGGACTGAGCAACAGGAGACAGGAGAGGGATGTGGTGTCTTATTAATGCACGGGTACATAACGGCTCTTAAAATGTACCTTAAAATGTATATATATGAGAACAAGACTAGAAAATACTTCCGGAATATTCCTTGTGTCATTGTCTCTGATTTCTACACATCAACGCGTGTTTCCAGATGCATATGTGAAAAACTAGTCTGATAAATGTCCTCAAGAGATGTCACTTGAGTCAGGTAAGAAACAAGACTACCAGACCTCAGTAGCTCCAGAGTTGCATTGTGGGTAATGTCAGTGCCAGGTTTTAATAAGGAAATAGATTGGGTTTGAACATTTAGATTTCTTAGATTTTTACCCTTTTTTTGGATCCAATCTTAACACAATATGAAATCTATTGAGTCCTCCTTTAAAAGCTTGAAATGATATACTGGATTATTAAAAGGTAAAAGCAAAAAAAAGCAAGGTTTTAGCGTGTAACCGAGCAGCAGTTTGGGAAAGTTGGACGTCTTCTTGTCTTAAAATGTACATTAAGATATATATGAGCACTGAAAAGGCTGTTGGAACTATAACATATATGCAACTGCACATCAACGCGTGTTTCCAGGTGCATATGTGATAAACTAGTCTGATAAATGTCCTCAAGAGACGTCACTTGAGTCAGGTGTGGAGTAAGAAACAAGACCTCAGTAGCTCCAGAGTTGCATTGTGGGTAATGTAAGTGCCAGGTTTTAATAAGGAAGAAGATTGGGTGAGAAAAATGTGATTTCTTCAGATTTGTATCCTTTTTTTAGATCCAACAATGTTATGTAAGTGCAATAATGAATGAGTTGAGTCCTCTTTTAAAAGCTGGAAAGGATGTACTAGTTTAATAAAAGCTTAAAGCTAAAAAAAAGACGAGGTTTAATGAGTGTTACCGAGCAGCAGTTTGGGGAAGTTGGACGTCTCGATGTTGTGATAGTAAACGACTGATGTTGTCGCGGCGATGAAACCCATGAAGGCCGGCAAGAAGAGATGAAGGTGGGTGGTTTTCAGCATCATCCTACAGCAAGAGGGGAATATAAGAACTATTAACATGTGGATATTAAAAAGTTCATTTGGGCGAAAATGAAGAAAAAAAGTCAATTGTCAATAATATTTATTGACAGAGAGATCGAAATACCGTTTCCCACAATCCCGAATACAAAAATAAATATATATATGCAAATATGTATATACCTATATATACTAGGGATGGGAATGATTAATCGAATATTCAAAATGATTCAGGTATTCGAATATGAATAATTGTTTATGGGAGGGGTGCCTAAGTTGATTACATGGGAGCGTGTGGCGCAGTGGGTAGAGCGTTGGTGTTCGGATCAAGGGAGCACAGGTTCAAACCCCACTGCAGTCAGCATGTCGTTGTGTCCCTGAGACACTTCACCCCAAAGTGCTCCTGTGGGGATTGCCCACAGTATTTAATGTATGTAAGTCGCTTTGGATAAAAGCGTCTAACAAGTAACATGTAATAAAATAATAATTACATGTTATCAAAAGGATTAATTAAATGTATACGACAGAGCCATTTGAAAAATCTAAAAGAAAACTAGGATTGGTTTCTATATTTATTTGAAAATGTATTTGTTATTTTTTTTTTTATAAACAGAAAAAACGATATGTAAAAACGGTTAAGCGGTTAACCGTTTTTTTGGGGGTCGAATATTCGAATATAAATTTGCTTTCAAATTCTCATCCCTAATATATACACAATCAAAAGACACATTTAGACATATACATATTAAAGGGGACCTATCATGCAAAATGCACTTTTTGATGTCTTCTATACATAAATATGTGTCCCCGGTGTGTCGGGGAACTCACGCAGCGTCAGAGAATAAAACCCTCTCTCTTTTCCTCCGTACCCAAATCTCTAAAAACGGGGCTACAACGGAGCTGATCCAGATTTGCGTCAGATATGACGTAATATCTGAAATGTGGACCCACGGCCCTATCAGAAACGTTGCTATCAGAAACAATGCCCGACTGTTTTGGACGTAATATGGTCGGTGTTTACATTAGCATCGCTAACACTCAGAGCTAACCTGTACTGGAGAGCATGTGTGTGAAGAAGCAGGAAATAAAAAGGAACTCACCTTGTGGTATAACCGGCAAGAGAGAAAGCCTTTGAGCTCCATACTGTTTCAGAAACAATCCTTGATCTAATAATCCTTGCGTTTCATCAGCATTTTAGACAGAGGCCGTTTCTCAATGTCGAGTAAACCTGCTGCAGAGCCACTATTTCAAGTATACTACGTCATCGAGTGGCGCCGAAGGACTGTTTAAATGCATGTTAAATGCCCAGCATTCGGCGCCACTCGATGACGTAGTACACTTGAAATAGTGGCTCTGCAGCAGGTTTACTCGACATTGAGAAACAGCCAGTATCTGCCAGGTCCCGCATGAGCCGGCATAAGCTCCGCCCCCTCTTATTAAAAGAAAAATTCTTTATTTATATAAAAAGCTTTATTTATTTTAATTTTATTTAGCCTTCAGGTGAAAATCTCATTGAGACACAGGGTCTCATTCTCAAGAGAGACCTGTTTATACCCAGAATCAGCACTTTTGTGTCTTTGTCTCACTTGTCGGAGACGATGCCCTCGGCGAACTCGCAGACGTGGACGAAGAGCAGCGAGAAAGTGAGGATCCACCTCATGTTGTGTCCGGGGAAATGAAGCCATGTGTTGTGATGAATCTGCACTTTGGAGCTCTGACTGCCCCAACCTGCGAAATAACCAGAGAGAGAGAGAGAGAGAGAGAGAGAGAGAGAGAGAGAGAGAGAGAGAGATGAGCAGAGGAGAGCTGTGGTGGAATAGATACTCATGAGAGTAGCAGGGGAGAGAGCTAGAGATCGAGAGAGGGGGGTGCTGATAATGAATAGAGACTCATCTCCCTCGATAGAGTCGTTCGCGAGGAGGGTGCGCTCGCGGCGCCATCCGAGATCCTATCAGCTCTAAGCGCGCGCGTAGATAGAGAGAGTGTAGATCGAGCTATAGGCTCTAGAGAGCGAGCTGCGGGTGTGCTCAGCGCGCTTCGCGCTCGACCTCGCGGCGCGAGCGCGCGCGCATAGCTGAGCTCGCGCCGCTTCTCTAGCTCGCGCTCCGCGCATAAGCGCCGCGCTGCAGCGCGCGAGCTCGAGGGGTGAGATAATGTTATATGACGTTTTTTTTATAAAGGTGTACATGTAGGAAAGGGAAAGAAGACAAACAAATAATCATGGAAGGTACTACGGGCAAATACTACATTGTGTTTGAAAGTCCAATCATTGGAAAGGTTACTAAGTAAAAGTATGTAAAAATAAACAACAAAGTGCTCAGAGTATTCAAACTACGACATATTTAAATATAATAAAATACAATGTATTTCTCAAAGTTGATTTCTGCTTTAACTGCACTTAAAATATTAGATCATAATATTTAAGTTTCCATAGGTGTTGTGTAAAGTTTACTGAGTGTACAATATATTCCTCTGAGATGTTCCTAATGGTAGTAGAAGTATAAAGTGACCTAGTATAAAATACACAAGTAAAATACAAATACCTTCAATTGTGTTATTCAAATAACTTGTAAATATACTTCAAACCCATTGTTTGACAAGTTTTGGACCATTAAATACGTGCTTATTTGGTGTGAAAACTGACTCAATTGATCATAAAACAGTCGCAGACACATGTTTTAATGCTTATATACAACTCTAATCAGAATCAGAATCAGAAATGGGTTTATGCCAGGTCGGTTCACACATACGAGGAAGTTGACTTGATGTCGTGGTGCAAAACATAAAATATAAAAACAAAGAATCTTCAAGGACACTGTATAAAATATAGTTAAATAGCAATAAAATAAAGCAGTAATTTACAGCGAAATGGAATGTAATGAGTTATAGAAATAAACTATGAAATATGAAATAAGAATATGTGCAGTAAGCCGTATTGAACATTGTGTGCATTAATGTAATGCATATAGAGTCTACGTTGTGTCAGTGGGGGGGCCGGGCCTTGTTTAGAGGCCGGTAGCGGAGGGGAAGAAACTGTTCAGGTGGCGAGAGGTTTTGGTCCTGATGGAGCGCAGCCTCCTGCCAGAGGGGAGGGGGGTGAACAGTTTGTGTCCAGGGTGGCAGGGGTCGGCCACTATCTTCCCTGCCCGCCTCAGGGTCCTGGAGGCGTGCAGGTCGTGGAGGGATGGCAGATTGCAGCCGATCACCTTCTCTGCAGAGCGGATGACACGCTGCAGCCTGCCCTTATCCTTGGCTGTGGCTGCAGCGTACCAGATGGTGATGGAGGAGGTGAGGATGGACTCCATGATGGAGGTGTATTTGCGTTCTTCCTAAAGTCCACAACCATCTCCACTGTCCTTGAGAGCTCCAGGTGGTTGTCCCTACACCAGGTCACCAGATGGTCCAGCTCCCACCTGTAGGCAGACTCGGTCCCCACCAGAGATGAGTCCGATGAGCGTGGTGTCGTCTGCGAACTTCAAGGAGCTTGACAGACTGGTGACTGGAGGTGCAGCTGTTGGTGTAGCAGGGAGAAGATCAGAGGGGAAACAACGCAGTCTTGAGGGGAACCGGTGCTGATGGTCCCGGGGGTTAGAGACGTGTTTCCCCAGCCTCACGTGCTGCTTTCTGTCAGACAGGAAGTCTGTGATCCACCTGCAGGTGGAGTCGGGCACTTGAATCTGGGAGAGCTTGTCTTGCAGCAGAGCCGGGATGATGGTGTTGAAAGCGGAGCTGAAGTCCCACAAACAGGATCCTGGCGTAGGGTTCCTGCTGTGTCCAGGTGCTGGAGGAGGAAGTGAAGGGCCATGTTGACAGCGTGGTCCACAGACCTGTTGGCTCGGTCCAGGAAGGGGGTCTGTGATGGATTTTATGTGGACAGGAAAGGCGCTCAAAGGACTTCATAACCACAGAGGTCAGGGCGACGGGTCTGTAGTCATTTAATCCTGTGGTCCTTGTTTTCTTGGGAACCGGGATGATGGTGGAGGTTTTTGAAGCATGCTGGGACGTGGCATGGTCTCCAGCGAGGTGTTGAAGATGTCAGTAAACACAGGAGACAGCTGATCAGCACAGAGCTTCAGGGTGGAGGGGGTAGACATTGTCAAGGCCAGCCGCTTCTCTGCTATTGAGTTTCTAAGAAGTCTGTTTACATCCTTTCATTGATTGAGAGAGAATTTGATTGTGTCGGGGGAGGTCAGTGGTGGGAGAGTGGGACACTGAGGGGGAGGGGGATTGTGGTTGTTGTCATGGTCGTTTGTAAGGCGTCGGTCGTTCATGAAGAGTGAGGCTTTTGGCTAATTAAACTTCATGGCAGTTTAAGTGTCAATTGAACTAATCAAACGGTAGTTTATTGGTAGAGAGAGTTGGACAATACGGCAGCGTAGAGCCGCAGAGTATTTTATGTATTTGTGAGGTTTGTTTCTGCTCTTAACTAAATGGAGCGCAGAGCTCAGGGGACGGAGACACAAACTGAAACCAGGAAGCTTCAATTAGTGAATCCTGAGGGACAGCTGAGGGCTTCTGGTCAGAGCTATTCCCATAAAACACACACACACACACAAATAACTAACCATGCATTCAGTAAACCTCATCTGTTTCTGAATTAGAGGTTCATATTAGAAGACATTTACGACACAGGCTTGCAAATGAAAAAGATAGAGAAAATACATTTACAAAATAATTTAAAGAATTCCCTCCTCCTTCCTTACTTCTTTTCAAAATATCTCTTTTAAAATGTCTTCCCAACTAGGGCTGGATAATATATGTATATTATTAATATTATTGTTATTACTGCTATTTGAAACTAGATTTATTTTAGAGGGTGCATTAAATGAAATTGAAGTAATTTTCTAAATGTAATTATTTGTCCTATTTTTCAAAAATCTTATTGTGTAAGTATGTAATGAAAGCACCAATAGTTTACTCAATATCCATACAATTGGTCAGATATATTGTTATAAAGCACTATTCCCAACAACCTCCTTCCTCCCTCGTTTCCTTTTTCTTCTGAACATACTACGTTTACTAATCATCAACAAAATAAAACATGTTTAAGAAGAAAAAGGGGCAACTAGAAGAACGTTTTTGGTGAATATTTTACAATGAAACCACCAAATTAACTGTTCTCCTTGCTGCCTCTGAGGAACTGCACACGGCTAAAGCAGCCTCCCTCTCCTCTGGCATCATCCTTCTGGGACCTGTCTGCTGGCATTCGACACGGTGAACCAATCAGATCCTCCTTCGCACTCTCCAAGAACTTGGAGTTTCAGGCTCTGCACTTTCCCTCCTCACCTCCTACCTCAAAGACCGCACCTACAGGGTAACTTGGAGAGGGACCGAGTCCGACCCTTGTCAATTATCTACAGGGGTCCCTCAGGGCCCTGTCCTTGGTCCCCTCCTCTTCTCTCTGTACACAAACTCGCTCGGATCTGTCATTAGCCCGCATGGTTTTTCATACCATTGTTACGCTGACGACACTCAATTCATTTCCCCGCTCAGAGACCCAGGTCGTCGCACGCATCTCTGCTTGTCTAGCTGACATCTCTCAGTGGATGTCTGCTCACCACCTCAAGCTCAGCCTTGACAAGACTGAACTGCTTTTCCTTCCGGGAAAAGATTGTCCCACTCTTGACCTAACAATCAACATCGGCCCCTCTGTTGTTTCCCCGACTCAGACTGCAAGGAATCTGGGTGTGACCCTAGATAACAACCTGTCCTTCACTTGCAAACATCGCTGCTACAACCCCGCTGCTGCAGAATACACTCTTTACAACATCAGGAGGATACGTCCCCTCCTGACCCAGAAAGCGACCCAGCTTCTGTCCAGGCTCTCGTCATCTCACGCCTAGACTACTGCAGCTCCCTCCTGGCTGGTCTACCTGCATGTGCCATCCGACCTCTGCAGCTCATCCAGAACGCAGCGGCTCGTCTGGTCTTCAACCTTCCTAAATGTTCTCACACCACACCGCTCCTCTGCTCACTTCACTGGCTTCCAGTAACTGCTAGAATCCACTTCAAGACACTGGTACTTGCGTACCATGCTGTGAATGGATCTGGCCCTTCCTACATCCAGGACATGGTTAAACCATACACCCCAGCACGTGCACTCCGCTCTGCATCAGCCAAACGGCTCGCTGCACCCGCACTGCGAGGGGGACCCAAGTTCCCATCAGCAAAAACACGTGGGTTTAACTTCAGGACAGCAGAAAGCTCACACAGCTTCCGGCGTAGACTGAAAACTCATCTCTTTCGACTCCACTTCGAGCAATAAAAAAAACCTTGACAAGACTGAACTGCTTTTCAGTCTTGTCAAAAAAGCACTTATATACTAACAAAGCACTTACATACTAACAAAGGACTGGCTTATCTAAAGCCAGTTGAGTAGCACTTGAAATGTTTTGGCTCTATGAAACCTGATGTACTTATATGATTCTGTTTTCTTCAAGTTTGTATCTTCTTGGTCGAATGCACTTATTGTAAGTCGCTTTGGATAAAAGCGTCAGCTAAATGAAATGTAATGTAACCTCATTGCTAAATATTCAAAAATATCTGTCAGTATTTTTGTTTTTATTGTGCTTTGATTTCCCCTTTGTGTTGTGTGTGTGTGTGTGTGTGTGTGTGTGTGTGTGTGTGTGTGTGTGTGTGTGTGTGTGTGTGTGTGTGTGTGTGTGTGTGTGTGTGTGTGTGTGTGTGTGTGTGTGTGTGTTAGAGGGAAAGTCAATATCACCCACACATCTGCTCTCAGCCAGCTGACAGATTATTGTCACACAGCTCAGCAGGAAGCATCAGTTCCTCTCCTCAGAGTGTTTTCACTGCCTTTCTGATCACATTCAAGTCAGGAAAACTCACGAGACACATCCTGATCAACATCGTTTCTGATCCATTTATGTTCAGCTTTCAATACGTGTAAGTAAGTATGACGACTAAGAAGCAAAAGATAAAGATTGGGAAACTCCAGTGGGCTTTTTCCTAATAGTTCAACCTCTGTAAGCATTAAAGCCTAAAAACAGACGGTCCAATAACTTCAATAAAATGGTGCAGAACTATGAGGACCTAAAACTAAGGTAAGATTCAACATGTTGCCCTCTCATCAGCAGGAGAGGACTCTTTAAAGTAGAGACACTACATACCAGAGGTGGGACCAAGTCATTGTTTTGCAAGTCCGAGTCAAGTCTCAAGTCTTTGCGCTCAAGTCCGAGTCAAGTCTCAAGTCTTTGCGCTCAAGTCCGAGTCAAGTCTCAAGTCAGGATGGGCAAGTTCAAGTCAAGTCCAAGTCCTAAACTTTGACAAAACGAGTCTTAAACAAGTCATTATGTGCTTTTCACCAAATGTAATGACATCGATCAACAGAATAATACTTAATAATCAAACTGCTCTTTATTAGTCACATTAATCATTTAATAATCTATTTTCTCTCTGCTGGTAAAGTAACGTGTTTTCTTCTATTTTAAGAGGGATCAGTAAGGTAAGGCTACCGTGACGGTTTGATTCAGAAGGAGTTTAATATATAAGATCCCTGATGTTGAGGTAACCAGAATGTTTATTTCCACTGTGTACAGCATGTTATAAGGGACCCACAATCTATCTTTATGCAAGGGATAATGTGCAGCGAGGCGTCTCTATGGGGAAAAGAACACCTGAATCTAGATCCCTCTGCAGGTGGTACTTTAACTGTATTTTGATGATAATACTTTTGTACTTTTACTTGAGTAACATTTTGAATGCAGGACTTTTTATTGTAACCGAGTATTCCTACACTCAGGTACTGTTACTCAAGTACAAGATCTGAACTTCTCCCACCTCTGACAATAAATCCTGAGTGGTTACCAAAAAAAGAGGTTAAGAAGGTTATTTTCATTTTACAAATCCTGCACTCAGCTTTGCTTTCCTAATATCATTGAAATGCAGCCAGATGCTGCTTCTTTTTTCGGTTTTCGCTAATTTCTTGACTTTTTCCGACGCGCTTGCATTTAAATCCGTCTCTTCGTCTCCCCGTCGCTGTGTAGTGGCCTGTACCACTACACCTGCTGTCTTTGGAGCGTCTGCCCCCCACCCTTCTTTCACATAATGGTATGATCCTAGTGTGTCCTCACATATGATTGGCCGCATGGTGGCCCAGCTAAATAAAGACCCGCCCCTGCCTGCAAGGATTCTCAGCAAGAGTTGCAGCGGCTGGAGATTCTGAGTCTGCTCTTCGAGCGGCATCTCGCGATCGGCGTGTTGGAGACTCTGAATTAAATTATCAAGTCACCTCAAGTCAGAGGGCTCAAGTCCAAGTCAAGTCCCGAGTCATTGGTGTTCAAGTCCAAGTCGAGTCGCAAGTGTTTTGTGATTTTGTCAAGTCGAGTCCAAAGTCATCAAATTGGTGACTCGAGTCTGAATCGAGTCCAAGTCATGTGACTCGAGTCCACACCTCTGCTACATACTGATATACACCTGAACATCAGCAGGAGAGGACTCTTTAAAGTAGAGACACTACATACTGATATACACCTGAACATCAGCAGGAGAGGACTCTTTAAAGTAGAGACACTACATACTGATATACACCTGAACATCAGCAGGAGAGGACTCTTTAAAGTAGAGACACTACATACTGATATACACCTGAACATCAGCAGGAGAGGACTCTTTAAAGTAGAGACACTACATACTGATATACACCTGAACATCAGCAGGAGAGGACTCTTTAACGTAGAGACACTACATACTGATATACACCTGAACATCAGCAGGAGAGGACTCTTTAAAGTAGAGACACTACATACTGATATACACCTGAACAACATCAGAAGAGGACTCTTTAAAGTAGAGACACTACATACTGATATACACCTGAACATCAGCAGGAGAGGACTCTTTAAAGTAGAGACACTACATACTGATATACACCTGAACATCAGCAGGAGAGGACTCTTTAAAGTAGAGACACTACATACTGATATACACCTGAACATCAGCAGGAGAGGACTCTTTAAAGTAGAGACACTACATACTGATATACACCTGAACATCAGCAGAATATGTCGTCTTTAAATATGTAAACTGATTCCACACTCCTGCAGTCAGAAAGTGGTTTAACAAAAGCTTGCAGGAAACTCAAAACTAAAGTTTGATTACTGGGACTACTTACACTTCTCAAGTTAACATAAAAGTGTCCATACTAGTTGTAAAAGCTCCATGTAACCAGGTATTTTGTTGGGGTTACAATCGTACATTTTTTAACATATCGCCCAACCTAATTCTCTATTGTTGATACTGTGAAGTTAGAAGTGTTAGGGTTCATGATAAATAAAGGTAACTTGGGTTTAGGCATTAAGGAGGTATGTTTAAGGGTTAGGGTGGTTGTTTTTCTGTCCTAATGTCACACAGGAAAACATGTTTTTGCACAATCTGATGGTCAATAAGAAGCATGTTTTTCCCCTGCTGTATTAAAAGCACGTGTCAATGTCCATGCAACCTACCGATGAAGAGGATGGGGAAGGTGATGAAGAGCAGGAAGACGTGGGGCACCAGGTTGAGAGCGTCCACGAAGCAGCCATTGTTCAGCGTGCCTTTCACCACGCTGTAGGGATTGATACCCTTGTCGTTTCCACAAAACGACAAGGCCATGCCCCCCCCACACTGCTCCACACAGGCCTCCAGTCACTCTGTGGGGACAAAAACACACACAAAATAAAGATCAGAACACACACACACACACGCAAGTTATGGAGGCCAAAATCTGCAAAAATAAACTTTATGTTAAAGGTACACATATTCACCATCAACTAGTTGTTCATTAACATATTAGAGTCAAACTACTAGCTTATTGGTTATGAACAAGACTTCACTTTAAAACAGGGAACATATTCTGAGTTAGAAATAACACATTTTGAGTTATTTAGACACAAATAACACTTATAGTTTCTTGTCTTGTTACATACGAATAGACCATATTTGTTATTATGGGAGGATTACTATTCATGTAGTACTGCTACTGCATATTGAGCAAAGACCCACTCATGTACAACAACTTCCTGACAATAAATAAGCACTAATTAGAGGGTTATTGAGGAAAAACTATTAACTAATGGCCTAGTACTTGTAAAATATGGTCATCATTTTTTTAAGGTCACCTATCATGCTATTTTTAGGCAATGGCATAGGTCTCAGATATATACAAATATATAAAAAACATGTCTATGAAGTGTTTTGCTCAAAATAGCAAACACCCATCACCCATTCTAGCCATGCCTCATATCCCTCTATTTCACTTCCTGTTTCAAAAGTGCTGATTTGGGGTATAAAGCTTTAAAAAAATTGATAAAAAAGAGGTGCGGAGCTTATGCGGGAGATTCTACCGGCAGATACTGCCGTGATGAAACGCCATATCATGGATTATCAAGGATTGTTTCTGAAACAGTATGGAGCTCAAAGGCTTTCTCTCTTGCCGGTTATACCACAAGGTGAGTTCCTTTTTATTTCCTGCTTCTTCACACACATGCTCTCCAGTACAGGTTAGCTCTGAGTGTTAACGATGCTAATGTAAACACCGACCATATTACGTCCAAAACAGTCGGGCATTGTTTCTGATAGCAACGTTTCTGATAGGGCCGTGGGTCCACATTTCAGATATTACGTCATATCGGACGCAAATCTGGATCAGCTCCGTTGTTCCCGTTTTTAGAGATTTGGGTACGGAGGAAAAGAGAGAGGGTTTTATTCTCTGACGCTGCGTGAGTTCCCTGACACACCGGGGACACATCTTTATGTATAAAAGACATCAAAAAGTGCATTTTGCATGATAGGTCCCCTTTAATACTGACTAATAAAGAGCCCATATACTGCTAATATGCATGTTAATTAACAACTAGTTGATGGTGAATATGTGTACCTAAATAAAGTGTTACCATTAACTGTATTGTGAATCAGAAACGGGTTTATAAAGTAAAGTAGGTTTACACATATGAGGAATGTGCCTTTTGGTGCATACATAAACAGTTAAAGAAGAGAAAAAGTAAGAAAAAGAAACCAAAAAATTTAACAATTATAAAAAACGTTGCAGTGTTGTTACGTATAATCTCTATGACCCTTAAAAATGATCACTCTGTGTCCCTGACGGAGCTTTGGCTTGAACTCCAGAGACTAGGTCACACATTTTTGTAGCATGTTAAAAGCTCAAGTGCACACACACACAACACACACACACACACACACACACACACCACAACACACACACACACATGCAGGCCAGTGTCAGACATGAGAGCTATTTAAGGGCCACCGCCCAACTACATTACTGTATTACTGTTAAATTAATTTAGAGTTGGAACGGGTTGTCGTGTCACATCTTGTCCTGGCGCCATTACTTAAGTTTCAGGAGACTCATGTTGTTGTTTTTAAGTTAGCAATGGCTTCAATGTCTGCTTTCAAGGTTTCAAAAATGATAAAAATGCTGCTCCCTAAGTAGTGCAATGATTCACCACTTCCACTTATAATTCAGAACATTATCGACAAAATAGTTGGTTTCTGTCTCTACAAAACAGTTGTTTTTTTACAGTGTAATTATTACTGCCTCCATCGCTGAGGTTATGTCATTGATTTGTTGTTTTGTTTGTCCATTTGTCAACAGGAATAAGGAAAAACAACAGGCCCAAATGTAATAACACGTTAGCATAGGGAGAAAGAAACCACGATTTTTGTGTTAAGTTTTCAAGCTTAATATTAACAATAATTAATGTAATTTAAACACTTTATATCTCTTGATTTTTTGCTTATTGTTCCTGCTTAAGTTATACGTCATTCTGCCTCGGTCATTGTATGTTGATATAAAAAGGTTCACTGTAATGTGAAAGCTTTCTACTGTCATTATTTTCCAAAAACAAATACGATTCTTTACATTTTCTCTGTGATGAACATTACTAAAACAAAGCTACACACAAGTCAAGTGCCTGAATGAAAGAATTAAATTGGCTGCTAGTCAGGATTTGAAGCCTGATATTGATGCCCTTGTGAGGGCTAAAAGATGTCAAGTTTCAGGAGCAAATTAATCAGTGAGTTGATCTACTGTTCTGTGACCTCAGTTCTGTGAAAATAAGAACCTACTGAAATATTTGAACATTGTGTATTATTATGTCAATCAAAAGCTTCATTAGGCAACAAATAGTTTGGTTTGATGTAACACGGTGGCTGCACTGCCCCAACCTTTTTGGGAGGTAACTCAAACTCCTCACTTAATAGCTCCCACGTTTTTATTTGTATTTTGTGGTGAGTCAGATCAGAGGCCTGTACTACGAAGCTGGATTTTCCCTTATTTTCGCTTATTTCCGGCTAAATTCAGGGAAATCTCGGGCTTTCCGGTCCTACGACGCTGGTTCTCTTTTTAGCAGGCTAGATCTCCATGGTAACTTATGCTGAGCGGCAAACCTGCTCCGGAGCAGGTTAGGTGGCAGGCTAAGAGATCAACTCAGTGAAAGCACCGCCTGCTGACCAATCAGAGCTCCGTGTGTGCGGAGTTTAAAGCGATCAAGTCATATTACAGGATAGAGGAAATACAGAAAAACTGCCGTTGCAGGAAAGACGGCCGGCAAAAATCACCTGACTGTGTGAACGTGAAAATTAATAGAATATCCCCTCCCATCTTCAGAGCAATCTGACTATTATAACATTAGCGTTAAGAAAGCTTACTTAAATATCTGCCACGACATAAGTAACCGGATCAGAGTAACATTAAGTACAGTCCGCGGCACTGTGAGTGCAGACGTCGATGTGTGCCATTATCATTCATATCATATCACATCATAATGTATCATATATTTCCTTATTTGAGTCAGCTTCTTGAGCCGTATCTGGCCGTGCAACACTCACAGTGTCACATACTGTATGCAGAAGTATTATTTTAAGCAACACATTAAGTTGACGAAACACTCGAGTCAAATGTAATTAAAGTCAGATCCACTCGTGTCTTGGGGGGGGGTGATTTCATAAACCTGTTAATGTACGCATTCAAACACTTTTTCTTTTACCAGCTGTATTCACCTTGCAGGTGCAGCTGTGTGGCTTTTATCCTGGATAAAGTGTTTAAGTCATGGATGCTTAAAGTTTAACTTCTTCATATTTGACTAATATTAAAGTTCACTTTTCATTCAGGAAGTATGACGCTGCGCTGTCAGTACGCTTGTCCGTGTTTGAGATTGGTCGAATGCTCCAAATACCACCCCTTTCATGTGAACGCGCACCTAACTAGATAGGACACGGCTGGCTTGAGTTAACGAGTTGATAACCAGCGTCGTAGTACAGCTTAGCGAGAGCGCGTATGTTTTGGATTGGGCCAACCGGCTAACTCAAACATATCCAGGTTAGGTTGAACCAGCTTCGTAGTACAGGCCTCAGGTGGAAACTGTGATCTGTTATAAAGAACATGTGTGTAGCACTTGAAATGTCTTAATACATTTCAGTTTGTTCATAACGTTTTGCATCTCATTACATGTGGACATTTTCTGAATGTACTTGTAGCCTACTTATTTGCACTTAAACAGAATTATTGTCGTTATGTAGGGTCTGTGGGTTATTGATGTTACTGGTCCTGCCCACTTGAGATCAAAGTGGGCAGTATGTGGCCCCTTAACTGAAATTACATTACATTACATGTCACTTGTTAGACGCTTTTATCCAAAGCGACTAACATACTCAATACTGTGGGCAATCCCCACAGGAGCAATCTGGGGTGAAGTGTCTCAGGGACACAACGACATGCTTGGTCACAGGTTTGAACCTGTGACCCCCTGATCCGAACACCTACAGACAACCCACTACGCCACACGCCTGATGAGTTTGCCACCCCTGCATTAACTCATTTGTTGCATCAACAACAGGTTTAGGTTTTAGTACCCGTTTTTTGTTGCCATTTTTTGTAGTATTTCCATCAACATAGAGGAAATGTTCACACATTACATTTGTTCTCCATTCATAAACAAAAAACAAAGATGGCCGCTACATGTGGTGGCCATCTTGTTTTGGGACAGTATGTTTTGTTGCCAAATTGTCGAGAAATTACGCCTTTTTAGGACAAACTAAACATACAAACTCATAACAGATAAATGCTTTAAGTTACAGTGGTGATTTAAGATGTTTCTGTTTGCCAGAATTTAAGCCAACTGCTCCAAAATGACAAAACCATACAATTTTATCCCCAAAAATAATTCAAAATGCTGACAATTTCTTCAATTTATCATTTGGTTTCCATATGAATGTCACTTTAACTTGTATTAATTTGCCTTACTGACATATAGGGGGCATAATGGAAGTTGTTTAGCTAACGTTAGGACCGTTGACACCCTAAATAATAGACGATAACTTTAACAGTAATTAAAATATAAGGCTTTATTTGTAATGCACTTGTAATACAACAGGTGCAGCTCAAAGTGCTTTAAAGACATGGCACACATCATAAATTAAACACCAAAAATCGCTAAATCCTTGTGAACACAGATCAAAAAGGGGACGCGCTAATAAAAAGCTAATGTGTCTTTAGCTGTAGTTAAAAAATGGCCACAAGCATAAATATATCAAGCAAAAGTTACATTTAAATAAGAAAAAAGAACACCTGCGTTGGACTACAATCATTTTAATCAAATAAAACAACTTTTAAATACTAAAATCAGCTATCACAACGTTAAATTGGGTCATTAAATTAAGCTTAATTGTAACAGGAAAGTCTCTTACCTCGAAAAGAAAAGTAATTATCCTTAATGACAGCGTTTCATTCCGGGACTCTGTTTTTCTTCTTTTTTTTTAAAGATATGAAACAAACGGAGGACAGAAAGAGAGAGTACAGTGAGAGTTGAAGTGTAAAAAGTTGATTATTTTTAGCCCCAGCTCAGCATCAGCTGCTCCGCATGTTAGTGCTGCCAGGCTGTGACACAGGGTCAAGTTACAGCGGAGAGAAAACACAGCTTCCGGTGGGATCCTTCAACATAAAAGACGGGAACATTATGGATTAAAAAAAGCTAAAACTAAACCATGATTATTGTCTATATACACTGTACATTTATTTGTATTTAACTTGTATATTTTCTACTTTTTAACACTGTTTTATTTCTATTTTAAGATGTTTAAATGTTAGAATTGTTCATTTCTACTCTTTTAATTTCTACTTATGTGCAATGCGTTGTTTTTAATGCTGCTACGCAAACATTTCCCAATTTGGGATCAATAAAGTACATCTATCTTATATGTTCTTTGTTCACAATATAAATCTCATTATTTTTAAATATCAAAAGCGAAAAACAAAGACACATAACGTATCGCTTTAAATCCAAAAGCAGATCATTTTTTATATATAAAAAAAGATTACCAAGCAAATAATAATAGTAAAATAAATTAAAATTCCCATAAATTAAAATGCTATTAAAGGGGAAATATTCCGTGGTCTCCAAGACATATAACATGAATGAAATGAATGCAACTGATTATTTAATGTTTAATGTTGTTTTTATAGGTAATAATTTAAGCTTGTTAGTTCCAGGTTTAATATGTGCAATAAGTTCATTTCAATAAGTTCTGCAATAAACATTGAACCAGTCCGGCCCTCGACTAGTACCCATTTTTTTATTTTGGCCCACTGTGTATTTGAGTTTGACACCCCTGGTTTAGACGATCTCCGTTTAATCACTGACAACAGATATAACGATCAGTTTTACATTAGATATCCCTCACAGTGACTCCTCTCACGTGGAACATTTACAAAAAGGGAAGAGGAAACGTGAGGGACACAATATATAGGGGGGGGGGGGGGGAAGTCCTCACAACAATAATCTCCTGAGCACAGCGACCACACTTCAGAGGTTCCACCCACTGATCTCCGACCTTGTCAGGTATTGAACATTCAATAAATGAAGAACAGATATACTTACTTAATATAAAACACAGAATTTGTGTGATTATACAAAATGATTTACAAATAAACCCCACAGCATATTTACAACTGTTACATAAATATACTGTGGAAACCACTTAAGGCAATACAATAAAGAATGAAACAGGTGTCCTCTACGAGACCCCCTTTAAAACCATTTCCTTTTTTAAAATAATCAATAAAACCATTAACCAATTGCCCTACAGGGACCCTAATGGTAAGGGGCCATAAAGAAGGAAGGGTGGTTTTCTCATTAAGTAATTGCTTTTGCTATTGTTGACCTTTATTGGCACACATGTTGCACCTTCTGGATGAAGTCATGCATTATATAACGTACTCGTGCTCTCCTATTTTCTCATATACCGCAACTTATTTTCATTTAGAAGTAGTATTTTACAACTGCTCATTGCCATTTTCAAGGCTGTCTAGAGTGTTATTTTATTGTTGTATTTTGCATCCAATTACTCCAAAGCCTGCACTCAATTTGACCTTTTTCTGT